TCTTCGGAGACTTAACCTTAAGAACCGCTGCAACCACAAAAAAAAAAAAAAAGGGATCAGAAACAACAAACACACCAAAGATCTTTCTCCATATTTAGTTTTCTTATCTCAATTGGAGAATGTAACACCCAGATCCACTAACGTTGAAATCGCGCTTTTTCCCGGTTTAGGTCCAAAAAAGCCAATCCCTGCTAACGACTTACCCTCCTTTACGTTTATCGACCACGATGACAACTTAGCTTCTAAACGCATCAAGGATGCGAACGCCAGAAAGGCGATTCGATCCCATGTAATGCGCGACGTCCGCCGGCGAGAACGACTTGCCGGCTTAAAACGAGTTTCTAGAAGAGACAAAAAGGTTCAGGCAAGCCCCGATGCCAAATCTCCCGACTCCGGTAAACAGTTACTACGGCCCCGTTCAGGTGCACCGCTTGGTGTTGGGTCAACTATTGTAATACCCACAAGGTCAAGAAAACCTCCCTCATGGAATCCACCCATTATTGGCTCCCTGTCGGACCACGTTCCGAGCCCGTTCTCGGAACCGGGGGTATCATACTTTGATCCCTTCTGGAGCCTACCCGGCTTTGATGACATCAAACCCGTTGTTGACAGGCTTATGAAGCATTGTAAGTTGCAAGAGGACTTTCCTTCTTTCTGTTTTTCTGACCCTTTTCTTTAATTATCAGAACTTGATAAAAACCTTATGGATTAAGTACACTCAATACAGTGGATTAGTCCGGGTTGTTCTGATACTTGTTCATCTTGATCTATTACAAACAAGTTGACACAGGACACATCCCCTACCTTGGTTGGATACATTTCCATTTCCGGCAATATGGAAAGGAATATAGAAGCATATCGTCTTCGCATACTTTACCTCTTCATATCACCTCTTTTATTTCTTTACGTTTATTGTAATTGTCTGCTGTGACCATCACTTACAAGGCAAAGTGGCGCTTGTAATGCTACCGATGACATTCCCGGTCGAGGCGAGACATCCTAAAGAAGCCCACACCAGGGTAGGACTCTTTGTCGCGAATGCAATGGCTGAGCCTGGGCCATTTTTCTCGAATCTATGCCTGGCCGCGGCACACAAAGCCATTCTTCGTACGGAGATCGTTGATTATTCGCAGATGGACAACAGGGTTGTGCCTGAGGCAGATCTATATGTCATGAAGGCGCAGGCCCTTAGGGAAATGAACAAAAAGCTACACAATCCTGAGACCGCTGCAGATCCCGCGGCCTTCGAGACTGTCATATTTTTAATATCTGCTGCTGTGCGTTTCTTCTTTGCCGCGGTTGTTATCGAGCCACATTCACTCCTTTCTCTCTATGGCCCTTTCGTCTTCGTCGACTGACTTTGGCGTAGGTAACGATTGGATTGTTTAATGAGGCTCAAATGCATTTTGAGGGTGTGAAGAAGATGGTGGAATCCAGAGGAGGAATTGCGTCGCCGAGCTTCGAAGCAACTCGCACTCTCGGCGGTGTTTTGCTGTTAGTAGTTTCCATTAAGTGCGTATTTGGTTCCATATCTGACTGGCGATTCTAGGTGCGATGTTAAAATTGCATGCGGACTGTTGCGTCGTCCATACTACCCGATAACGTGGCATATACAGCCAATGTCCCCTGCTCTTGCGTCCCGAATAGCTCCCGCTAAAAAGTCCCCTTTAAACCGGGTAACGTCTAGGTTACAGAACAGTCCCTACCTTAGCGATACGCTGAAGGCAGTAATTGCAAAAATACGTGAGATGGTGCTTCTTGAGAATTTTAACCGCGAAGACCCCATAGGCCTTACGAGTGAAGAGCTTGAGTTTTACCGCCTTCGTGTCCATGAACTAGAGCACGAGCTCCTGGATTATCCCTATCGGATATTCAGCAAGGCCGGCACCAAGAACGACGTCACCATACCCCCGGTAGAAAACGTTGCCCGCTTAGCTTGTATCTGCTACATTAGCACCGGTTGCGTAGTTGCACCGCCCAATTCCGGCGTTGGAAGAGCCATAACAACCCATGTAAAGGCGGTTCTTGAGAGGTGTCCACCAGACAGGCCGACTAGACTGGGTGATGATTTACTCGACCTCTTAGCGTGGGCTGCCTTCCTCGGTGCCTTTCAATCAGGCGACCAGTTGGAGCGTCCGTGGTTTTTGCATAGAATTAGGCATATCGCGATGCTACGGGGCTGGAAGGACTGGAACAAAGTCGAGGAGGTGCTTCGTGGGCATATTTATGTGCCTCATTGCCATTTGGGATTTTGGAGAAGGATATGGAACGATGCTATGACTATTTCGGTGGTTTTTGAAGAGGATACTGAAATCAAAAATGAATAGAGACGATGCTGCAGCAGTAGTTGTCTGACATTCCTCGTGATCCTTAAGATTCGTACAGCGAACGGTGGTGTCTTATTTCTTGGAATGTAGTGAATTGGCTCTGAGCACTACGGTCCAAATGCGCCTTCTCCCGAAATTTCCTCCTTCGTTCCTTTTCTTCACTGGGTGACCTTAGCGGGACTCCAGGGCTTGACTGATGTCCTACCTTAACTAATGTAATAGCGTGTGTAGCTTTTACGTCTTGACTACGGAGTACTCCCGAAATCACTTTGCGTATCACGTCAGTTACGGAGTAGTTAGTCACTTCAACGACATTCTCTTGGGGCCTTATGTCATATCACGTGAACGTAGCTTAATATCTAATCGAAGATCTTTTTTTGGACCGACTCGATCGTGAATTTGTCCAGATTTCCTTCAACACACTAGGTTTAGGGGTTTTACCAAGAATAGCAACAGCTCTTATCTTATCAAGAATTGGATATTTGAAATAATTACAATGGGATGGTTTTGGGCTTCACCTTCTGGTGGGCACACTCCCACCGCGCAGACCCAAGTTGCTCCATCAAATTCGCGCCAGGTGAGCACGGCATACACAAATTTTTCTCAGAAATGATATTCGGATCACTTATGGGGAAATTAACTTAGTCCACATGCCCGGTAATGCATAATACACCCGATCAGAACCAGTCCCAATCCTCATGTCCCGTTCGCGCATCCGACTCCCCCTTCTACGTCGCTCCGTCGTCCGCGAAATCCGATTCGCCTCCATCTGCCTCATATCCAGAAGAACAGCAATCAACCCTTTCAAAGTTAAATCCCTTGAATTACATGTTCTCGAATATCTCGCAATCCCGCGCGCCTAACCAGTCCGTTGACTTGCCCGTTGAGCGAGAGCTTTCTTCGATTCCTCGTGCTGATGGCGCAGGCGGGAACTGGGAGTATCCCTCCCCGCAACAGATGTATAACGCCATGCTGCGTAAGGGATACACAGACACACCGCAGCATGCGGTCGAAGCGATGGTTGCGGTGCATAATTTTTTGAATGAGGGTGCATGGGAAGAGATTGTGCAGTGGGAGAATACGTTTTCCAATGGGTTGAAGAGTGGGTGGGACAAATGTCGGCGTGGTTCGGAGAATTTGGAGATGGAGTTGGAGAAGGAGAGAGTCCTGGGGGTATCAGCTGAGCAACCGAAGTTGGTGAGGTTTATGGGACGGCCGCAGGAGAGGACGCCTAAGGCTTCGATCTTGCAGTTGTTGGGATGGGTGTATCCAGCGAAGTTTGGGTAAGTGCTCAACTCTCCCCCTTGAAGAGTGGGCGGTTTTTCTTTTTCCGAGAAAAGTTTAGTCTGACCTGGTTGAACTTGGTAGCACTCCTCCGCCATTCGATCGTCATGACTGGTACGTCTTGCGCAACACGCCGTGGGGACCGAAAGAGGTTCGCTACGTGATTGATTATTACTCTGGTCCACCTGAGCCAACTGGCGAGCCGGTGTTCTACCTCGATATCCGACCCGCTCTTGATTCACCTACCGCTGCTGTCGAGCGATTAATGAAATGGGGCGGCGATGTATGGTGGAGAGCTAGCGGAGGCTCCGTGAGAGAGTCACACTAAAAGAAATCTCAAATATATACCCAACTTTCGATCATGATTGTAAGCCCGATAAGTCATTCTCAGGGCTTCAAAGCACAAGAGCAAAATGGGGTACGGTGTCTTAGCCTTGGGTCTTTGGATCTCATTTTTGTATTTTCTTTCCCTCCATTGTCTTAATAGTGTGATGTTTCTATTTTGTCAGAGGCATGCCATTTGACCTCTCGGAGCTTTCATATGTTCCTCCTTATCTTTCTCAGGCCGGATCAAAACAAGCCTGACTTGGAGTTTTCGCAGTGGTTGAAGGGAATGGGTGCATAACGATGACCGCCAGGCCTGGTTCTCCTCTCTCAGTTCTTTTCTTGTTTGTATAGGTATATATGTTATCCATTTGTCCCCAAGTAATGTTACATTAAGCCATAAGATTAATTTGCCTCACACCCATATTATTTCGGCGAGAAGTAGCGACGATACAGTCTTTCAACACCACAACAGTCGCATGAGGAAGAATCCATCACATGGACACAGTTATGCTGGACACTGCAGATAAGAATTTAAATGATCGACAGCCCCAAGGCAACGGTGCCCTGCCAACTTCAGCCTTATGCTCGCCAGGGTAAAGGAGAGTCCGGCCTCCAATTTGTCTATTCCGTACTACAGAGGATTGGAAATGAATATAATAGCCTGGCTTTATGACACTCTCCAGATGTAACGGATGCCCATACGATGGGGCTGGGTTTGTAATATGTCGCCTTGATATGGTGATCGATTCGGAGAGGTCATCTGAGCATATAACGATTTGCTTATTTTACTGTACTAGTTGACTTGACAGATCGGATGAGTTGGACGTTATCTTATTTTAGAGAGTGCCATTCCCGAATACTCCTAAGATACGGTAGCCAATGCCTAAAAGTTTTGAGGAAAAAGCAAGTCCATTTCCTTAAAAGCTTGAAGGCTCGTCGCTTCTTCGAGAGACGTCCTAAATCCTTCAAAGTCGAAGCCTCACGGCAGCAGCTTCTGCAAATTAGCCGTTACTTTTAATATTTGCAATAAGTCCAGGACTGCTTAGGAGATAGCTTTGAGCAATGTCTGAGTTCCGGACACCATCAGAAACCCGCAGGCCGCGACGGCATCGCGTTTGTTACATTCCAGAACAGATCGACAAAACCGCTCTCACGAGTCCACCAACAACGCGAAACAACCCCGTCGCCTTGATGTGCCGAGACGTGCGGACCTTGACTGGCGTCTTACCGCTTCTACCAAACCTTTTTCGGCCGTTTTCCACCGGCCGAAACACCGATGAGCTGAGTTTGAAAGGCCGAAATTCGATCAATCTCGTAGTTTTGGTAGTCGTGACCGTCTTGGAGTCCTTGGTCTTTACTCTGATGAGCCTGTCGTATTGGGTGCTTCCTGGATTGCTCAGTATTCCTGTAGCTGGGCTCCTCCTAGGGCTAGTCTGGCTGTTGTGTGCTCCGTTGCGTGGGCCGGATATTGTATATTCGAGCCTGGAGGGTGACAATATCATAAACGCAGCGAGACGGAAAAAAGAACGCTGGGTCTTTGTTAATGGAATTCTTCAATCGTAGGCTCCCATCCTGCTTATGACAGATTTTAACATTCGCACTAATCATTCTTTTCAGTCATTACGGGCTCAAGCAGAACTGTGACCGCCTTGCAGCAATTTTTGGCCGTCCTATAATTGGCATACACAATGCCACGTACGGACTCGTTGGTGACCTGCTCGAATGCATTATCCAACGATCGTTTTCATTCAATACCTATAGCATCCGATTTACCTATGATCAGGTAAAGGCGTTCTTGGTCGATCCAACCGTTCACAAGGTTGTCCTCATCGGTCATTCTCAAGGAGGGATTATCTTATCCATGGTCCTCGACCTGCTGTTCACGGACGTTCCTGCAGAGAACATGGCAAAGCTGGAAGTATACACGTTTGGGTCGGCGGCATCTCATTTCAACAATCCTCTCCGTGCAATTAACCGTTGCTCTAGTACTGCTCGCACCGGGGTGATACCATATATCGAGCATTATGTCAATAGTGAAGACCTTGTTCCTAGATGGGGAGTTTTGTACAATGTTCGCACAATTTTGGAGAATAGATTTGCCGGCAAAATTTTCATCCGCATGGGTGCCACGGGTCATATGTTAAACCAGCATTACCTGGACTTCATGTTTCCTCCCCTCGAAGCTCAACATAATAACGAGGAGCTAGGGTTTTTAGACCAGGTCGTTGAGGTGGATGAAGCAACGCCAGACGCACGAGACCAGTTCGCCCACCGGGTATTGAATGTTCCTGCGAGGGCATGTTTTGCGGAGAACGGCCGTTGCATGTCAATTAATGAGGATATAGTTAGCACCGTGGGAACGACTTTCAAAACCGTTCGCGAAATTAGCAGGCTCTGGAGATATATGGAAGGGAACGACCCGGATGACTTGGGGGGTTGCCCATGCGTCAATTAATGTCAAGCAGAATCACATAAATTCCCAACTAGTCGTAGAGAGCAACATACTGCAATGTCGATCCCTCTGGGCCGGTGCATCGCCGTAGTGACAATATACTCTGTACTCCATATGTTTACCGATGAATTCGCGCAGAAAGCGTAGAGCCAAGATGCCTCTGAACTAGTTTTCGGGACGGAATAACTTTCGACCGGCTATCAACCTGGATGGATGGACGCCGCCAGCGTTGAGCGGATCTTGAATTTCTGGAATGATGCTTGGGTTTGAGGGGTGAAGAGACAATAGTGGAGATGGTAGCTTTTTGCCATTAATCCTATGACTTTCGAAAATTGTCGCCTGGCGAAGCTGAGACTCGGATGAAAGGAGGGTCTTGGTGGAATTTTAATGCTAAAACTGGGCGAGATGCAAACGGCTGTGGTGAGCGCGTTCTACTTTCGAATGCCACCGTGTATTGGGAGGTCTAACTGAAATTCTGTCAATTAGCGCCGCCTGCATCGTTGTCCTCGAAGATGTCCGACCCCATGGCGTTCGATGCGTTCTCCAGACTCTATTCCCGCCACACGTTCCCTCGCAGTGAGTTCGGCCAGACGCAGCTTGCGGTCGGGACTCATTCCGGTTTCAAAGGGACATTGGAGCTCCAAACATTTGTTGAACCGGAAATATAGTGCTGTATCGAAAGGTATATTTAATGATGATGTCACCGCGGACATGCTTCGCGAATTCCACCAGGCGCATGATCAACGCTTGAAATGGGCAGAGGCCTCCAACGGAGTGGAAACCCCCATTGGATTCGCAAATGTCGACGATTATCCTGCCCTAAAGGGTATCGAAGCTAACCCAGTTCGCATTCGTGAACTACTGGAATCGGCTGTCAGCGCGGAGTTCCAAATGGAATTTCGGGCGCTTGGGCCTGTTGATGTTATGTGCTTGGTTACGTGTTCCATACCGCTTCTTCGCACAGTGATCAAAGTTTCCGGAAAAGGGGACTCAGAGGTGGGTGGCTGTTAACCCTTTTATCCCGGTTACTCGGGACCGCCAGAGTTAATACACATGCTAGGCGAATGCAAAACATGTCGCATTTACATATTTAGTCTCAGAACTCCACAATCGTCGTCTTCTGAAAGCCATATTCGATCATAAGGCCAGCCTAGCTGACTTGAAAGGAATATACGATTATGCTGCCCGTTTCCTATGCGTTCCTATATTTCAATTTAGGATGGTGCGTGACTCTTTGCAAAGCGACGGCTACAACTTTGAAGTTACGATTTCGCTCGAGGAACAATCTTTAAGTGTTACCACCACCGCCAACTCGTTTGATGAAGCAGTAAAACGGGCAATCCATGATTTCAACAAGAAAAGGGCAATTTTCTCTGTGATAAACAGCACGAAGCAAACTTGCAGTGATTCGATTGCTGCGTGGGAAGTTGAGGGCTTTATTGACTTCTACGAATTCTCCAAAAGCTTACGGAACTGCGTTCGTGTCAAAGTGGATAAGCAACCCATTAGTCCTGAGAAATCTGCGTACATTGCCTCAGTATATGTTCGAAATGAGCTTATCCCTGAGCCTGTTATTGCTTTTGAGGACAGACAGGTCCGTAAAATTGCAAATTTAGCCGCGGCGATTACACTTATCCGGCAAGATCCGAGTCTTTGGGATGTGTATTACCGAAAATACGCAAGAAGACGAAAGAAGCTTTCAATGAATCGGAGTGTTGTCGAGGAAATGAAGTTTCTGTCGAAGAATCTGAATTATTCCCGGCGCAAGATGGTTGACAGGGTACAAAATATCGAACCAAGTAATCTGAAAGGAGAACTCCGCTTTGGCAACGTTCTTCATTCCGATCTCGAGCAGAGGTCACACCACCTTAGGAATCACCTTTCTTGGCTGGAGGAACAACAAAGCCCTCATCCCCGTACTCTGTCGCGGAGGCTACCTGTTTATCGCTACAAAACAGATATCATTCAGATGGTAGACCAAAATGACTATAGCTTTATCACGGGCGCCTTTGGAAGCGGAAAGTCTACTCAGGTTCCGCAGATCCTTTTTGATCACGCTATAATGCAGGGAGCAGGAGCTTTGTGTAATATCTTTGTCTCTAAGGATAGACTATCCACTGTGAAAGGAAATGCTGGGCGAGTTGCCTTGGAGCGTTCTCAAACACTGGGCAGCACAGTCGGATACGGTGACTCATTTGGCCCTAAGCTCCCAACGCTAGCTGGCAGCATCTCATACTACACGCATGAAATGCTTTTGGATCTGCTAAGCGATGAATCGAATGGAATTTTTGAGACCGCTTCTCATGTGATCATAGATGATGTTGAGAAGCGAACTATCTCAACCGATCTTCTACTAGCGTACGTGAAGTCGAAAGTCTCGGAGAGAGTAAATCAAGGAAAGCCAGTTCCTAAATTGATCGTTATGGGCTTGGATTTTGACGTTGAGTTATTCGCGAGTTATTTTCAGGTCCAACCATCTAGGGAGGACTTTGCTTGTCCGTCTGTCCGTATTCAAAGCAATGATCATCCGGCTGATAAGGTTTACTTGAATAGCATACTGGAGCAGTTGGGTTCGGTTCGTGGCTATCATTCTTTATTATCTGAGCCTCAGACCGCTCGATATCTGTCCCTTGAGAATATTGAAGTTGCGCGGCCATTACCATATGAAGAGGGCCTTCGGATGTGTGAAGAGAACTCACCTATTAATGGAGAACAAGATATTATACCTGGCTCTTTGTGGGAAGAGGGTCTCTGGCTAAATGATGACAATTCGCATATCAGTGGAGAACAGGAGAGTATACCAGAGTCTTGGTGGGAAGAGGTTCTTCAGACGAGCAAGGAAAACCTGTCTATCAATGAAGGACAAGAGATCATGCGTGACTCTTGGTGGGAAGATGGTCTCCAACTAAGTGAGGACAATTCTCCTGTCAATGGAGAGCAAGATATTGTACCTCACCTTCAGGAAGAGGTTCCCCCAACCCCTATTGGATTGGTGGCAGCTGCTGTTGACCACATCGCCCAAACTACAGAAACGGGTGCAATTCTAGCCCTTCTTCCGGACCAAGATGATATTGAACGTGTGAATCAGTTGCTGGTCAGGATGATAGAGAACGATACGAGCAATAGGGGTAAATACCGAATATTCAAGCATTCTCCCGACAAAAGTGGTGGATCCTCCGCAGATGATCGGACCAGTCGAACGATCATTCTTTCAACTGGCACGGCTGGTTTTCCCCTTGCCGAACGTGTCCGTTTTGTAGTGGATGCCGGTTTCATGACGGAAAAACTGCATCATCCGTGGAGTTCAACCACGTCACAGGTCCGCCGCTGGATCTATAAATCTTGGCTACAAGACCGAGTGATGCTTGCAAGCCACAAAGAAAATGGGAAATACTATGCCCTGTTCAGCAAGGAGAGAGAAGCATCGTTACAGCCGCATTCAACCCCTCATATCCGTCGCCTCGAGTTTGATCGGGCGTGTCTACATGCAAAAGTCCTCTTCCCTTCGAGAGGATCTATATCTGATATTCTATCGGGATTAATAGAGCCACCATCGCGAGAGCACATCTTTGAAATGACTCGTAAACTTCAGGCATTGAATCTCATTGACCAATGGGACAGGTTGACTCCATTAGGGCGAATTGTTTCATCGCTTCCACTATCGCCCATAGCGGGCAAACTAGTTGTTCTAGGTGTCATATTTCGCTGTCTTGAGCCCTTACTCATATCTGCTGCTGCTGTGGATTTGACCTCCGATAAGGCGTCTATTTTCGACCGCCGACGTGCCCACACTGAATCGGCCCAAGGTCCATTTTTTCAATTCATCAGGGATAGCGTCAGTGACCACATTGGCGTCATCAATGCATTCAAGTACACCAATGAGCAATGGAATAAGCATGGCGAATCCAAGGCTCAACTTGCCTGCAGATCCAAATTCATTAGATACCCCATGTTTTTGAAGATATGGGAGTCCGTCCTCCGGGTGGAAGAGATGCTTTTCGATGCGGGAATTATCCCCAACCCTTCTCGAAGCAACGTGATTGGCGGACACGCATTGAATATGAATTCCACTTCGCAGTCTCTCATAAAAAGCCTTCTACTGCGTGCGTTGCTTCCAAACATCGCAGAGAGGGAGCAAAGGGGTATATGGAACACAGCAACAACAAGTGAAATACAAGCCCTGCCAGGAACGGCTCTTCGGAATATAAGCCTGAGGGTCAACGGCGTCGCCATATTCTCATCGCTCCTAACGTCGGGCCGGTCTGGAAATGTATATCTTGACACTGCAACGTTGATTCCATCAATGATGGCCTGTTTGTTTGCGGAAAACCTGAAACAGAATGAGAATATGTTGTACTTATACCCATGGCTGCAATATAGCTTGCCCGAAGATCATCCGTTCGACATCAGGCAGAGTTCTAGTCGAGTATTTTCGACGTGTAAATCATTCTTGGACGAAGTATTTTTACCCCCAATGTTCTAAATCGTTCGCGAAAGTGGCTAACGGATTCTCATTTTAGTTTATCAACTTGGCTGTGAAGGACCTTGCGGCTTACAAGCTACGGAGAGCCGTCTGCTTCTATCGGGGTGGGTTGAAAGGTGAATCACGAGACGTGTCCGCGAAAAGGCGCAGACTCCTGTACCGGTTTCCTTATATGAATGATAGGGTGTCCAAGACTTTTGTCAGCGCCCTTCATAAGGTATTCGACGGAAGCATGGGCCCGGTGAGAGGAGACACACGGGTGGCGCCGCGTTGGCCATCGGGTGATATCTCGAAAGATCCTGCTACGAATTCGGAAACCGACTGCTGCATAGATTCTTGATAGAATTTCAAAACTAAAAGCTCATATAGACGGAGTTAGGGGTTCGCTTGGTTTGGCATAGCATGCATTTGGGTGAGGCCGGCGTCGGGAATTTTTTCTTTTTTTTTTTTTTGTGTTTCCAATCGAACACGGTCGCCCACATATATTCAGACATGTGTATTATTTAAATATCTATTTATCTTGAGTGTAGTTACTCCGTAGACAACAATGCTCTGCCGTGATCGCGCTGGATATATCAGCTAATATGAGCCTCCAGAAAAAGCTTGGACGAAGGAACATGTGACGTAAGTAACTAGTTAACTAGCGGGTTAGATTTGACTCTCGGCCAAGCTTTGCTCTTCACAAGCTAAAAAAGCACACCTGCTCGCCCGCCGCAGAGGACGGACGGCCAACGTCCTTGAATTTCTTCATACACACGACGAAATACCCGAGCATTGTCGCCGCATCGGTGACCATTGGTTACACTCATCTCATGAGAACATGAAAACGGCCCTCACCGCCGGCCGATTTTGCATCCGTCATCAATGTTTTCGAAGCCTGCCTAGAGCTACTCCGCGGTGTCGATATTTCCACCCCAACCCGTCTACTCGGTTCATATTTCCGCCTTCTCCGGTACACAGTCCCGTCTGGAAATGGCGATTCGTATGGAAGCGCAATTGGGACCGCTCTTCAGCGATAAGCGCTGCGCTGCTGGCTACGCTGACTCCCGTTGCTCTTCTCGATATTGCGGAAAATGGAAATGGTGACGATGATACAACGGGTGAGCTAGAGATGCTTGCCGCGTCCAGTGAGGAGGCCCAGAAATCCGTACCAGAGGACGCGAATGCCATAATGAGGGGCCTGTGGCATGTGTATATATTCCTGGAGAGATATGTGTTTGAGGTGGCTGCGACTGGAATGCGGTTCTTACATCTGGTGGCTATATTCGTACCCGTGATTGTGACGGTTCCCATAATATGGTTTGGACGGAGGATAAGAGATCGGGATGATGAGAGGACCGGTACCCTATGGTGGTACGAGTTCCTAGTGTCGGCGATGGAGCGCGCAGGTCCTGCGTTTATCAAGGTGTGAATGCCCTCTACGTCACGATTAGGCAAGCCTGAAGGGATGGAGCGTATGCTAATATTCCTTCTCAATGGACTCCAGCTGGGGCAATGGGCAGCGTCGAGGTCTGACATATTCCCGCCAGAATTATGTGCACTGATGTCTTCTCTGCATTCCCACGCACCAGCGCATTCATTTCATGTTACCAAGCGGACCATTCGGAAAGCTTTCAATGGGCTTCCATTTGAAGATATATTCGAAGAGTTTGATATGGAACCTCTGGGTGTGGGTGCCATTGCACAGGTCTACAAGGCTAAGCTTCGGCCTGACCTCTCGGCCCTGAACGAGAGGAATATAGCCGATAAGCCTGTAAAATTACGCGAAAAGGTTCGCAAGAATGTCGACGTCTTGGTGAAAAGCACTCCGCAGCGGGTCCCTTCTTCCTATGTCGCAGTCAAGGTGCTTCATCCTCGAGTGGACAGGATCGTTCGACGCGATTTGCAAATAATGATGTTTTTCGCCCGTGTGATTAATGCCATTCCAACTATGGAATGGTTATCATTGCCTGATGAAGTTCAGAAATTTGGCGAGATGATGAAATTACAATTGGACCTCCGGATTGAGGCGAGCAATTTATCTCTATTTCGAGAGCATTTCAAGTCACGAACTACGGCCTGGTTCCCCTATCCGTATGTAGAATATACCACGAGAGAGGTACTTGTCGAGGAGTTTGCACAAGGAATTCCTCTCACAACGTTCCTCAAAAACGGAGGTGGTGTCTATGACCGTGAAATTTCTCGTGAAGGCCTTGATGCATTCTTACACATGCTCCTTATCGACAACTTTGTCCATGCCGATCTTCATCCAGGCAACATCATGGTTCGCTTCTATAAGCCTGGGCAACTAGACTTGTCCATCAGAGGCCACCAACTGGCCCCAAGTACCAGACATGATGCTCGCCCCGATGCACCAGAGAAGGTCCTTTCCAGGCTTGCAACATGGGAGGGCAACCCTGAAGCCTGGACTCGCGAACTTGAGAAGATAGATGCTGAAGGCTACAGACCGCAGATCATATTTATCGACACGGGTCTGGTAACCCAGCTTAACAGCGCGAACCGGCGCAATTTTCTAGATTTATTCCGGGCCATCGCCGAGTTCGACGGGTATAAAGCAGGTCATCTCATGGTTGAGCGTTCCAGACAGCCGGATGCGGTTCTCAACCCAGAAATCTTCGCCTTGAAGATGCAACATCTTGTTCTTGGGGTCAAGGGCCGGACATTTGCATTGGGCAATGTCAAAATCGGAGACGTTTTGAGTGAAGTTTTGTATCTAGTTCGAGCACACCACGTACGACTTGAAGGGGACTTTGTGAATGTTGTCATTTCCATTTTGCTGCTGGAGGGAATCGGAAGAAGCTTGGATCCGGACCTTGATTTATTCAAGAGGTGTGTCACATCTTCGCGGCCCTCACCTGTTTTTCTTCTTGGCTGACATTCGGTCTCTTGAATAGTGCCCTCCCCATCCTCCGCCAACTTGGCTCCGGTACAACCCTTCTTAAGTCTGTTCGTGAAGGTGACACTTCAATGCTCCGTGTCTGGATGGGTCTCGAGGCTCGTAGCTTCCTGCAGGCTAGCATTAGCAGTGTTGAGTGGTGCGTTAAGTACGACCAATTATCCCCGAACATATGATTCCGAATAGTCATAACTGCCTTGTGACAACACGCCCCTATTTAGGTTTTGCGATGCACATATTAATTCCCATACACTTTTTAAGTGACCCTTTTCTTTCTTTCTTTTCTTTTCTTTTCTTTTTTTTGGTTTCCTTTTTTTGTTTAAACAATACGACTTTAGGATGTTGGCATATTGGTTTGGCATTGATGTCTTTTGCTTATGGGGCTATTTGCTCTGCTGCATGTATGGACATACACCGTCGTCGTCGTCTTTTTTTCCTTTTCCTTTTTCTTTCCTTTTTTTTTTTTTTCTTTTTTTTTTCTTTTTTTTTTCCGCAGATTTATTTTCTTCGTGGTAGCTATAGAGGAGACCGGTAGTCGAGAACGGTTATTGGTGCACATACGCGATATATCTCTACTTTAGATACCGAGGTGGATGGCAGTTCCACTAATATGTCCAGAGCGCAGGAGACCTCTCCTTGCGACTGTCCTGCACTCTCCAAGTCCAGACAAGATCATCACCTCCCGGCGGGAAGCCTCTGTCCTACTCTGGGGTGCGCAACGAGGGACTAAGCCTCGATCACCAGGAAATGTAGGGCAACCTTGATAACCAAGTATGAGAAAGAGAAAAAAAAAATTGGCCGTCGCGGGAAGCGTTTTTGGTTTTAAACATCGATATACTACCGCGTTTGACAGCAGCTTGATGACCCTTCAGAGATCTTGGTGGAACTACGTTCGAATCAAGCTTGCTATCTTACAATCCCTGCATGAGAGTCATTATTCAGAGTCCCCGACCAGCAACACGATTCAGCTGATGGTCCTCGCCATTGATACAAATTGAGGTCCTTGTCGTGTGGGTACGCGACTTTCCTTCCGGCCCGAATCAAGATTGGCCACGCAATTGGCCGTCTCAAATCCCTTCAACGCATATTCCATTTGGAGACGAACATTTAGTTAAGATGCTGATCTGTTTGCCCGATTCATGGAGAGCGGTCATGCCTCTATCTCTTGGTGTGCAGTTGTCGGATGCATTCGTCAGACAGCCACAGGTAACCCCAGTGAATGGTTACCCACTTGCCTGTAAAAAACCATCCGCATGTCGCCAACTGAACTGACCGTCCTTATGCACGAACGCCATATCACTTGGCACCTCCACGCCTGTGCATCAACACAAGCCAAAACCTTAGGCTTCAGCCTTTTCCAGAGACGATCAAGCCTAATTCATAGCAATGATGGCTGTCAATATTCAAATGAACTGCAATGATCATCCTGTCCAATCAGCTTCGGACAGTACTGAGTAAGCCATTTTCACACCCGTGCAGATATTCGCCAGGATTTTTTTCCTGTCATCACAGATATCACCATGTGCGCAGATGAATGACTATGAGGAGCTGATCCTGCGATTGTGCTGGTTTATGCTGAAACTTCTTAGTCGCACAGAAGGCTTGCTGCCGGACCTGACAATTGTGTCCCCAGACAGAGATCTTCCCACCTTGGCGGGCTGGAAGGTACGAAACACCTTACAAGTGGCTTGATACGTTGCGCTACGTTATTCCCGAGGGATTCAAGTCAATGTATCGGATTCTTACCGAGACGGGTTTTGTTGAACCGGGACGAAATGGATATAAAAACGGAAGTTCCATCAGGAGCAAACTCGAACCTTGAGATCCCAAGTTACAAACATCCGTGAACCCTTCCTGTGATTTTCACGTCCGAGCCCTTGTTTACCTGCTCTTAGTTGAAATCAGGTTAGATATGGAACGAAGACCCTTCTCGAAAACCCGTTCTTGTCCGACATCTCTGCCTAAGGAACCTCTCCTGATCAGTGAGGATTTCTTTGCAGGCCGTGAAACACTTCATACGGCAACACCTTCATCTCCTCATATTTTGATCATCGGTGGAGGAGTGACAGGCCTGACGACGGCATGGCTGCTTTTAGATCGCGGTTATCGTGTCACGATCGTGTCCAAAGAATGGGCAACGTTCGGTTCTGAACAACGACTCACTTCCCAGATTGCAGGTGCGCTCTGGGAATTGCCTCCAGCCGGTTGCGGCCCCCAGGCAGTTCAGGAGAAACTTGAAATGGTGCAAAAATGGGCACTGGAAAGCCTGAAAATCTACTGCAAAATGACAGAGAGCGAAGAGCTCGCTGCAGCGTTCGGTATAAAAGTGACCATGTGCACTTCCTTCCACACAAACCGTATCGTGGACGATGTGGTGAAGTCCAAGAAGATGGAACTTGTTTTGGGCAGCAAGCTGGAAGGATTCCATTGGGGAATGGAATTGCTGGACAAATATGGAGCGAACGTGAATTCCCATGGTGGCTTAAAGGACGCCTACGAGCATATGGCACCGATTATCGACACAGATGTAGCGATGTCCTTTTTGATGAGGCTAGTCAAAAGCAAAGGAGCGCAATTGCACACTGACACAATCCATGGCGATCTACTCGACCAGGAACGACATCTCTTACGAACCTATCACGCCGACGCGATTGTGAACGCAACAGGGGTTATGGGATCAGAGACGGCTTCCGACAACACAGTTTACCACCTCCGTGGTGCAGTACTGCGGGTCATCAATGACGGAACGGACTTCCCGCGGGTCAATAATGCTATGCTTGTGTCTACGGAGAGCAGGGCGGATGGGAATTTCAAAGATATGGCTTTTATTGTACCTAGAAACGACAACATCCTTATCCTCGGGTCCATTACACAGCCCAACCAATGGCGGGTTGACTTGACACCTGAATCCCGCGATATACAGGACATGCGTAAACGGTGCGAGGACTTGCTTCCCGTTTTGAAAAATGCACGACTGGATCCAAAATACCCGTTGGCGCAAGGAACTCGTCCATATCGAATGAAAAATGTTCGCGTGGAGCACGAAACGAGGAAAACAGGTAGTGGAAGGCCAAGCAAGGTCGTTCACGCATATGGACATGGTGGCGCGGGGTGGTCTCTCGCATTTGGCTCTGCAAGGCAAGTTGGACGGCTCGTAGACGGGGTTTTGAGAAATAAACATGCGGCGGAAAATGAAATTATGGCGAGATTGTGATTGGTTCTTAGAGGGCTGTAACTACGGAGTAGAAGTTAGTCGAATCGGAGAGCACCGGAAAAAGGTCTTTGTCGAATGACCATGGCTCCAACTCTCTGTAATGATTTGATACCGGGCTTTCGTCCACAAAAGCCGGCCCCTAAACGAAATGCATGCAGCCCCTGGCATACGAAGGCTAATCTTGCCTTACTGCCAAGGACTGTCACGCCCGGAAACAAGAAGCAGCATAGAGGGCGGCCTCGCGATGACGCACTCCGCGGTGACACGGGCTTAGACTAGAAATACAAAGTCCGATGCCATCTACGGAGTAGTCACTGTGACTTTTCTGGATATTGATTTATTGAGACATAGTTACCAGCTTCCATCGGTTTCACAGTCTTCAATTTGCTCCAGAGGTTCCTCGGCTGGTTTTGAACTTCGGGATGGAATATAATTGGAACCCGATCTCATCCAAGAGAATCAAGATGAAAGTCAATTGCTGTTCAGGTTCAGAACAAAGGCCTCGCGTCCCAACTATGCTCAAAAGGCTCTTGAAATGCTACGGTGAACTGGCCGATACCCTGGGATTTGCTGTTGTTGCTATTACGAGTGGCCGCATACCAAATGTGTGCCGACCTACAAGTCGCCCGGGCCGTTTCTCGGACGAGATGGATTATTCTGTGCCATGTGCTGCAGTATATAGTCAACCGTGGCATCGTCGTCTCGTGCATGATGAATATTCCATTCTGACCCAACGGGACTACCGTACGGAACGAGGCGGTGTTTTGCGGGTAAATATGTGTGATACCATAAAACATACAATTTAATCCATGAGTCATTATATCCCTAATAGCTGCCACCTCACATTGACATTCTCTAATGCGTCTTCTAGTTATCAATACATGCAGTGAGCATATCCGTCGCCTTTTTCGCTTCCGCAACTGTATGATCAATGAGCCCTCTATCGGAAGGGAAAAGTTGAGTTGAATGCGGAAAACAATGAAGCCACCAAGGGCGTTGTTTCGATGTTGCATAGGGGCTACGGTAGAACCGTTGGTTGCTGTGGAATGATGGCTTAGAACTTCTGATACCATCGCTTTGACTGCATTTTCATCATCCCCAGTAAACCGAACTCATTCTTCGAGGCTGGGGATCGAGACCCTAAGCTGCCGTGGATCCCGCTTACTTTATCAGCAGGACAAACTGGAGTACAAGAGGCAGAACTAACCGATCCTCTTTGACCGTGTGACCTTGCCTGACTAGACTTCATTCAAACTTGCTGTTAATATTTCCCCCTTAAATCCACGATTCTCGGGGCAGATTCCGAACCGCAGTCTTGGTTTCATGTCAACCCTGTTCTGACATGGTAGTTGGTAGTACACGTGAGCGCTTTGATTGAATATGGCTTGCGAATCAGATATCATGGGGTCGACATCATTGCGTCAGTGGACACGGGGGTTGCTGCTGTGGAAGCGACAGACAAAATCTTTGCTTGTCAATGAAGTGCAGCCTTTCAATTGAGAATCCTCCCTAACGCCCGGTGCAGAGAAGCAGAGATAACCAAATCCATCTGTTTGCATCTCGAAGCGCCATGGATAAAACGTAGGACGCCGCAAGAGCCTGGTGTTCCCACTGGAAACGAAAGCACCAGCCTGCTATCAGGTGTAAATGTTTCCCAACTCTCCGTACTAATAATGCTCTTGTGTGTTCGGCTCTGCCCAGTCCGCACTGCACATCAGATCCTCCTGTTTCCGCAGTAGACTTCCGATGGGGTGGGGAACTTTTGTAGGCTGCGTGTTCGGAGCTTTGAAAGCTGTCTGCGCGTACTCCATACATGTTCTCATATGGAGTACAGACGACATCATCACAATCGCTCTTCCGTACGGAGGAGAGTGCCTCTGTAGATCACGCACAAAGTTGTGCAGATCGCACTCCACTAGGATCTACAGTGCAATATGCAAAGCAGATCTCATGCATCCGAAGATCATGGCTCTGCGGTGTTGTGCAACGGAAGGGTGGTCAGTGCCTCATTCGCGAAAGAGTCCTCCGCAAGAACCCCTTTTCTCTACTCTGTATTTGAGCCGAAACCTCTCGGGTTATATCCCTTGGTTTGACAACTTTCTCGGCATTTTATAAAAACGGCTGGTTCCACGGACAAAGCCGGTGTTTCCCACAAACGAATTGAGATATTGGGTGATGGGTTCGTAGACGCGCGTATGTGGCGTGCTGATAGAGCGCAAATATACGAAATTTTCTGTCATTCAATTCAAGCCCTTGGCAGTCCTCTATCCCCTGCACAAGACCCATCATTCTTAAGGGCTGTCAGGTGAATTTTGCCGGGAAATTTTCAGCTCAGCCTTTGTTCGCATGGGGATGACCCGACACCATAAACAAAGATTAACCACCTCGGATGACAGGGTTGTTCGCCACTGTCAACACCTACTTATGCACGTCTAGTCGGGGTGGTAATGTTGTACCCGATCTTTAATAGCTCTATGTCATTCCGTGCTTAAGCGGCTTCCAGGAGTACTGACGGTGGCGTATTTGTGCTCATCGCTGGCCGGTGTAGTATACGGAAGACAAAGTAGACGGTGTTATTTTTATTTTTCATTTTTTTTCTTTTCGTTTTCCCAAACAAAGAATTGGGCTACGAATCCTCTGTCTTCCAGACTGACTTGAAGAAGAAATCGAGGACTACAACCCGACGTGTCTACTGTCGTTGAATGGTCCATCACTTCAAAATTCTAATTGGAACGCCGATGGTAAAGAAGCATCGGAAATGCCCACTGAAACATCACCTCTCCTTTCATCCCACTGCGAAAATGGTACTTGTCCAGCCGACGGCGCAGTCCAGCAAAGTTCAGAAAGGAAGGGTCCAAATCCCGATGTCGCCAGAAGCGTCTGGTGGACAATGCCTGCCCTGGCAATCGGGATATTCCTCTCAGCAGCGGATCAAACCCTTGTTGTTGCATCGTATGGGAAGATTGGCAACGAGTTTTCTGCCTTGAATCAGACAAGCTGGATAGCTACTGCGTGAATAAGCTCTCATTTCCTAAACGCAGGAGTAAATACGGGCTGACGGGGTGGAACAGATATTTCCTCACGCTGACCGCTTTTCAGCCTCTCTACGGGAGGATCAGCGATCTATTTGGGCGCAAGGCAGCGTTATGTTTCTCCTTTGGCCTGTTCGCAGTGGGCTGCTTGTGGTGCGGCCTTGCTAGATCAATGAAAGACTTGATTATAGCTCGCGCCTTTACAGGCATTGGAGGAGGTGGGATGACCACGGTAGTAGCTATATTGCTCTCAGATGTGGTACCCCTTCGAGATCGTGGTACGTGGCAGGGATATAACAACATTGTGTATGCATCGGGAGCAGGGTTGGGAGCTCCTCTAGGCGGTGCATTAGCCGACACCTTGGGATGGAGATGGTAGGTCAGTGCCCCGGGCGCCGTTTGCGAGCAGAGTGGTGGCTGACTTTTAGTGATTGAAGGTCGTTCCTTTTGCAGGTCCCTGTGAGCATGCTTGCGTTCTTGAACGTTCTATTTGTTCTGCGAGAACGCCCTTTGGACCACCATTGGAGACAAAATCTAAAGCAGGTCGATTTTCTGGGAGCTCTTCTCTTGGTAATCGCCATATCGACGTTGTTTCTTGGTCTAGATCGAGGAAGCAACGACTCCTGGGGAGATCCGATGGCATACGGAAATGTAGTCGCATCCATTGTCTTTTTCGGGCTATTCCTCTTCAATGAGGCCAAAACGACGTGTCAACCCTTTGCTCCACTGCAAATTGTATTTTCACGTCCCATATTGGCATGCCTATTGTGTAACTTCTTCGCGTTTGGCACGTATATAGCCTTGACATACAATCTCCCATTGTATTGGCAAGCCGTGGAGTCACTATCCGCAACGGCAGCAGGAGTGCGTTTATTGCCTGGTATCCTTGCAAACGTTTGCGGTTCTCTCTTCGCAGGATGGGTGAGTATAAACGACCACGTCCTCGAAAAATGCATCAACCTCGATTTCTAATCAGTTCCACGGCATTTGCAGATCATGCGTCGAACATGCCGCTACCGGTGGCTCACAATTTGCTGCTACCTCATGTTCCTGATCGGAACTGTTCCCGTCATACTTTTCACCGGCCTTGTTGGGGCAAGTATATGGGGTATTTGGGTCGGAATGGTTGTATACGGGTTTGGTAATGGTATAGGGGGAACAAGCACACTGGTTGCTCTGAGTAAGGCCTTTCCCTATTGAAAACTTCCTTTCCCCGAGCTCACAGCCCTAATGCAGTTGCCAATGCCGTGCCGGAAGACCAGGCAGTTGGAATCGCGTGTCTCTATCTCTTCCGGTCTCTAGGCTCCGGGATTGGAGTCTCGATTTCCGCAACAGTCATACAGGCTCTTCTGAAAACATACTTGTTTGAAAGGCTGCATGGTATCGGAGACGCCGAGGAGATAGCTCGCAAAGTCAGGGAGAGCTTAAGCTATATTGACGAACTCTCTGATGCAGCACTCCGGGAGGCGGTAAGAATGTGTTATGGCTGGGCAGTCCAGGCCAGCTTCTGGCTCATGGGGGTATTTGTATGTGGAGCACTTCTTGGAGCAATCCTGATTCGGGAGGCGAAGCTAGGGGAATAACTAAATAGCTAGTGTGGTAAATATCACACCTGCTAGGTTAGACTGAAATCTCACATTTCCATGCACAGAGATCCGGGTAAATATCAATTATGTTTTCAGAACATATTTATGTTTTGGTCCAAAAATCTTGGTCTAGTAGTCAGGAATTCCCTAATGTGCTATAAAAGCTAGGTTTTTGGGTGAATCGTGATGTTTTTGGTTGGCGGTGCGCTTTTTTTTCGAACGAGGGTAGTGATCTGTGCCCAGAAGCAATGTGGCGTGGAAATAAAAAAGAAAAAGGAAAATAAATGTAAGTGGCTGGTCTATTTTTGCCATATGCGGTCCATCTTTTTTATAATCACGCCAGGAGACCTCAATTAGCACGACCACGACTTCGCGATCGCGAAACCCCTTCCGCGTGGAATGGGAGGGCAGCCAGCTGGAATAAAAGCGATCCCGCCATCGACCTCCAAACGTGAACCGCGGCAGCGCACTCCGCAAATCCCGTCATCCGCAAAAATCGCATGAATGAATTCCGGCGTGTGGGGTATCCCTCGTCGCCTAGTCCCAAACACGAAGAACTGGCGAGGATGGTGTCATTTCAGCTCTTCTCCGGTCAGCGAACTGCAGGCCTGGAATTGCGGTCTTGTTGGGGCTCTGAGGCCATAGAGGCACTAGAGCACGCGATTTGGAGTAGTACGGAGCTCACAGGAACTGGAGAAGTATGACATGTGTTTGAGACGCCGCTCGGACATTTCAGGCAACACGTATCACTCTTGACTCCGGCCCTTTCCTTTGAAAGAATACGCCATAGTATGCGTAGATATACATATATATATCTCCAACTTCCAACTGCTGGGTCCTTAAACCTTTCAAAAGACGAAGAGCACGATTCAATTCACTCAATACATACTTCTTTTAGACATCTATCGGACGGATCGGAACACAAAATGGCAACACCAATTCAACTGAACCTGCAAGCCAAAAACGCAGAATATGCCTCGAAGTTTGACAAAGGCCATCTTGCCTTACCTCCAGCAAAGCATTACCTTGTCCGTGGGTGACCCCGGAATAGGCCGTTTTCAATCAATACCAAGATTACCTAACCTAGTTCCCCAGTGACATGTATGGATGCTCGAATCGACCCAGCAGCAGCTTTTGGCATTGATCTCGGCGACGCCCACGTCATCCGAAACGCAGGCGCTAACTCCCGTGATGCATTGCGTTCAATTATCATCTCCCAGCAATTGCTCAACACAAAAGAAATTCTCCTCGTCAAGCACACCGGTTGTGGAATGCTGACATTCACCAACGACGCCGCACGCGCTGTCACGGAAAATAATCTTGGTTCTCATGTCAAATCGGAAGTTGAGGTGTTAGACTTTCAACCGTTCCCGGATTTGGAGGAGGCAGTCAAGGCCGATGTGAAATGGCTGAAGGAACAGACCCTAGTGATTCCCGGTATTCCTATCACTGGGTGGGTGTATGAAGTAGAGACGGGAAAGGTTCGGCAGGTGGTCTGAATTTTTTTTCATTTTTTTTTCATTTTTTGTTTTAATCCTTCCATGATTGTAAAGATGGTCCAACCAGTGATGACTCTGAAACCAGGATAGGACAGCTCCGGAGATATGCTCACCTTTGATATTCATATGTTTCCTGTTCGAACATCAAGCCTCAAATGGCCGTGGTAGATCAACTTAGAAGGCTTTGTAGATAGAGTAACTTAGATTCCAGGTATAAAACCGGATTTTGCGCCCTCAAATTGACACGAGATTAGCTGGGGCCATGAGGGCCGACGGTCCTAAATCCTCCTTCATCTCTGTCTTCACCTTTCTGAGGCCATAAGATGTGCCGCAATTTTATCGCTCGAATCATCATAAAAACGACAAAGAAATACGTGCAAAACAGCATGACAGTCATCACGCAACCAATAATATTTATAGCGCGGCTTGAGAATGCTTCTCCGATTGCAAATGTAGCAGCCACCAAGGCAGTGTTCGGGAACACAAAGGAGAACCAAGTCATAGAGAATATCATCGTCGAGCTTCCGACGGTTGAAGTATGAGCGAATACCGCAATGAAGAAAAAGAAAATCGCGAGCCTGTAGAAAGCGATTAGCTAGAGACATATCGCACTGGTTGTAACAAGAACCTACCCCCAAAGCCAGAGGGATGCGAAATAAGCTGTGAGGCAAATAATTTTTCCACTAAGCGCCGCGTCTCCCAGAAATCCTTCCGGAACGGCCCGATGAGCACTACTTCCCATGCTAACAAGACCGACGACGGTGAACGCACTCGGGCCGACAGAGACAAACATGCCGGGCCTCAAATTTTCTTTGGGCAGCTTTTGCGTCATCAGACGATAGATAAAAGCGGAATACACCATCATGGACACTAAAAAGCCAACGCCTTGGATGGTGTTGCCTCCAATGATGATGCGCCATGCGTTCTCCTGGGCCAACTTTGTGCTTAACGTACCGGCATGTGTACCGATGATCAGCATGGGATAGGCAGGAAATATCCAAATAGGGGTCATTTGAGCAATGGTGAATGTCTGCGTTGACCATCTACCTCAAAATTAGCATTGGGTGTAACCATAGATAGCGATAAAATCCAAGGCATACAGAACAAGGTATATCCCAGAAGATGCAGCCACAGCCAGGGCTGCATAAAACCAAAACAGAATAACTACGGCGTTCTCGAGCCACTTTCCCGTGTGGGACAGTCCATATTGCGCGATGTTGATGAGGATGGTACCAAAGGACACAATAGTCGCAGGAACAAACAGGGACTCCGTCGGATGGAGAAATGACGCTTTGAATGTATATGGAAACAGATAAAACCGCAGCAGTAATAATGCCCATATAATCACATATAGTGCCATATTCGTGATGAATACTATGATGGCGATGGTATCCAAACCATAAAATCGATAAGGAACTAAAGACCTTTAGCGATCCTTACATCTACATATGGCTGTGGCACCGTCAACGGTAGGGAAGGACACACCTTTGTAGAGCACGTTTGCCAGACCACCTGTTGCCATGGTCAGGGTGAAATATGCCCAAGTAAAGTGCCTCATTCTCTCTTTCCAAGAGAGCTTAGTTGGAAAACTGTCAACGAGGGCTAAGGAAGCGCCTGTGACAGAATGGTCTGCGCCCGGCACGGAAGGCCTTCGTTCATCCCCGGTAAGATGATGTCCATCAGCCTGAGAGACATAGCTTCGACGATATCGTGACATGACGGTTGGCACTGGCGTTAACTCAGTATCGAACGACTCTGGCGGCAATGCCACAGCCGAGGCGGAATCCTCCTCCACATCTTCAATGGTTGGTGTCCTGTACCCATCATCACCAGGCCTGCGAAGATGCCTTGGTAATTGACATGAACTCTGCATCTTTCAGCGGGAGATGCAGGGGCATCGGCATTGTGGAGCACATCAAAGTCGGGTGAGATCGAGAGTTGTCCTTGGGGCGAATGAATGACCGTGGGAGAATCTCGCACAAATCTAATTATGCTGAGCAGCCCCCGGGTCATTTGACTATATCGAAATGTACAGGAGGCGAAAACCGTGCCCGCCCGGTTAATCGATTCGGAAAAAAGTTTTTGGTGCGGAGGGATCGAGACCAAGGTTGGGTTCGCCAGAAGCCAAGCCCGTTGAAGCTCCAACTCTGCAAAGGCGGAGATCCACAGGAGCCAGCCGTCGAGCAGAACTCATATCCGGGCCCGTCAACCCGCTCCACACCGTTGCTGAGTTCCAACGGCCGCCAGATAAATCCCTATACAAAACAGGATTGAAGACGACCAGCTGTCGGCAGCGGAAACGGCTGGATTATCTGACAAGTCGGCGGGTGTGTCCCGTCCGAACCGGAGAATCGTCTATGACTTATGAAAGAGCGTCTCGGCGGCTCTGGTCTGGTCTGGGGTCGCGCATGTGAATCAGTGGCGGCGAAAGTTGACACCCGAGGAGGCACGAGGTTCAACGCCCGCGCCAGGGCTCAGGGCGGTGCTTTTGATCAACGACGAAGCAATCTCCTCTATTTAATTGTGCTACTCTGCAGTTAACTAATTGACCGGACATCGCTGCACTACAATGGACAATCGCAAATCAGCCCTTATCACCGGGTGAGCTCTCATATTCGTGTCCGGCCGTATTTACAAGAGAAAGCCAGGAAGCTAACCTGGTTTCGACTTCAGGTGTTCGCCCGGTGGCATCGGCCACTCGCTAGCTCTAGAGTTCCAGCGGCATGGCCTTAGGGTCTTCGCGACCGCGAGAAACAAAAATACTATCGCAGATTTGAACGATCGAGGAATTGAGACGTTGAGTCTGGAGGTCGACCAGGAGAGAAGCGTACTAGCTTGCCGCGACGAGGTGGCTTCGCTGCTGGGACCAGATAAGGGACTGGATTATCTTGTCAATAATGCGTTAGTGGCTCCCTGTCGTCTGGCATCATTTGTTTTGAAGCTCAGGTGTCATACTAACGAGACATTCATCACGAGTCACAGTGGCCAGAGTATGTAGACATCTATCTCCAGTTGGTCGCTACATATCGTTAAACCATCAACCAGACTATACCGTTCCAGCCCTAGATGCGGATATCAATGAGGCGCGACAGGTTTTCGAAACGAACTTTTTCGGCGTCATAATGATGTGCCAGGCTTTTGTCCCTCTTCTCATAAAAGCCCAAGGCACAATCGTGCAGATTGGCTCGCTTGCAGGGGTATCATCGTTCTTGTATATTCTAGAAGCCAGAGCAGTAACCAAAGATTCGCAGATAATACCTTACGTCTTCGGCTCTGTATACAATGCTTCTAAAGCAGCCCTGCATTCCTTCAGTGACACTCTGAGAGCAGAATTGGCGCCACTCGGGTTCGTATTCCCTATTCATTTCCACTCGATCCTCCATCCCCCGTTATGAATCTCAGGGTTCAGATACAAATAGCTAATATCCTAATCAGCGTCCACGTAACAACCATCATCACCGGTGGCGTAAAATCCCGCATAGCGCGCGTTGAACGAACCCTCTTACCCACCTCCCTCTACCAGCCCATTCGCAACGACTATGCGCGGCGCGTCACCCACAGCCAACACGGCGCTATGCCCAACGAAGCTTATGCCAAAACCGTTGTCACACAGATATTGTATGGCTCAGCGCCCTGGAGATGGATATGGCCCTGGAGCAGAGGGCCGGGACGGAAGAAGTGGATTTGGGCTGGAAACAAAGCAAACTTGGTGTGGTTCCTGAGCGCTGGATGGGCCTGGATAGGACTATTTCAGTGGGCGCTAAGTCGGATGTTTAACTTGGGAAAGTTGAGGAAGGCCTTCTTGGAGGAAAAGAAAAAGGCGAAGAAAACATAGAGCGACTACTTTGCAAACATGAGCAGTGTCAGAGAAAAGTGGCACCCATAAGGTGTACAATTATGGCTGAAGTGCGCCTAATAATAAATTTTCGGAGTATAGAAAAAGAAAAGTATTGAGCAATTTTCCAAAACTCTACCTGATCGAAAAAGAAATCCTATACAATGAGTAGGAAAATGACGGGAAGTACGAGTAAAATACATCAGGGTAAACGAATGCCATTATCGGCCATTTGGATCACGGATATCACGGAGGAAGGAAAGTTGGGCAAAGGGAAATCTGGAGTATCCATTGCGTGGATATTCCCTGGCTACCAAATCTGCCTCTATTAGAACAAATTCTCTTATCTCTGTGGCAAGGATCTCCATTCAACCATAGCCCCTAGAATCCGGGGCGACGGCTGTCGCCAACCATTGAGGTCCTTCTTCGTCTGACAGAATGCGAAGGAGAAGTTAGCAGCACAGAGAAACAGTTGCGGCGTTGCATGGATTCGTTTGGAAATGTGTCGAGGTATAGATAGGGAGTAAGGAGATAGCAACTAGCCACTGTGCGCTTAAATACCAAGCGTGAATTCGACCCCAACATCAATATCACGAGCCATCTTGACAACCTTTGAGAACTGGACCGACTTTTCGGCCGCATTCTGAAGGTCCTCAATGGAGAATATCTTCAGTCCCGAATCGTTGATCTGAAAGCATACGTTAGCAACCACCGGTCAAATCTGCAGGAGATAAACATTTACCAGTTGATGAGCTTTCTCCATGTTCGTGCCCTGTAAACGGGCGACGATAGGAGTACGAAGGTTCATGTCACGGACCACGTTGATAAGTCCTTGGGCAATGGCGTCGCATCGCACAATACCTCCGAAGATGTTAACAAAGATGGCAGTAACCTTCGGGTCACTAGTGATAAGCTCGAAGGCCGATTTAATGGCGGATGGGGTAGCACCACCGCCAACGTCCAAGAAATTAGCCGGATTGCCTCCGTTGAGCTTGATGATATCCATGGTGGCCATGGCCAAACCGGCTCCGTTGACTTGACGAGGTTAGAATATGGAATGTATACGAATAGAATCAATTCAACTTACCCAAGCAGCCAATGTCACCATCCAGCTTAATGAAGTTCAATCCAAACTCAGCCGCCTTGACCTCGTCGGGATCTTCTTGAGTGGTGTCTCTCCAAGAAAAGACCTCCTTTTGTCTGAATTCGGCGTTATCGTCAAAGTTGAGCTTTGCATCCATGGCAAGAACTCTGTAGTCTGTAGTCTCAGCGAGGGGGTTGATCTCAATCTGGGTAGCATCCCTCTCCATGAAAACCTTGTATAATTTCTGGATAGTGTCCTTTGCCTCCTCGAGACATTGCTCCGAGAAGCCTAAGCCGGCGGCGATTTTGCGAGCGATTTCGTCGGTGACTCCGACGTTGATATCGATCTTTGTGGTAGTGATAGCCTCTGGGTTTTCTTTCGCAACAGCTTCGATATCCATACCACCCTGCGAAGAAGAAACAATCACCGGGGATTGAGAAGCGCGGTCCATAAGAACGGCGAGATAAAATTCCCTGCGAGCATATTTGCGCTCGCAAATGTAAACAGCGTTGCAGATGCGCCCGCGAGCTCCGGTTTGTTTAGTGACGAGTTTATGTCCGATCATTTGACCTGCAAACATTCGGGCTTCGGTGGGCCTGCGCTGGACGTCAGGACGGGGTGTGCACGACAGAAGATAAGGCGATTCCACTTACGAGTAAAGGATACGAACACCTCCCTTCAAACCATTGTCGAAAGTACCTTTACCTCGACCGCCGGCTAGAACTTGGGCTTTGATGACCACATCCTCCCCACCTAACGCAGTGTATTAGAGCTGGGAGGTTTAAAAAAAAAAAAAAAAAGGAGCTGGGAGAGTGCATACCGAGCTGTTTAGCAACAGCTTCAGCCTCATCCGCAGTGCGTGCGACCTCGCCTTTGGGAACTCCGATTCCGTACTATTGTGGTTGTTAGCGTCGAGCCCACTCCTTACAGGGCTGGAGTGGATCTATGTTTACGAACAGATTTCAACAAGTTGGCGGAAAGGTATTCGTGGATGGAGAGGTTTCTTTTTTGGCTTTGAAGGGCGCTTCTGAGAGGTGTTTCCTAGAGGCGGATTGATGTCAGCGTTGCGGTCTTTGCAAAGCGGGATCTCATGAAAGAGGACATGTTACAGAAAGGCGGCAACAGTGTACTTACCACGATAGGCCTGAGGGCCGCAGCAATTGGTCTGCTGCGCGCGAGCTTAAACATGATGAAAAAGACAATCTAAATAACACAAACCAAGAGAAGGGCTGGAGAAGAACTGTGGAAGTTGAAGAAAATTGAGAGGCCGGAGGACGATGAGACAACTGCGTCTGAATGATTACCCCAAGATTTTCCCGCGACACGTCCTGGTTGCCCAATTGGGTGAAGTGCTCGGGAAGGCGTCCCGATCTTGTCAGGGCCAGTGCGCTAAGCCGCCTTGGGACTAGTGACGCAAAAGCATTAGTCCGGCGACCCAAACTTATCGGGCGGGCTGATCCACGCCTGCGAGATATCGGCAGCCAGAGCGACTGCTGCCGGAGCCTGACCTACGGACGAACTACGATAAAAGAGCTAGCTGTGAATTGATCTTCTGGCGGCATGGCGAGCTCGACGACAGAGGCCGATGTCATCTTTAACCGGGCAAGTGTTGCATTGGCTCGAAGTCAGAGACTGATCGCATCCTGGCTCCCTCCGAAAACCCAAGAAGAGATAGCACATGAAAAGACGGAGGAAGAGCTACAGCGAGAGGAAGATGAGATATTTACTCCAGTGCCGGAAAAGTACGTCAACAAAATAATGACTTAACATCTGTATGGAGCCCCCTCAATAGCTAATACGTTCTCCTGTTCATCAGACTTGGGCTCGGTGCTCCATTGCCAAATAGCCAGTCTGATGGTTGTCGCAACCGCGCGGAGCTCAATTCCAACGACAAATTAAGAAAACAGCTCTTGGGTAGAAATTCGAAGACAATCACTCCATCACGGAATCCCAGCGGACAGCAGACAAAACAAAAGAGAACCAACAAACCGATTCCATCCCCTACTTCGGATTCTGAAACCGAAGAGGAAAGCAGATCGTCCTTGGTCACACGGAATAAGAAGAAAACATCGCATTCAAAGAATGTCGCCAATACAGTAGAACCTGACGGAGACATTGAGCCAACAAGGAAGAAGTTAGGCACAAAGAGAGCAGGAAGCTACCTCGACGAACTTCTATCCACCAGAACGAAAAAGAAAAAAGCGAAAAGAGGCGGTGACTGAGGCATATCCGCGAAGCCGTCTATTTCCCATTCAACTGGCGAAAGCTGTTACGAAGCTCAGGGTAACTTTTCAGGTTGGATATATGTGCCATCGTTGCGCCGGAGTTCAGGGTTGTTTCTTTGGCCTGAGGTGTGAACTCCCCAAATCGTCGCTGTCGTTTATTCTCCTGCTTTCCAGCGATATGCCCTTTCTCGGAACTACCTTCGATCTTTTGAAGCAATTGACCTTGGACGTCAATTACATGTAAAAATTCGGGATTCAGATCCTCCTTTGGCCCAGCGATGGCTCCCGTAGCGTATATATTCGCCGCCCAGAGTTTCAATTTCGACCCTGGAGCAGCCGATCCGTACATCTGTTGAATGAGACTCGACGGAATTTTTGAATCGCCCTTTGAAGCTAGTCCTTGAATCTTCGCTTCGATTTTGCTTTTGATGGCCTCGACGCCCAATTTATCCCCCAGTAAATACAATTCTATCAGTTATTGGTATTGAGTCGGGTCCGCCTCATTTTCCTGACTCGGGAGGCAATCACGATAAAGCCAGTCGACGAAGGTGCAAAACAGATCAGGCTGGACATCCGCGAGCTCCAATGTTTTCGTCGAAGGAGATTGCAGACGCGTGTTAAACAATTTCGACTCTTTGATGAGGAAATGCGGATGAATCAAGAATTCTTCTGGTGCGCTGCCAATGCGAACTCCAATAACTGAGCGAAATGGATGCCTATTAAACATTAGTCGCGAACGAATGAGTTATGACGCGTGTCACCACAAGATGTCGCTCTAAGAGTACTTACATGCTTGATTTTGCAGTAATGCACTATGTGGGCGGGTTCTCTGGCTCTTGTTCACTTAGATGTCTTTCTCTCGCGAGAGATTGTGTCCCCGTTGTCAACTCTTTCCTCCTTGATCTTCGTCTACGTATCAATGGCTTGTCGTCATCATCACTTGAAATAGTGTTGTCCAACTTGCCCAGAGCGGGCTGATCTCTATCTCTTTGGGGATATCGCGAAGACATTCTGATAAGATGTCACTATGTAAAGGGAGGAGACAACATGAGATCTTTGATCTTGGGAGGAAGGCTTTGGGCTAAAAGAAGGGCCTTAGGAAGGAGTAAGCAATATGTCAGAGCTGAAAAAGTAGAGCAACATAAAGTGTTTGAATTCAGTCACGTTAAAGGACAGGTTTCTTACTAGAATGGATTTGAGCAACACTCACACGTAAAAACACTTCAGTCAGTCATGTGAACAGGGCTAGAACACTTTCTATGGGCTTGACCCTTCATAATTGATCAAGAAAGAGTGCTCCTATATGCTGGGCTGCTTGGATTGCCAAAGTGGTCACCCATGAAGAGTTGTAGTGGTAGGATGGGCGGGGGTGGGCAAAACAGTCAGGTCAGAGTGGCCAGGACAGTTCTCATGCCTCTTAGTTATGAATAATATCTACAGAGGTATTTGTCGCCGGGACAGTGCCTTCATCGATGGTTGCTGATAGGACTTCCTACCTTCAATACATTGACAAATTGGTAAATTGGGCTATAGCCAATGTACCTAGCTTTGTATCCAACTTATATCAGCCTTAGCACTCAATGTTGATGGGAAACCACTGTTTCCTCGAGCATCTTATAGGGTATGCGCTCCGGAAATGATATAGGTACACTCATCCAGCAAAAACCCCGCCAATCTAAAACGTGGATGATATGGGGCACCAGCCAGGCAGATGCTCCTGGCTTGACAAAAAGGAGCATCAACAATCTGCCATGCATATTAAAGCACAAAGGTTAAGATCTTAGCTCTGAAGTTTTTGGCAATTGAACTCCGCCCTCTTTTGCTGAGTCAAACCAGAAACACTGAGTCAAGCATCTGGATGAAAACCTTAAGTGGTACATACAAAAGAAAGAAATGATGCAGTTGTCGGATCAATACAAACGCCTCACATGTTGGGGTCCAAATTCACATAACTGCCACGTCATTGTGGTGTCAGTTACTCCAACTCCTCCAAAATGAAGGGACGGCACCAATGGAGAAACAAGCAGACAGAGAAACAAGGTATTCGAAGGGATAGCTAGGTATGAACCACTCTCAATTACAAAAGAATACTACACCAACACAATAGACTCACACAACTTGAACACATACACATGGACAAAAGTTCCAATGATTTTTTTCCTTTCTTTTTTTTTGGTGAGAAATCCGTGAGAAGTGAAAACAATCAGGGCAGCGCCATCAGATGTGGAAAAGTAAGGCACAGGAAACTGATATGATTACAGGGAAAAAAAGTCTGATAGCGAGGCGGCATATTGTTGGTGACTGGAGACCAAGAAATTTTGAGAAATGAAAATAGAAGAAAACAATGTTGGGAACTCCCTAACAGTTTGGCAGGATAAGAGCAGATTGTGGTTAGTCAGCAACAGCGACTGGCCACTTCTCACCTTTCATTCAGGGTTGGGACGAGCGTTTTTTGTGGTTTAATTCACACACAAGTACAGCATGAAAACATGCGACGAAAGCCAGATGTAGGGTATTCAAACATGGCTTATGAACCTTGCACTAGTGAATGAAAGGAGGCCAAGAGGTCAGGCCATTGAAAGCGGCCTTTGCAGAGCAAAAGCATACTTGAATAATCAAGTCATAGTTTCATGGAACAGAGCTGGTTGGCATGCGACTATATTGAGATATAATTCGCATTTTTCAAATAGCAGGTGATTCGACTGGTGCGATAGAAAAAACACACCGTAGATGATAATTCATTTGGTGAAGAATATCAATCACTGAAGTCGCTGGCGTTTCCGATCCTCGCATGTTGCAGCATCCTCTTCCTCTGCACGTTCTCTAGTCTCCGCTGGGTTGAGGAGAGAATGCACGTTGCTAGCCATACTTGATCGTCTCGTGGCTGGAAGGGACTCTGTAGGACGGAGAAATTTGGAACCTCCAGTCGGCCATCCACCTTCCGAAGGCTGGGCGGGATCTAGTGATAGCGGTGGCGTCGCGTGTCTTGGAGTACCTGGCTGTTGTCGTGGTTTCCCCATTTCATATTTGGCGAGCACATCGCGGACCTGTTGATCAGCTGCATTGGGTGCTCGTTGAGGTGACGATGGCCATTGAAAGGACGTTGCACCAGCGGAAAATGGCGAAGGCCCGGGAGTTGGCCAGCCATGCTGCCGAATATCGGCTGAAGTATGACGTCTACCCATATTTGCGCCGGGTGGTGAGGAGACAGACAGAGGGTGTGGTCCCGACGGGTGCGGTGAGACTTGCGGCCTAGTATAACTAGCAGAATTACTCGCGCCACCAATAGACCCATATCGATGCGGGGAGATAGAGATATGGGGCGGTATTGGTGGGCGAGCAAGAGAGGTTCTTCGAGAGTCTTGAGCAACTTGGCGGGGAGACAGCGGAGGGCCGGTGTCAACGGTCAAGTTTTGGAAATAAGGCTGTCGTCCCGGCATGAGCATATCATTCGGCGATTCGGGTGCACGCGCAAGTTCAAGCTGTCTGGCAACTTCTCGTTGCATATTGGCGGCTTTTTGACAGAATTAGAATGGATCTTCGTCGATTGCAACACAACCAGACTTACCTTCTCGGTGAATGGGGTTATCTGCATCTGGAACCAGTGATGTGATAAAGCGAGACATCAAGTTTATCCACTAATGATACAACTTAATTTTTATTGCCAAAACCCAATTGAATGGATACGGAATACATACCTGATGACAACGGATTAAACTCTCTGTGAGTGCTTGGCATCTTGAGCTCAGTAAACTGTGCTGATCTTCCATACGGGTTAGTCGCGAGTGCACTTCATAGAGGGAATGTTCGAGATTGACAACTCGGTCGGGAACCTCTGGGACGGTCTCCGCAGGGGTGCCTGGTTGAGAGGCGTTGTTGTTCTTATGCGCTGAGAACGAATCGCGATGGATCAATGCATGTCTTGACGCGCGCCTTTTGATTTCGCGCAAGCCTGACAAGTCTCCTTTTCTAAAACTTCCATTTCCATGTCGAAACTCCCACATCGGCGAATCGGGCGAACCGGTATGGAAAACATCGCTCACTTGGCGGGCAAGTTAGCAAAGACTCTCCGAGAAATGTGATGGTGACTTTACCTTTGTGAAACCCGTACATGTTCAATTGTCTAACAAACGAGGAAATATTCGTGTGCTTGAAATATTGTCTGGTGCAAATGAGTCAACATGATCCTCCGAGAGAAGTGTGCTGGGCGACGTACGAGAGAACCTTTGAAAAGTCCGACGATGGGGACATGACAAAGCTCTCGTTTGAGCTCGACCAGGATATTAAATGCTGAATGCTCGGATCTTGCAGCATGCTGCCAGATTCGTGTTAGAGAAATTCGAAAACAAACGGCTCCAGCAGTGTGAGTGCACGTCCTACCTGTAAAGCTTGTGTATGAATGCCGTTTGTACCACTTTGGGCTGCTGCGCCGCAGCTGCAGCACCAGTGGGTTGTCCAGAGGCATTGTTTTGGGATGCATTTGATTCTGCTGTATTCCCATTGGTATGATTGGTCGGCGCTTGCTCGATTTCAGGGCTGCTTTGCGACGGCGGGCCCATTGCAGCGGAAGCGGGCGGGCTGACGTCCATAGGATCACCTGGGGAAGGGTCGGAGGGCGAGATAGAGGCAGAGAGGACGGGGATGGTTCTGGGTTCGGTCGACATCTCCACTGGCCTTGTGAAAGGATTTCTTGATGGGGGTTCGAGGACTCGACTCATCGCAGCGATGTAGAATGGCGGTAACGGAGGACGGGAGAGGAGCAGACCGCTGGAAAGCAAGCCGCACGGGGAGAAAAGGGAACCGAAGAAAAATTCAAATTCACTTCTAGTCAATTACAGCAACCGACAGCGATGAAACCACGCTCAAGACAACCGCGGCGGCCTCGATGGCGATATTCACCATGCACACTGCACGGTTGCGGAAGACTGGATTGTTGCGCCCGCTCGGGTGGGGATGTGGCACTGGGGAAAGCTGGACCCACAAAACGCTGGGATAACTGCTCCGTAGGCGAGGAATAATCGGTACATTGGCATTCAACCGCGTGTAAGAGCCGGAGCCGTGGCCATATTTCGACTGTCAAGCTCTCGAATCGAGGCGGCAGAGGGAGGACTCGAGATGGCAGGCGAATCCGGTCCGGGATGGAATTAGTTCACCAACCGACCAGTTGGAAACCTTCAGGCTAACCGTGGGAAGAGGTGACAATCAACCACAAACAATCGCGATAACGACAGTGTGGAGCGGCGCGAGTCGCGTAGAGAGTGGTTGTGTGCTGTAAGATCACGTTAATAATAACAATGACGTTGCTCGAGGACAGCCACTGAGGAGGAGACAAGGAAAAGTGACTTGTGGAGGGGAATAAAGTCCTCTGTTGCCAAAAACAACGTGACACGATGAAAATGCGACTCCAGGCGACAAGCAAGTTTCTGGGCTTTTGCTCCTCGAAGGCAAGGAAGCGCAAGGAGCGACAGTCAGAGGGGGGAAACGAAAATAAAAATTCAAAAATTCAAATAAAAAAGCAAGGCGAATGAGGGCGCGCGCCGGGGTTGGAGAGCGGGTGTGCAGGCGAACAGGTGAGTTTGAGTGGAGATCCCCGGGAAGTAAGTTCGCTAGGACCTGCAGAAGGACTATCGACCGACGGCGACAAAGGTGCTTCACTATACTCGTTTCCGACGGTCCTTTGTCCCCGGACGCATTCTCGAAAAGGGCAAGCTGCAGCACACATCCCTGATTGGAGATGGAAGCACCTTGACTTTTTACAAGGGCAGATGGAAGGCTGAGCGAATGCTGCGGAAGCTATTTCTGGAATTGCAAAAGAGGGAAAAAGAAAAAGAAAGGAAAAAAAAGGGAATACCTGGGGCGTCGGAAGCAGAAGTCAGCTCACATGGTTACCGAATAACCCATACACCAAGAAGTATTCTTCTTTCAGGCTGAAGGTTGCAGGATCCTGAAGCTTTGTCGTGCTCGAGGGCGAGGAGAGATGGCGGTTGGTCGCTTGGGAGCTGTCGAAGTCGAAGCCGAGCAGCCAACTAACGAGTGACTAGCGGAGACGGGAAGATCTGTAACCTTCCTCGTTGCCTGCTTGATTTTAATAGTGCTTACTGGACGACCTGTTGTTTTTAGGAACTGCAACAGGTCCCTGTCAAAGGCGATCCCGAGGGTCACCAAGATGGCACACGAAGCACATCTCCATCCACCATTGCTGCAGGACATGCATGGTTGTGGGGAGATCCCTTGCGACCTGCATGTCATGTTGAACCTCGTTTTCCCACTCCTCTTCTCTTCTCTTCAACCGCATTGCGCCCCCCCCTTTACCCAAGGTTACTCCGCTCTCCTTAAAATTAGAATCACATACTCTGTAGAGTGTCCTGTATTGGGTTTCTATAAACTTAGAAGGGACGGTGGTACCTAGTTATTTCAGCTGCCCAAACTTTCCATCCTCCAGGCTCTCATAGTTACTCTCAGCTCTCTACTTTGCATGGAGGCGAGCAAGGATAATGGTTGCCCCTCCGCCACCAACCTTCCACTCGATCAACAATAAAACACTTCTACATATGCCTGTGTTCGAGAATTGATGACAGGGGCATGAGTTCAAACCCAACATAGTATCTCCACATAACACTTGCTGTTGAAACACACCATCCAGATCGAAGGATCAACCAAAATTGCGGGAGATCTAAAGATACGTAGTTAATCCCATTGCGATGATGCGCCCTAGTAGATAACCTTATGCCGCGGAGCAAGAGCTGTACCTGATATGGAATGCCCGTGGAACGTTCTTCGACACTATAAACTAGGTCTGGACATCGGTCCACCAAAGCTCGGCCAAATGGAGGAAAGGGGACTTGACGAACCAAGGTTGCCGTGGGGGCTCATGGAATAGGTGAGGTTAATCCGAGGACCAAGGAGCATTTGGTTCGAGACAAGTCATCAAGCCAATTTATAAATATTTGAAACTTCCGTTCGATCTCAGGGGATAGAGAGACTTGTGCGTTAGAATATAAATGGATCGAGAGCGGCAGGTCAGAAGAAAGGAGGTAATGTTGAATCCTGATCTGCGCATTCCAGCCAGTTCTGACGCGCCACATGCTTTTCTCCCCGGTCAGCGAATTGACAGTCTTCTCATCACTGTGTCCTTCGGGCCAAAGGCCATTGTATGTATTCCGTACTGTACTATATGAAGCACACATTCAAAATACCTTTTCTTTCATTGGCCTCAACCGTATCGTCAACGTAAGGGATCACGCGGGTATCCGTGTGGGCTCAGCTTGGTTTCGAGACACAGATTCACGGAACTCCCTAGAAATGTCGGCTTTAAACTTCCGGCCTTGCCGGGTCCGTCTTAAACCAAAAAAATAAAAGAAAGTTATTTACTATATCACCCTCCTCAGGTTCAACAGAGAGGGATGATGCGATAGATCAAAGGGAGCGGCAACGCAGTTACCAAGTGAGATGGTCAAAAGGCGTAGTTCAGGCTACACCCAAAGAGAATTGAACTGTCAGTTGATCAAGCACCCGGAAAACGCTAGTAAGCTTGGCGACATTTTAGCACCGAGGTAAATTTCAGACATTTTAGGAGACCGTTGAGTGTGGTTCTGGTGGAAGCCCCCGAAGTTAAAGGGCCTTGATAGGCGCGCCAGTTTTCCTAACATCCACTCAGCCCCCCAAGCAAAATCACTAGCTTTCTCTGTACTCCGTACTGTACTGTACTGAAATTTCAGCCAAACGGACAGAAATACAACCTTTTGAAACTTTGGCCGCCTCTCCTTCATTGAATCAGCAATCTGTTGTTTGTATATGTTTTGTTATAGGGTTGAACAGCAGACAATGCAAGTGGAATGGGGAGTCATTGAAGCATTCTGCTAAACCTTGGAAGTGCTAAGTGGCAACTCCTTGAAATTGCCAAACTGTCTCAAGCTTGCTCAGTGGTTGCATGCTTCTGACGGTGGAATGGTGGTCATGCGATCACCCGTCCCCATCTCATTGCATGTCATATTGAGCCTGCATAGACACAACTTCATGGTCACACATCTGGTGACTTATCCTCTTCGTGCATTTTTGCTTTGTTGAAGCCTCCATCTGGTCTTTGTTTTCGGCAGGTGGTGCCTCTATATTCCTTTTTTTCTACCGCAGCCAGCTTCACGAAGGCACCCGGGAGACCGGCTGTTGATTGACTTACCGGGAGGAATGTGTTCCGCACATTTCGTGTAACCTCCCAGACGAGTCTTTGTGTCGCAACGGCGTCTAACACCACGGGTTGGTTGGCGCAAAGGTGGTACAATGGATCAATATCCTTCAAGTTCCGTGGATGTGATTGACGCCTTTCGAGCATTGACTGCCGAAGCGCGCAGAAATGTGTATGCACAACACCCCCTTTTCGGGTTGTGAAAGTCTCTCGCAGCAGAGATTTTTCACACATGCCTGCTCTGTCTGGAGTCGAAGTTACCCCAGAGTACGGTGCTAATCTTCTGCAGATGCCGTACTTTAGTGGCTGAATTCAGCCATGCCGAATGCCATGAAGTGTGGGATTTGATTTTCAACCGATTTCACTTTGATGTTCTTGAAAACCTGCCTTTGGAACTGTCTGCACGCGTTGCGGGTTATCTCGAACCTTCGGAAACATTTAGGTTACGTCAGGTAAGAGAGCACAAGCTGCTGCAGGATAATATTGGTGTCATCCAGTAACCCTGATTCCCTACAAATTAGGTCTCAAGGCGATGGAATGAATTGTTTTCAACACCAGCAATTTGCGGTAGCAGTTTCCGCTCTTTTAATTCCCACCAGATCCTCAACACAAGTGCTGCTGAATGGAAACAGAGTTATTCGAGATATGCAAAATGTCAGTTGGCTTTGAGGACAGGCAGGCCAGCAGGAGAAGCTCTCTACAGTGATATATCCAGTGACTGGTCGCAATGCAACGACAATACCATATCTTACTCTGACGGAATGATAGCATGGGCTAAGAATCAAGTGATCCTTTTACTCTGCCTACGAAGCGGGCGTGCTAGATACTTTAATACAGCAAACCGTCAAGTTGTTGTGTGTGTTCGGGTGTCCAGTAGGATCATAGCTGCCCTCACTTCTCATGGGTATTAATCCCTTTGTCTCTTATTGTGTCTCAACCCACATGCAAGCTAACCTATCCCACTTGCAGCTCTTGCCAGGTATGGAACCATAAGTCGGGCAAAGAGGGCATGCTACGCTTGCCTTCTGCCAACTACAAAGTCTCGCTTGGTTATATAAGACATAATTTCCTTGTCGACGAAGACACTATTGCCGTTTATCTAGCTGGTAGCCAATCCATAATCGTTTGGGACTTACAAACCGAAACGTCTCGGCAAATTTATATTGGCGCGGAACCCTTCCATATATTTCTCGATGCAAAAGGGAAAACCTTGACCGTGATGCGTCTTGAGGATGCTCATGAGAATCTGGTATACCGTCATGGTGACCACATTTCACAGATAGTTGGCGTAACTTATTCCATTGATCGGAATAGCCGCAGTGATCAGCGTTCCTTCTCCTTTCCCCTTCCAAACTCCGTGATGTCCGTCGATTTACGCCTTCATTCATGTCTCAATAACATCAAGAGTTGTTGTTTTCGGCTTAGCACGACGATATCCCACGATAAGAAAGACGATGCCCAGCCCTTAGCTGTCGGGGAATTCATCACATTTATCTCATATAGCAACATCCTGAACAGACCAGTTGCTAGGTTTTATCCGGAAATACCTTGTGGCGAGATGGATAAACGGTGCCTTGCGACGGTAATGTCTGAAGGTCTGGTATACTATTTAGCCGAAAACGACACAGATTCTTCAGCCATTGTCTTGGACTATCGCCGTGGAGAAGCCATTCAGGCTCCCGGAATAAACCTTGCAAGCGGAGTTTTCGGCGGCAACTCCCAATACCCCTGTTATTGTTTCGGTGACACCTTCATTTATGGAATCGGCCTTTCCGACGTGGTTCGTGTTTGGTGTTTCGACGAAGATGTGATGGCGGGTGGAGGAATAGGTCGCCACGAGATATTTAGAGACCGAAGAGATCTTGAGAGCTGAACTTGCCAATGTGAATGGCAAGTGATTACAAGCTCATCCGGAAAGGGAGAGGGAATTCGTGAAGCTGGGTGTTCCATTTTTAGATTTCAGGGTACCTTTGGTTGCACCCTTCGAGGCTGTTCCATCCTCAGCCGAAGCGTAATTATTCATCATCTCTCCTTGTGCCCCTTTTGCTGGCACAGAGGTGGGAACTTTTCTTGATGCGACGAGTGAATCTCATTGCTCATGTACGAAGGCCTCGTAAATCATGATCTTCATCATCAGGAGGTCATTTCTGACACGAAAAGAAGCTAAACCGAAATTCTCGGCACTGTCGAGTCGACAACATTTCGCTGGTAGATACTTTTCATGCATGAACCGATCTACTCCGTACATCCATATACCCCAAAATGCGGACTATTCAAGATGGTTTTGCACATCAGGCAGATATATATCTGAAGCTGGTGAAGACTACCATAATTTTCAGGCTGGACGAAGCCTGAAGGATTCGTTTCGCGGCTGAGAAATTAGTTGGTATATTATGACGGAAGCATCGATAAAGTTACATTCCATCTTCCAAGAGCACACTCGGTATCCCTTCCGTGGCCTTCTCAAAGAGGCTGCAGGGATGGCCCCAGACAGCTCGAATAACTCAGTCAATCCCCAAAGTAATGGGAATTTTTATCACCCATGCCTGCGTCCTTCAAACATCACAGGCATGAAAATGTCTGAGCTTGGACTGTGGAGATCCCCAGGCACTGTTCAAACCCAGCATTGGTTTTCTGGACCCAGCTGCATCATTGTCATCTTTGGTGCAAAGCGGACCGGGCTGACAAAGGGAAAGTTATCCCTGTTTGGCAGGCGATGATGAATTTTGAGTTGATGAGGCAAACGAGCTAAGTTAGTGGAATATCTCGCCAGCCAACCAGGCCGATCAACCCCAGTTAGTTCACCCGTTCACTGGAGCGAAGTTAATTGACGAGGTTGTGAGAACAAACCTTTTTGGGTCAACTCCCTTTCAAAATTTCCAAAAAGGAAAATTATGCTTCCTGAAGGTCTACTCGTCAGTATTTCAATCGGAGAAGCAACTCCGGGCCTTCAGCCTTCTCATGAGGTGAAGATGGATCAGGCTTGCGAGTCCGAAGTTTCTCAGACTCCATTCGAGGGTCCAGCATTGACCTTCCCCCCCGCAACCTCAGTCTTGTTGGTCTCGGAGTGGAGACGAAACCTATCCCAGCCATTGACTCGGGGGACTCGCATCAAAAAGAAGGTTCATAACCTCATGCTAGTCTCGTGCCCGCCCCTCTTCATGGACCGTAATCCCTGTCATCAGCGTACCGAGAGGCCAACAGCCAGTTCTAGCTTCGATGGAGATAGATCGCTGATGCTCTCCATTCCGTGTTGGACGTCAAAGCCCATGTGGCGTATGGAGATCAAAGCTCGAATTGCTGCCAAATCTTTCAAACGCATAGGAGATACGGAGAAGGTTTTTCCATCCAGAAAAAAACATTCTCCTTTGGAGAATTCAATTTCAGCCACTGCACGGCATACTTTTCAAGCACAATGCCATGATTTGGTGAAGAAAAGGGATGATGCTTCGCCCGTTGAATATATGTATTCTTTCTACGAGCCGGTGATTGTCGACGTGTTGAAATGCATAATTTGTTCGAATATTATTTTCGGTTACGCTCGAGAATGGACGAATCGCTACCAACACTCGAAGCGACTACTGAAATTTTCATTGCTGAACGAACCCTCAACATTCTTATTATCTTCCTGACAGTCCTGGGCTCGGTTATACTCATTCCAACCGCATACCTTCGATGGAGACATGGAAGACTCAAGGAGACCGAAGTCATCTTTATCGTGGCAGGATATCTCTTTTTCCTTGCACATGAGATTCTTCTTCTCCAGATCCTGCCGATGATATATCGTCTGGGATATGTTGCCAATAGATTAATGGACCCGTATCCGGCCATACTCGAGGAAAGGCACTCGGCTGTCCTTTTGACGATTGTATCAACCATCATCTTCTTTTCCGCCCTCTGGTGCATAAAAATCTCACTCCTTTTCTTCTTCCGCCAGTTGATGAAGGGACTACCGAACGAGTTGATCTTGTGGGGGGTGGTTTTTGCCTATACAATAGTTACCTATATTTTCTCTTTTCTCATGGCCTTAATGGCATGCGGCGGGCCTTCCCAGATTAGCAAGACGCTCAACCGTTCGTCGAGCCTGGCTCCCATGTTACACGATTTCGAAGAGAGATCCGCTTACAACAGATAGGATATTGTACCAAGCCACACGAGAGTTTGACGCGCAACATCAGCTTGTTCGGTGGATTCGCCGCTGATTTGTCCACTGATATACTGAGTGAGTGTTCTCTGTAATGCTTGAATTTGCCGAATTAAACGCTGATCGGGTTTTCTGCAGTTACGATTCTGCCATTACGGCTTATCTGGGGACTACATATTTCCAGACAACGCAAAATCGCAGTCTGCGCGATGTTCTCCGTTGCCATCTTGTGCATGATAACGGCGATAATTCGTCTAGTTCAAATCAACTCCAAGACGGGAATCACGAATCCGAATGTCCAATGGGTCGCTCTTTGGGGTACGGTAGAAGCGACTACTGGTAAGTGATCGATGATGAACCTCATATCCCCCTTCCCCCATGATTTCCCTTTTACAGAGGGCCTTTGTCGTACTAAGTCTCTTTTTGTTACCTGTAGCTATAATCGTTGGCTGCCTTCCCACGTTCCGCTTCCTCCGTAAGACTTCCAGAGCTACCGGTGCCTACTATTCACAGAAAGGCTCTGGTCAGAGCTCGGGGCAGCGACCAACAGGGAATACCCCGAGTATTCCGTTGAAGACATACATACCCCGAAACAGCCTTCGACATAGTGCTCTAGAGGTCTCATCGTCAATGGAGAGCTTAGCTCCGACCAACAGAACCCCTAGTGCCCCATCTCATTTACGACAAAGAGCTGATATTTAGATTGCGTTATGTCCTTGACCTCTTTCTCTTTAATCCGACTACCTAGTTTCAAAAAGCAAATTTATACCACTATTAGCTTTGCGACTGCCTGATTGCATATACTTGGCGGTTCAGACAGGAAGCTCTCAATGTGATATCGCAGAGGTGATATTATTGTCTCATATGGAAGAGACTTGCCCAGTACTGTGATTATTTATCTTTGATGCCACCTATATAAACCTGGGGAATGCAAGTGCCTAGGGGAATTATTATTATGACTGGCTTTCAGACGTCTATTATCTGACGACAAGCCTTATCTTCATGATACAAAATATATTTATTTACAAAATTATAAACTACTTTATAGATTTTCTGTAAAATACAAGGCCAAAGGATTGTTGCTCCTTCATTGTCCAAGCTGACATCCGGTTGCATCAGCCAATTATTATTCAACATGTATAAACCATCGGACACATAATGTACGGCTATCTTGGTCTCTTCTGTGACCCATTATTCAAATTGCCAGGTCTGCGATCTTGAATTCCGCATTGCCTATCGTTACACACATCCCCCATTCAAAATCAACACACAAGGTTAAAATTGGTTCTTGATTCACACGTCTGATCTAAAGGGGCCCAATCACTGACTCCAGCGACACACATGGGATACGAATGTACTGCTATCGCTGATCATGGTTCAACAGAAGACATATCCAAGGCCAACTTTCTCTGCGTTCTCATCGAGATAGAATCCATCGCGCAGGCCAAACACGGTCAGGTCGATGAGATTATCCACTCATGTGATACGAATGTCAATTCGATTCCTGTACTCCGTAATTACATGTAGAATGTGGTTGTATACTTTCCCGCAGAAGCTGGTCCAGAACGGGATAGTTAATGTGACGGCCTCGTGCAGCTGCAGCAGTGGTGCATGTCTGTTGAGAAGAAATAGAACGCTGGGGCTGCGTACGATGTCCAGCCACATTCTGTCAAGTCGAAGGCCTACTCTTAATTGAGCCTATTGCCTTTTTTTAATTTATTTATTATTATTATTTTTTTTTTTTTCTTCCGCAATGGTGCATGCGATATTGAACCCCTAGACTAATGCTATCGGATCACGAATAAATATGTTCGAGGGTGTGGAGATGGAGGCATTTCTATGGGGAGGCCCTGTCAGCCTTGATGGTGTTCGGTAGCTGTACGGAGTACTCCGTAACGTCCAAAGGTTTCTATAATCCGACAGGAGTTCTGCTCTTTTAACTAATGGACCTGGCGTTTTTTGGGTAATTTCTCTGCTGAGTTGAGTCGTTTCTGGAGACTGCTGAAAGGATAGCTTTGTATGCAGGTGATATCACAGTCCTGCCGCTCCAACAGTAGCCTCAATCTCATCCTTGCCGCCAATTACCTTTCCCAGAGCTCGTGTTATTACTTAGCCGCGGACAAACATCCCCATGCTTTTGAAGCCTGTGATGACTTGTTTGTGCTGTTTGCACGGATGATAAAGCCTCGGCATTGGGTGAACAAAGTTCCGAGTTATTCTCAGCTCTGATTGGACAGGGCCTCCCCAAGGCATCCACTGGGCTAGGGCTTTGCCCTTATCAAGCCAAGGCCGGCCGTTATCACGTTCTGCCCTTGATATTCTTGCGAGGCCGATCCCGCCCCGCGAACATCAGAGAAATATTTCCTTGCGTTGCCCTTTGATATTTTCCTTTCTTGGAGTAGATAAAGTCTCCTGATTCCGTCAAGCTAGATAGTAGAATCGGTCATAGCGCTGTGATTTACTCTCTTTTAGAGGCAGTTGTCTTTCGGTTGTCCAGTATGGCTTCTGACCCCCCCACTATGACCTGCAGAGAGAAACTGCGTCAGAAGCGACCGCTCGAGATCTTGACGCTTACTGAGTGTTTATCCAGGTCGATATATTAATCAACAGGTTTTTTTTTTTTTTTTTTTTTCCGAGTTTAGCAAGATACCTAGAAAGTCCAAACCCCTCCACTTGGACGCGCATTCGGACAAGATGTCGGAAAAATTCTACGTTACATATAACCAGGTACGCCCAAAGATCGGTTGCGCTGTCGAACTTCGAACGGCGATGAAGAATCTAGCCCGTAGTTTGCAGTGCTATAGTTACACAAAATGTACTTTCTTCGGCCGCCGGAAATACCGAACTGACCATACCCTTTTCTAGGTGCATAAACTATGCCAGCAGTCGGCGGATAGAATCCTAAAGGATTTTCGCCCCAATCTTATGATCGCCATTGGAGGAGGAGGATACGTACCAGCGAGAATATTGAGGTCTGTGTCATCTCGCTGCAGTCCATGATAGACAATCTCCGCACCGGCGCAAAAGATCGCGACGCCGCATAGTAGCCAGACACCTCTAACAGATCTCAAACCTTCAGATCGTTCCTTAAGCAACCTGGCGCTCCTAATATTCCTATCCAAGCCATCGGTCTCTCCCTCTACGAGGATCTAGGCAAAGGTGATATCGAAGCTCCGGGTACCAAGGTTACAAGAACACAATGGCTTGATATGAGCTCCCTGGAGATGGCAAACTTGATTGGGAAAAATGTCTTGATTGTAGACGAAGTTGACGATACTCGGACGACTTTAGAGTACGCAGTCAGGGAGCTAGAGAAGGACGTGGAGCTCGCACAAAAGCAACTTGGTCGCCAGGGAGAGAAGACCACATTTTCGATATTTGTTCTTCATGTGAGTGAATCTCGGACCATTACAGGACATCGAAGTCTTGTTGAAGTATGGCGCGTTTTGTTGCTAACTTGGGCCCCTAGAATAAAAATAAAGAGAAGAAGGGGAAGCTACCCCCAGAAATGTTGAAAGAAGACAGATATCTTGCTGCTGTCACCACAGATGATGTCTGGATATGTTATCCATGGGAAGCTAAGTAAGTTTAGCCCATGCATCCTTGCACCCTTAAAACAGCTCAATCTTTCGATCGAATCTTGGCGCCTATTTTGCGAGTGAAGGCTTGGTGATTAGCGCTCGTCGTCTTCTACCGTTGGATTAGATTTTCGCTAACCCCGGGTGTACTAACAGGGACATCGAAGAGCACGACAGACTCGCTGTGGAACACCCATTGGTGTCATAACTTATCAAAAACAAGGAACCATTGATTTCGTGTTCGCTCAAGCTGTCTTCGTAGATACTCCGAGCCTGGGAGATATCAAACTTCCAACGGAACAGGAAGTGCCGTATATACTGCGGTCCAAACACCAGGCCTCATGTGTGTCCTCTCTGGGGACTTTGATGGAGGCTGCGGGTAGTTGGTGTTTGTTTCACCGAAGCAGTTCTGTGAACCATATACCAATCATATTTGAGGTAAATAAAAATAAAAATAAAGCAACATAGAGACAAGGTATTTCTGATCTTGATGTTATTGGTGTGCCACAAACATATGCTGTATCTCAGTCAAGGCTGCAGCATTGCTAGATCGGTTTTCGTCGCATGTTTCTCACCAGCTTTAGCGAAGCACCGGACCCTGTTTCATGGCTGCATGCCTGGGAACACCTGCAGAACTAGATGAACACAGCACTAGGAAGTATGATTTTGTGAAATAGCCCATCCAGGCCAGTAAGAGTGGGCATTGTGGAGAGGATTCACCAACTCGCCATCCATAAAAGAGCCCTCCCATTGGGGGGTAGAATAAAATTCATGAAAGCCAGCGAATAAATGGGGACAAAAAATAAAAATAAAAATAAAAAGCCAATGCTGTCGACTCCGTCGTAATCCGAATAAATTTACAATATTAAATATTCAAACCGATCCCTCATGTCTCAGTCCCCATTAAATGCATCGACCCCTTTCCTCAAAAGCATAGCAGATGAAGACCCTGTTTAATCAACTTGTACTTTTGCTGCTCGGAGTTGAGCTTTCGCGGTGGTAATCTCTGCTTGCAACGATTTATGAGCGGCCGGAACGTCGTTGAAGGTAAACACCCCCCAGCCGAGTCGGAAGAGTAGGTACGAGCCGAACGCCATGATTGTGTATGCGGGAAGCTATAAGCCCGTCGCTGCTGTTAGAGGGTACATAAAGGAATAGGCGGTCGAGGGCTGGGAACACATACATATGGAATGATTTGCTCTTGGATTACGCCATTCATGGGAACGAGACCGAGATAGAGGGCGAGGTAGAGCTGTTGGGTAAGATAAATGGTTAGCAGAGATTTCGTAGACAAGTCAACGGGCTTGAAGGTTCAGGCTTACTGATGTCAAAAGGAGAATGATAGAGAGAGATTGCTGGGCACGTGTCATCTCGAGTATATTTTGGCGGGGAGGACCTCAAAAAGGGGGACAGCTCTCGAAGGAATGAAGGTGAGGGCGCTGTGACTGCTGTAGTGAGGTGAGCTAGAAAATATGAAGACCACAAATGTGAATTAGTTATATATAACGAGAGAAAAAGAACAAAGTCCGCAGTTCCAGTTTTACAGATGGCCTCAGAGAAGATATCCTTCTCTGCAAGTTGATTGATAGAGGCGATGGTGGTGGACATTGCTCCTTGTCACGTGACAATTAAGTAAAGGTTGGAAGGTTATCCCCGATTCTCAAGTTCTCCCAGAGAACAATCCTTGGCCGGTCACCAACTGACTAGTCATACCTAAGAAGAATTTTTACTATTCGAGCTGGTTGTGATCTCATTTTGAACATGTTCTTGCTTTTTATCACCCAAAATTTGAAGTTGATTTCATGTATGTTGTTAACCAAGAAGATTAGCTCAGTATCGAATCTTCTACGTTGGTTTGTACGGCTAAACCATATCGAAGAAGGCGTAACTGTCGATTTCAGTTTAAATCTAGAGGCGCTTCGCGTGTCCTCTTGATTATTTCCGTCTCTATTTTATTTTTATTTTGCATACTAGGATGAGGGCGAGAGTAGCCTCTGCTGACGCCCCTCGTCCTGATCATACCCTTTGTCGCTCCTTATATCGGTTCGCTACCGTGACATGTGCTGAATGGCGTTTTGTTGAAGCTGAGAATGAGAATCCTTTGTTATGGATGCCGATCTAGGGCTTGGGACGGTCGCTCCTTCCCGCTGGATCTTGTTGATCTGGTATGAATCATTGGCTTTACACGGTGGCGGAACTGACTTTGATTCCAATCAAAATTCAAGTTCAATGCAAAGGAGACTATTGTGCAGTGCTCCAAGACATCCAAGCTGAGCTTTCAACAGTGGATCTAGTTTCAGTTTGGGAACTTCCTGGCCAGACGGGCTGATATGCGCAGAGTTTCAAAAGAGAATGATCGCATGAAGCTTCGATCTCCCATCGCATCAGTCTAATGGCCGAAAATCAACTTTGGATAAGAATCGGCTTTTTATGCTCCATTCCGGTGTACCCTGTCCGGACGTGGGATTTTCTAGGGATGAAGCAAAATGTGTCGGTCTTGAGCCTCTCATCACCGGTCGCGAGTAACCTTTCAGCCACCTACCACCACGGCACTTTTCCGAAATGCCGAAACTCAATTGCCACAACACAATATCGTAAAACAGCTCTTTTTTTGTGTTTGATGAAAAATCTAAGGTATTTACTCTAGCGCACATTTTATCATCCTTGAGCAATGAGCTAAATGTGCGTCGATAGCGCTGCTAATATTGTGCTAGGTAGTCTTACTGGGCACTCTTTATGTGCTCGAGCCCTTTAATAAAGTATTCTAGGAAGACTGTTGGATTCTCAGTCATTGGGAAATGCCCAAGATCCCTCATCACTTCGAACTTCGCTCCTGGAATCTTGCATGCCGTTTCCCGGCTTAGCTCTGGTGTACACGAATAATCATACACGCCGGTGAGCATATAGACAGGACAAATTTTCGTGTTGATGAGATGCATTCGATCCCGTCCATCCCAGCCCTGAAAGTAAAATTTCAGGTCTCCATGGAACATTTGTACAGCTTGGGATGAATATATCCACCAGATTAGTTTCCTGTTCGACATGGGAGCTGTCGGAGAGATCATTCCACAGACTCTTTCAGCGTTAAGAATGGCCTCATTTTGATCCCCCGGTAAGTGATATATCGGCTGAGTGAGTGGCAGGTGATCGCAAGCCTCACATGGAATAACGCCGCTGACGCCTAGTTCTTCCGCACGCAGCGCCACTGCAAGACACACCTGCCCCCCCATACTGGCACCTGACACTATAGGGCGGTGAAGTTTTAGTTTCTCGATGACTTGCTTGATCGCACTAACGTATTGCTCCTCATCGTTTACGAAGCCCTCGGGTTGCGTTTTTGAACCTGGGTATGAGCGTCCGTGGCCCGGAAGATCGAAGGCGAACATCGTACAGCGTTGCTGCAACTCACAATTATTCATCAAAGCGTGGAACTGGCGGGAATCTGCGCCTGCTGTGTGGAGAAATAAAACATGTTGCGGGCCTGTGCCGGCAGATTCGCAGAAGACTTTACTCTTTCCCCAGCCAACAGAGTCTAACCAGACGTACCGACCGATTATGCTATCTTCTTCTGTTATTTCCTCATATTCGACGTGATCTGCGGAAAGTGGCCTTGAATGAATGGCGTCTCGAATTCGATCAAGGGATATCCTCCATAAACGAGCGTGTCGAATGAACGATGCCATATCTCCTAGTACCTGCATACCGGGATTATGCCCCAAGACCCGCAACATGCCCCAATACGACTGCCATGGCGCGCGGGGAACAGCCGCGAAAAATTCCTTCCAGTCATCTTGGCGTGCTGAGAGTGTAAATTCGGCATCCCCTGCAGGCTGAGCTATCTGCGCCTCGGTAACTAGGCCATCATGGATTGAGATTTGTAGCGCAGTCTCTGAACCGGCATCTTGGATGGCGAACTTCGCGGTTACTCCATTGGCCGATGTTTGAAATTCCAAGTCGGCGTTGATGGCGGCTGGAATATCCGCAAGGGCGGGCTGTAGGACTGCTGGGATCATGCTGACGCTAAAGAGGAAAGCGCGATAGGTATACGAGAGACCGGATTTTGCGAAAGGCGAGCTTCGAGATTTGGTCGACCAGTCGTAATCATGCCGCATATGTACTCTCAATATGTATCCCTTGTCAATATGCCCAGTGGAGGAGCTCTAACCTCCGTGATTATCTTGCAGTTGGGAACTGTGGGGCATAGTTCGAGCAGGGCTCTGTTGACTGGATGCGTGCCCTGCGCGCGGAGGTTGAACTTCCGCGAAGTCATGGGGTACTCCGTAGTCCGAGGGATTCTCGTTATCCTCAGCACACTGGCTTTCGAGAGCGAACACGTCTCATGCAGAGGACTCACGGGCCTCATTATCTGAGTAGTTCTCCCGTTGCTTCTATTCCTCTTCTCCTTACGGGCCTTGATACAGCCCGATCTACGGAAGACAAGAACAAGCGCCACTCTGATTTTTATCTAGTCAACTCGAGGAGTATGTCCGAGAGCCACAGCAAGTTATGTAGCATAGCCCGAAGGTCTCTCGGAAGTCGACGCCACTACCCCAGATTTTCGAAATGCCAACCCTCGTCGCAAGCCCCAAAGCCATTTGGCGTCGGCTAACCGAACCTGTCCATCGGGATTTATTATCCCGGCCGTTGCCACGATTCCGAGATTACAGGTCAGTAACGGTATCAATACAGGATTACAATGTTCTATTGGCTTGAGTCTTAGCTGTACGGTTTCAGTACCGTAAAGCTCTATCTCGAAACCAGCTCGCAGACCAGTTACGGTTTCGAGAATAGCGCCATCGTGTCGCTGCTCCACGCGGCCGAGAAACATCGCAGCAGGCGGGGAGAGTGGAGTCGGCGAGGTTCCAGAAACAACCCGTCCATCATCCGCACCGCGCTGCGAAGTGCGGAGTAATTTCCTGGAATTCGTTGAGCGCCTTGCCCAGGCATTATGCGGGAAACGGAGAATGAGTTCAGTCGATGGAAGGAACCTTGATGGCCCAAAGAGGGCAGCATGATGGGTAAGGATGCTATAGAAGATACATTTGTAAGGCAGTTTAAGCATAGTACTCGGTACACACGGAATGATTAAACTTCCAACGTTTGAGACATAGAATTCAACATAGTCAAACGAGCTGGAACAGAGAGTCTTCGCCACCAAAGTCAATCAACGAATCAAACGTCTCCTCGAAGTCTTCACCCCGCCCACCGAGACCATCATTCAAACCGTCCAGTGCGCCCTCCGGCTTCGCAGGAAGTCCGTTCTGCTGGCTCTGCGGATTGCGGTAGTCCGTGTGACTGGGCGCAGGATCCCTCTGTGCTGCTGGCGCGAATAACTTCTCCAGCTGCTGCAACGTCTGTATACTCATCGCGTACGCGCTCTGATTCTCGGGCGGAGGCGTTAGTGTCTGTGGGGTCTTTTTGGTGCTTGCCAAGGAATGTGGGAATGCACATGTCGGGGGAGCAACGCGGCAGTTTGGAGGAGACGAGCCAAAGCGGGGTTCTCGCCGGTTGGTGAGTTGGGCGTCGACCTTGCGGATGGTTGCTTCCAGGGTGCTCATCGTGCGACTGGCGGCCGCGTGGCTGTCGCGGAGCTGCTTAAGGAGGGATATGTTCCTTTGTGGGTCGTGTAGGGCTAGCTGGCACGCGTCTTCAGTGGGAGACTGTGGTGAGGGCGGCTCCAGAGGGCGTGAGGAGGGATATAGATTTTGTTGAGATGCTATGTGATATCGGAGGTGATCTTGAACTTCGGGGCTGAGAGTTTTGCGCTTAGTGCTATTACCCGGCGGGATGAGTCGGACCTTTTCATTGGGTTTGAATTTTGGATGCTGTGGCCTGGGTGATAATGAATCCCCCTGGCCGTATTGACTGAGAAGAGTCAAGTACTCAAACATCTTGTCCACCACACGAGCCGGCATCACACTAAACCAGCGTGCTAGCTCTTCGTCGCAAGGTGGTAGTTCAACAAACTCAGTTTTCTCGAGCTCGGTATGTTCTGAGGCAAAGTGGGCAGGAGATCCTGTTGAGTTCGGAGGTGTACCAATGCTGTATCCAAAATTCCCTTCCCAGTCGTCTGGAATGGTAGCAGACGACGGTCTGCGCACAATGTCTGACGGGACGCTTCCAGCGTCTGGCGTGGAGCTGTCCATGCGTAGAACGGCTTCAGAAATCACTGCGCCCAAGGATTTACTACAATCGAGTCCGATTAGCCAGCGTTTTCGATCTATAGGGTATTGAACCACTTACTCCCTCTTCGCCGTCCGTGTTGGTCTCTTGCGCTCCGGGATGATACATTCTAGCTCATCCAGTTTGCAATTGTAACATGGCACTCCATGATCGGAGACACTGCATCGAACCTTGCGCGATCTGCAAGACTGGCAGGCTTTGGCAGCTCTCTTCCTCGTCGCTCTTCCGTCATTGTTGTCCAAGGCGGCTTCAGATGCCGTGCGCTTCTGAGGACTATCGTGCTGAGAAGATTCTGGCTCCGGAGAGCTATGTTTGTAGCCCATAGTTTCGTCCATTTTCGAAATTTTGTTTAAACAAAGCTTTATGCTGACTGAAACGTCCTTGACAAGCAATCGAGCTGACGTTGAAAATTCTGGAGAACGGCCAGAAGAAATATAAACCACAAAGACCCATAACTACCCCTCAAAATCTCAAGCTCCTCTTCCTATACGATGCAGGAGCCAGGGCCCAGCTCGTAATCCAAGCCGTGGCGTTGATTCGACCAAAGCCCCGACCCATTGGTGCCCTTGAATGGCAGTGGAGCGCAGAGGGAGAAAGGGATTGGGGCCTTTCTGTAAGCGGAACATACCCGAGACCAAACTCAGAAGTATGGGGTGCAGAACCACGGACTCTTCCCCATCCTCGGCCCCAGAGCATGCTTAGAGGAGCCCCAGGAGTGGGATCCCAACCATGGAATGGCTAATTAAACTCAAGCCGGCTGGAGCCAAAATGCGAATGCCGGTATTCGGCGCTTTCGAGTTCGAGATAGTGCCGAAGTGCCGACCCGCTTGAGCACCAAAATACCAGCCGACCTCAACGAGGAACGGGACATCTCGTGGAGCAAATCTGAACGGCAAAGGATTCCCCAGTCACAATGAAATATATGATGACCAAGCTGTTCCTTCAACGATTCTTGACTCTTCGGATGCGAGAAAATCCTGATCGTGATCTGTGCGATTAGGACCTAGTGACTTCAACGGGGGGTAGCAACAGGAGCCGGACAGGCAGGTAACTATTTAAACAGTTGGCAAAATTGGTCAAAGCGCCAATTCCTGCGTCAGCAGTCCTTTCGACCGTGCCAGTGGTCTGACGGGTAAGAGTTCAAACCAGCCCATGGACTCCGTGGTTGGGTCCCGTCAGCCGAAGGGCTCTGGTTAGCTTAATGTGCGAACTATTTTAACTAGTTAAGGTAGTTCACCACTAAGCGAGCCACACCACTAAACAAGCCAAATCTTCCACCACCAAAATTCCTCCAACATTCAACATTCAATATGTGACAACATGGTCAACAACACCTTAATTAGGCTTGCAATTGAAGATCTTGAATTACAAGAGATCCTAAATTATGCTGCAACTGTGAGAAAGTACTCAGTTAATCAAGAGATTCTGTGCTGATAACATAAAGACTTGCAACTTACTCAGAATGAAGCAGCCTTCTGATATAAGAAAAAGCTCTCTGATATACAGGAGGCAGAGCTTCTGAATTATATAAACAAGCTCTCTAGCTACAGCCTTGCCATTACATCTCAGATCTTATGAAATATTGTACAAGAGATAACAGAAGAGAATATTAGGATCAACTGGATTAATTAATTTTACAAGCAGCATAATGACAAGATTAAATGCATTTATCTCAAAGCAATTAATTAAAATAGGCAGGTAGCAGATAATTATCAGTGCTTTAAGTACTTCTATATGCTTGTAATTTGATGATTTATTTAATTACTTGTGATTGCAGTTGTTGATGCTGGCTAACTATTTGACTACTACTTATAGAATAGTTGGAGCAGAAAATTAATCAATATAATCTTAAGCCCTCAAACATCTATAACTTTAATAAAAAAGGATTCCTTCTAGGCTCCTGTTATGTCTCAAAGTGATTAGTCTCTATTGAAGCTCTACAAACTGGAAAGAATACTGTCACTCAGAATAATAGTTGAGAATTTCTCTTATTGCTCTGCTCAGTCTCTGCTGAAGGAATTGCACTATCTCCAGCTCTTATTTACCAGAGCAAATCACAAGATCTCCAGAATATATGACTAGATGATTATAATGGAAGTGAATGAGTCTACTTTGCAGCTTCAACAAATGGTTGAAGCAATAATAAATATAGACTGGAGTGATTGAAATGAGTTTTCAATTGACATACTAAGAAACAAGCTGGTTAAGAAAGATGTTTGCTTCTACTAGATAGTCATTCCTCTCATATAAATATGAAATTTATTGAATATACTGACTGTAAAAAGATTCTTCTTATAATTCTCCTGCTGCATTCAACCCACTGTTTGCAATCTCTTGATGTTGGAATCTTTGGGCTGCTGGGCAAGGCATATTCCAATGAGCTGGAAGCATTACTATATCAAGAAATGAGCTATATTTAAATAACAAAAAGGGATTTCTGAAGACTATTTAATATGGCTTGGAAGAAGGCTTTGACAGTTGAAAATATACTTGCTGACTTTGCAAAGACTGGAATTAACTCTCTGAATTCTTAATATTAACTATACTGATTTGAAACTGCTCAAGCCCCTATACTGTCAGTTAAATCTTCTATTTCTAGCAATATGCACCAGCTCTGACAAGAGATTAAGAGTATATGTCTCTGGCACAGTCTAAATTTGCAGAGCATTAGATGAGTTATTCAAGCCAGTAAGCAGTTTGCTCTTTGTAATGAACTGCTGGAACATAAGAATCAGTGACTAAGATCAACTCTAGTGATGGAGAAGCAACACTGCAAGCCCCTAGGCCTACTCAATAGAAATAATCCTAGTCAAGCACAGTTCTGGTCTCCAACAAAAGTTCTTAAGACACACAAGCATCTGAATGAAATAAAGACTGAAAAAGCTGATAAAATTACTCAAACACAAGAGACAAAACTTCAATAAGAGCTTCAAAAGAAGCAGACTGCTAGAGATGTTGAAAAAAGATAGATTGAATGAGAGGATGTCTGTAAAAAGACCCAGAAGCAATAAGAGGCCAAAAAAATTAAATGTGCTAGGCAAAGAGAGACACAATATGTTGTTTGTGAGGAGAAGAAGACTTTACAACTAGCAGAGAAGAAAAAATAAGTGGTTGAATGTGCTAATAAATGCTGGCAGTCAGGGCTTCAAGTGCTGGCTTCAAAGTGCTGTTGGAAGGACTCCCCTACTAAAGAGTCTCATTACAGAGAGTCTATACAACCTTCCAAAAGAGAAAGTAAGAGCTCTACAAGCATTCCTAGCAAGACATTAGACTCCCTAGCCAAGAAATCTACTGTTGACATTCTTTTGAATTCTTTCCTATCTACCCCCCAAATCTCTCACTCTGGCTGTAATATTAGGCTGTCCACCTATTTATTTTCCTAACTATACTAATTTCTATGCTTTAAAGAATACATTTATTTAATATTTAATAGCTATTTAATAATAAAGATCTGGTTGTTGAGATATTTAATAAATTTGTTGCGTGGAGCATTTGGCGAAATTTGGCTCGTTTAGTGGTGTGGCTCGTTTAGTGGTGAACTACCTTAACTAGTTTTTTATGTTTGTATTGTTTGCTTAGAATCTGAAGCTATTTTATCATGACAGAGCGACCGAGCCATGGCCTTGGGAGAGACATACACTTATTACAAGATAGACTTTTTGCAGAACATCCACATTGAGAATGAAACCCGAACAAGTATCAAAATAGGATATGGACCAGCCTGACGATGCCAAACAATTCTCTCGCTCCTTGATCCCTCTTCTATTGCAATATACTCTATATGATGCGTTTGACCCCCGGGAAAAAAAGAGTTTCCATTACGCCCTCGACTTTATGTCTGTCTTAAATTTATGATACGGGTCGCATAACAATATTATAGAGAACGTTAACCCTAGTCAAGAAACGCTAGCCAACCACTCGACAGCGAGCGCTATCTCGGAAGAGACACTGGTCGTTACGGGAATTTCATGACCACCTCCATGATCGTATACCCGTCTGATTTCTGGCTTGCTGAAGTGTGCCAGCTGAATCGAGCAGGGATAACGAGGGTCCTTGCTGCCATAGATGTGGACAGTGGGAATGTTGATTCGCAGACAGTCAGGGATAAGGGTTATGTCTAGACCATAGACATTATGAAGGCCAAACTCCGGTAACAGGTGCGGCTTGCCCGTATCCCGGCGGCGTGTGCGCTCCAATCCTCGTGCTTCCAAATTCTCATCCGGGAGCTTCTGGCGGGTACGTGGTCTGCTCTTAGTCTGGACAATTTCCTCAACTTCAGACTGCAGAGTGTGGATTTGAGTGGACATGGCTTCTGCAGTTTGGTTGTGGATTTGCCACGCCCGTTCGGGCACATGGATTCCAATGTGCTCCAAAGCTGGGAGTGGGATCCCTCCGCATATGAAAACGACGGACTTGAACGGAAGAGGCTCCTCTGGGTGTTCGTTCTGGTGGAAGATAATTAGAGAGGAAATCACGGCACAGCCCTGAGAGAAACAGAGCACGCCGTCGTAGGGCTGAGGTTGCCGTCGCATAAAATCAAGAAGCCATATGTGCGCATCGGCTATGCTGGGCGGGCTGATGTCTTCCCAAAAAGTGTAATTTGGAGGGAAGAATAGGGCATCGAGGCCCCATGCGGGATCTGTCTTGTGCGGTGCATCGATAAAGTCGAATGTGTACTTGTCGGGGTCTAGATACGACCGGAACGTAGCTATAGTTATAAATGAGAGTCCCCGCGAGCCTCAGTTAGTGAAAATGGTTAAACGGCAGCCTCTGCAACGAGTAACTATTCTCGTAGAGAGAGAAAATTTGCAACAAAGGGAGAAAGAGGCTTACCAGTCTGATTGCGGAAGATAGCGCCGCTGGTGCCCTTACCGTGCAGGCAGAGAAATCGCATGATGGTTTCTTCCAAATGATAGCTTTCTCATCCCTCGCCCGCCAGAACAAAGGAAATAGAAGTACTCCCTAAGTTTATTCTTTTAATTTTTTAATTTTGTTAATTTTTCTTCTCTGGTGCAAAAAGAGACTGGTGCAAGCCTTTCAAGAACAATGCCTCACTCTTCCAACCACAGACCAGTGTAAGCCATACGGGTATGTGCGCTCCGTTGGCATTCTGCTCAGCCCAGTTAAAATAAACCTATTTCCCCGATTCCCGTTGTCGAAGCCAATTTACATGAAAATAGCAATCCGACAGCTTGCTTACCGGGACATTTAGCGGATAACTAGCTATCAGCAGAGAGGTATTTGAATGCAATACTCCGTACATGTTGCTGGTGCCTAACTGCTGGAAATTCTTCCCCAAAAATCTTGACTTTTGGTCCCGACCGGGGAGCGAACAAAAATAACTATCCGCTGCCGAATGTCGATCGATTGGGGGAAGTGCGCTTGTTGGCCGGGCTGCAGCAAGAACAGGGATCGGGAGGACAAGGATTGTCCCGATCTAAAGAAAGACGGCTGCGTGTGTAGGGGTCGAGGTAGAATTGCTGTGAGTATGTAATTATGTTTGAAATGAGCTTGATTTCCAGTCAACTTGTATAATGCGTTCTTCATCTCAATTATCCCGTTGATTTTGCAGTTGTCTCAATATGTGTGAAATTTCTGAACTTCAGGCGCTGGCTAGGGAGATATGCGCGGCGACAAACCTCATCACAGGGCATGATGCCCTCGCCGGAGACTCTCATTCATCATCATCTGATGATGCTCCCCTTAATGTACGAGATGCCAGACAAAGAGTCCTCAACTCCGCCGCAAAAATCCAGCAGTTGATCAGCGAACCTACAGAATTCCTTGTCAACCTATCGGTTGAGGTATTTTCTTCTCTAGACACCTTTTGGTCAACGATACAAGTAGAGCTAAAGGAAGCCCACATAGTACCAATTAATTGCAAGTATTCAATGGCTCTGTCACTTCCAGGTGCTCGCGGCGATTCCTCTGCAAGGTTCAGTCCCATTCTCCGACTTGGCCAGTGTCTGTACACTGCCTGAACGCCGCCTTCGTAGTGTGGCACGCATGGCAATGACAAGAAACTTCTTGTGTGAGCCAGTTCCGGGCCATGTCGCCCACAACGCCGTTTCCCGCCTGTTTGTCACCAATCCTGCCTATCTGGGATGGACAAGGTTTATGACCGAATTCTACATGCCGGTCGCGTCTAAGTTCTCCGAAGCCACTGAGAAATGGGGAGACACAGTTGCCGGGAACCAAACCGCAGTCAACTTGGCCATGAACACCCAATTGACAGCGTTCGACTTTATCACCCAATCTCGCGAATGGGGCAGGTTATTCTCCGCGTATATGAAGGGTGTTCAAGCAAGCAGGGCGACAAATGTGAAGCATGTGGTCGCGGACTATGACTGGGAAGCCATGGGGAAGGCACTAGTGGTACATGTAAGGCTCTAAAATGCGAGTTCACGCGCAGAGATGCTAACTTTCTTCTAGATAGATGGTGCTCCGGGGAATGTCTGCATCGCTTTGGCAGAAAGTTATCCTGCACTTAGCTTCATAATTCAAGACACACCAGAGACTGTGGGAAACTGTCGAGGCCTTCTCCGTTCTCAGCCAGAGAACGTTCGCAAGCGCATCACGACCGCTGCACACCGTGCTCTGGAGCCACAGACCGTGACAAACGCCGACGTATATCTCCTTCGTATGGTGCTTCACAATCACACTGACGACGAAGCGTCTCGTATTCTCGCCAATCTGGTCCCGGCATTGAAGCAGAACCCCTCTGCGCGAATTTTGATTGTCGACACTCTACTCCCCGAGCCCGGGAGCATTGGAATCGTGGATGAAGGTCTTGCACGCTACCGGGACATGACGATGATGGAAGTTTTCAATACAAAGGAGCGTGACAGGCAGGAGTTTGAGGATATTCTAAACAAGGCCTCTGACGGGGAGGGAAAACTGGGTATTGTGGGTGTGCGAAGGTCACCCGGGAGTACATTGTCCGCCATTGAGGTCTCATACCATGCCTACAATGCAGGCAATGCTTTGTGATGGCCTCGACGGACACGCCATTATTTGCTTATGTAGTTATTATAGTGACAATTATTGAAACATTGGCGTTCGATTCCGAGGAATAAACAATGCACAGTTACAAATGGTTGTTCCTATACTTCGTAGTGTCATGTTTCCATTCATCAAGCTTAAAAAAACAGGACTCACATAAGCTAACTCATTCTTTTCATAGTGCCACGCACGGTGCCAGGATGACCAGTTACTTTGGGCCAACAAGGCACAGGCTACGAGCAGGAGGCGTTGTCACTATTTCTGCAACTGCGCCAAAGGCGTTTAGGCAAAAAAGTCCCCAGCCACCTGACCTCAGGGGCCAACCGGGAGGGAAAAACCTCACCGCCGGTATGTCGTATAAATACTTTATCCGGTCTGATAAGCAGACTAGCCATAAACAGACTAGCGTGATGGACACCGCATCCCTGACGACCGAGCAAGGTTGGGGAGAGTTTTTGACATCGCCAACTCACGCGATTGTGTAGCTCAAGTGGCCCTTGCAGCACCGATCAGGGTCAGGATGGGTACAGCATGCATGGTTGGTGGGCCGTCCATACATATATTTTTCATTGGACTCCCAAAAATGAATACGGGGCACTCCGTGATGTTGGCCCCAAGGCCCATATGTAGGGAGCCTCAGCCTTGTAAGTGAAAGCCCTCGAAACACGGTCGGTGGAGAGCTGATTACAAGTTTATTTATATCTTCGGTCGTCTTGGAGGCTGACCACTGATCGAAATCGCTTTGTTTCTCTGCGAGGAAGGCCTTCCAAGCCTGCATCTTCTTTGTACTCGTATAGAAGCCGGCCATACGCAGTATACACCCATTAATTCTCAAACTTTAGCAATGAGTCCCGTTTAGAGGCTTCGGCCCGGTTTGAGGATATTTCCGTCCTGAAACGAGAAAGAGCAAGACCCATATTTCATGCTTGGCATGTTTCGATTTGCAGAGAACGCCACTCGCTGTCTTCGCCGTTATGGGTTCTCTGGCTGTTAAGCTGACAGGATGGCATGGTTTCTACCGTGAACAACTTCGGTTGACTCACCTGAGCTAGTGTTTCAATGAACCTTGCCCTATACTGGACTCCGGCAGGACGGCCTTGTTTGGTGACTAGAGTCCACAAAAAGGACCCAGTGGCCTGCCTGAGGTATTACCCTTGCACAGGATGCTATCGTGGAATCTCGACCAACCTTTGATTAGGATGACCAAGGCGCTGCGCGAAGTGATGCTCGTATGCCGACGCTGCGGTAAATCCACGAGAGTTATGCAAGTTTTTTGTTTGATATCCCCAGTGGGCCCGCGTTCTAATATTAACACCCAATTTTTGGGAACTCACAGCTCCATGGTACTTCCCCACACGGCTAACAACCAAACATGGAGGTTGAGGCTTGACCGCGTTGGATCAGCCCGGCAGCGGCTCACGCTGCCTAGATCCAAGCCATTCCGAAAATTGGTTGATCCCGAAACTCCATTAACTACTTGGCTTCTAAAACAGGCTTCGTGTTCAATGACTAAGGATGCTTATTCTGCTCCCGACCATCGTGGTAAACCGTGTCTGCATCTTTGCCTACACCTTTCCTTGAGTTGACCACGGTATACTCGGCTAGGCCGGCGAGAGTAATCATTAACTTTCTTCCATAGACCCTTGCTATCAATCCAGTCGTCGACTTTCGCCCCTCGGCTTTAGTTCACAATATATTCACAAAAGAGAGGGGTGTCCATTCTTACCATTGATGACACGCATGGTTGGTCTATGAAAACTGTCACACTCATTGTGGATGGCCCAACGGCTCTACTCCGCCTACTGAAAAGTCCTGCGTCAAGCCCAGCCCAGTGCAAGCAACCCTCTGGAACCTTATGCACATCAGCAATCGAGCTTATCGTTGAAGCTTTCCAAGGCCCTTCATATCCGGCTCCCGTCCAGTCCCGAGCGAGAGGTAACCACGCCAAGTTTCGCAGAGGACTGGGAGTAGTGTACCTCAAGTATTTTTTTTTTTTTAATGCATTCTCGCGTCTTCTGGCCCCCTATTGAACGAAGTCGCAACTGTATGTCGTCCATATATGCCTAAGTTGTCTGCAATGCCATCCTACACAAAAGCACTAACTGATTAATCTTGTTTGTTTGATCCTATCAAAAGCATATAGGGTCCTGCCGATCACGGCCCGAGTGGAAAAGCACATATTAATGCGATAGGAAATAATGTAAGATCCACACCCAGCTGCAGCGCTGCCAATAGCGACATAATGTAGACATCCAGGGTAAGTTTCACGTCGTAAACACAGACAATGTGGATGCGGAAATGGGTTTTGAACATATTACTCCGAATACGCGGATGAAGCGGGGTGGCAGGATGTTTTGTTGCCTTGAATTTGTGTATTTTGATGATTGCAATTGACGGCACGAAGATGTGGCAAACGTGCTGTAGCCATTATCAAATCAAAGAACTATTAGCATCGGAAAAATAAGACGAAGTCGACCAGACACGAGGTTTCCGACAACACGACGCGGGGAGTTTACTAATGGTTCGAGGCCCTGGTCACGACAAGCAGGCAGGTTGGTGGCTTAGACGTGCGATTTAACAGGACAAGCTGAAGTGCATTGAACACCGCTTCAGCTGTTGGATGGAACGAGGCTGGCAAAGCGGACTGCAGTAACTAACTGGCTGTGGCACGGAGTAAAGAAAGCATACATTCAATCTCGGCCTGGTTATATGTCTACGCTTTACCCGTTCGCATGCATACGTAGGTGGTCTAATCCCAACGAGCTCGCTCATAATATAATCTTTTCAAGCCCTTTTTCCTAATGAGACGAGTCGACAAGATATCACCCCGCACCGAGTTGATAATGAACCGTCCACCAAGGTCCAAACAGAAACTAAAGGATAGCTGCAACAACTGCGCTTTTGCAAAAGTGAAGTGCAACAGAGCCAAACCAGTCTGCTCCCGCTGCGAGGACCGAGATCTGGTTTGCTTCTATGGGCCATCCCATCGATTTGGGAGACGGCCTGCAGCCAGCAGGATCGCTGAGAAGCGTGAATCCAATAAGAATGCGCTGGAAAAAGTCGTCCCATTGGCTCCCGCGCCGTCGCTGCCACCGCCGCCGCCGTACAGTCTCGAAATCCCACCTCCACTCACAGCGCCCGCTGGAACTCCGTCGATATATGAATCCACCCTCATCACAGATCTCTCCATGGTAGAATCCTCTCTACCGTTTGGATCGCACAACGAGACCTTTCCCTTGGCCTGGGATGAGCCGCTTTTGACGGCAGCGACGTGTCAATTCTCTGGCATAAATGAGTTTAACGATCCCAATGGATTCTGGAACGCGATGGATTCTTCGTACTATTCTCTCATGGACACTTCTTTGAACGCCCTGCAGACTCCGCCAGAGGATGAACCGGCAAAATCGCTTTTTCCCAGTGAGCCAGCAATTTCAATGCCCCCAGTGTTGAATCGCGCAGCGACAGGAGACATCCAGCATCCGTGGATGGGGATCAGAACCGCTCCAGACTCGCCCTCAGTGTTGCAATCGACCACAAATCCGGGACACGATCCTCATAAGTGTCCTGGAGCGGGAAGCCATAGCTCTCAATGCATGCCCGCTATCCAGTCCTGTCTTGCCAATCTTGACAAAGCCGCCTCCGATCTCGACATAGAAACAATTATCCGCACCAACAGAGAGGTCTTAGAGCAAATCATGGAAGTTCTGGACTGCTCGTGTTTCGCCAGCAATGAACAGCTCCAACTATTAGCTGTTGTCCTGGCGTTTAAAGTCATGTCTCGATACGCGGTGGCTGCGCTGGACGGACAGCCTTCTGCGTCAGCGTCTACGGGCACTGGGCTCTCTTCGCCAGTGAATCGTGGAATACATGAGCGTGCCCGCCTGGTGCTGGGTGAGCTGTACCGGGTTGTGCGGCTGGTTAACCGCCTGTCCGGATGCTTCAAAAAGGAAAAAATTGCCGAAACAAGTCCTTCACCCAAGCTAGCTGGGTCTGAGGCGTCGTCTACCGAATTCTCAGGGATGGGTGGGCATCATGTCTCCGCATCCGTTTTTGTCCAGCTGGAGGAAGACCTCCACCGTCGCTTCCGAGTTCTAAGGGATGATATCATTGCTGTGTTACGATCTCTATGAAATGATGGGTTATGGGATATTCATGGAGCGGGCGTTCAGCCTTTGCATTTGTTGGTTGTATTGAGTTATTGTTGTCTTCTTCCCTATGCGACAGGCGCATTGGGGGAATTCGCTGTGAATATGTGCCTTGAGCTTTGATGTATATGCATGATAGTTAAGAGTTGTAGATACCAATATATGAAGACAAAAGCATGGGCTTTCTAGTGATACAGTTCATCTGTCTGATCGTTCGCAGACTCAAAAAAATAACTACGTAACTACTTGCAAAGTGCCTGTTCAGCAACTGATGACCGCCCCGGATGGAGTAAGGCCGATATGGGCAAACCGATTTCCCCGAATGCTGAGTGTCGGCAGACGGATGAGAGATTCGGGATCCTTCAATGTTGGTATTAATAGAAGGAGCCCGTGCGGGACGATGATCTCATCCGATCGAGATAAATTGCCATGCAGCCGTTGGGAGCGAGTTGGTGCGGGTTCGGAATTGGTCCTTCGTTCGGCCGCAGTCTGTCCGCAGCACTTGCAGGGATGCCGGATCGACCCCCTGATTTGATTGGCCTTTTGGACTCCGAAGATCCCTGCAGCGCATCGAGTCGGCGAGACTCAAGTCCGTCAACCACCGTCGTGAAGAGCGAATCTCCAGATCAAGCTTCTCATTCAGATTTGTTAGTCCGGTGTTGGCAGCATGGGTTGGATGATCTACCCGTAGTCCGTTGCTTGCAGAAAAAATGAAATGAGATAAAACATGGCCGGCGAGCCGGTGTGCTCGTCGCTACGTGCTTGCTTCATCGTGCCAGTCTGCGCGTGATCTCTTGAATCCTTTCCTCTTACACGCTTCCATCTAGAGACAAAAAAATATCCAAAAATGTCTTTATCACCGCAAGATGGCAGAGAAGCTGACAACAACAGCACGTCCGTGCTGAGTTCTTTGGATGGCTCTCCGCTCAGCAGTGAGAACGAAAAGTCATCCATTGACGAGAAGGGCGATGGAGTCGACTACCTGCCCATCGGCCTACGGCTGATCGGGATCGTCGTTAGTCTCATGCTGGGCGTGTTCTGCATGGCCTTGGATAACACTGTGAGCTCCCGGTTTCATTTCCTATACCTCCGTCTCTCAGGCCCTTTCCCATGGGTGGTTTTGAGTTCATTTCACCCGATTTCCGCTAACTTATTCTTCTCTAGATCATTTCCGTGGCCATTCCCAAAATCACAGACGAGTTTCACAATCTCAATGACGTGGGCTGGTATGCGTCTGCGTACTTGCTGACAGGTTGCTGTAAGTGGGAAGAAGCGATCACCACCTGGTTTGCTTGATACATGGGCTGGGTGCTAATGTGAATCGGTCAACAGCCTTCCAACTTTTATTTGGCAAGCTGTACACATATTTTAGCATCAAATGGGTCTTCCTGATCGCTCTTTTCATCTTCGAGCTGGGCTCCTTGGTCTGCGGAGTCGCACCCACGTCCACAGCTCTGATTATCGGTCGAGCGATTGCAGGTCTTGGCAGCGCTGGTTTATTCACGGGCGCGCTGGTCACGATTGCGCATACGGTGTCACTGGACAAGCGACCGATGTTCTTCGGATTGATTGGGGGTGTTTATGGCGTAGCGTCGGTGGCGGGGCCACTGATGGGCGGCGCGTTCACCGACCATCTCACCTGGCGATGGTGCTTCTATATCAATCTCCCTCTCGGAGCTGTCACCGCTGTCGGGCTTGTGTTCCTTCTGAAACTAAAAGAGAAGAAGAAGGAGTCGCTTCGAAACCTCTTCTGGCGCCTTGATCCAATTGGGAGCGTCGTTTTCGTTCCCGCCATTGTCTGTCTGTTGCTCGCCTTGCAATGGGGAGGTGTCAATTACCCCTGGTCGAATGGTCGGATTATTGCACTGTTTATCATCTTCGGGCTCACCCTTATTGGTTTCTGTATCTTGCAGGTATACCTGAAGGAAAATGCCACTGTCCCAGCTCGCATTGCCAGACAACGATCAATCGCATCTGCATCCTTATTCGGGCTCTGCATTGGCGGGTCGTTCTTCATCTATATCTATTTCATTCCAATTTGGGTATGTTATACCCCCCCGGATTGCTTCGCTCGAGCCCAAATAAATTAAACTAACGTGACTGGGGATAAAACAGTTCCAAGCCATCCGAAATACCAGTGCCGTGACTGCTGGCGTCTATTCGTTACCACTCATCCTAGCTGAGATCGTGGCCATCGTGGTGTCAGGAGCTCTGGTCACTCATCTTGGCTATTTTGCTCCGTTCTTTATCGGCAGCAGCGTACTTATGAGCGTGGGTGCAGGCCTTCTGACACTCTTCACAGTCGACACCCCGCAGAAGGAATGGGTCGGATATCAATTTCTGTACGGCTTCGGAGTCGGGCTCGGATTCCAACAAGGTGGTGTCGCGGCCCAGGCCGTCCTAAACCTGAACGATGTCTCGATCGGCACAGCAATGGTGCTCTTCCTTCAAATTCTGGGCGGATCCGTGTTTGTCTCCGTCGCTCAGAATCTGTTCACCAACCGCTTGGTTGAAGGTATTGTGAAGCTGAATCTGCCTGGACTGAATCCAGAGGCGATCGTACACGCCGGAGCGACTGGCCTTCGCCGTGTAGTCGACCCAGACTATCTCCCTCAAGTTCTTGTGGTGTACAACGATGCGATCCTGAGAACCTTCCAGGTCGGGTTGATTTTGAGCTGTCTGAGTATCTTGGGGGCCGTGGGCATTGAGTGGCGTAGTGTCAAGGGGAAGAAGACTGCAGGTCCCGGGGCAGCATAACTAAGGGGTGTGTGTTGGATGTGTGTTCGATTTAGGGACGGTTGAAGGTTAAGTTATGAATTGGTTCGGCATGTATTGTTCAAGCGGGTTTAATGTTTATGAGAATAGATTTTCATTATGTGGAGTTGGTCTGTCTTTTCCTTTTCCCCTTTTCGTTTTCTTGTTTTCGTTTCTTTCGTTCGGGCTTTGCTGGCAAACTTCCCCCACTTGTGCTGTTTAGGATTTGAGACAAGCAGCATACTCTATTTGGTGTCTGGAGTTCAGAGGAGTTAATATGGATTCATGGACCTGAGTTATGTGTGCATAGTTCTTGATATCCGAGAAGTTGGTTGTATATACAGGAATTCTTACATGTTCAAGCATTCGAAGTGCTTTTGAGTCCTGAACCCCGGCATCTTGAAGTATATTTATTCGTTACCTGAACTCAATGGTGGATTCTTGATAAATTATATATGTCCATGTGTCACGTCAAACGAATAATGGAAATGTGAAGGCAAATGTAAGTTCTATTATGACTATCTAGTAACACATAATATCCAAGAATTCAAGTATAGATTGCAAAGTCAGAGTGACTCGGGTGTGTTCAAAGACACTGCCACTGCAATAACGTTCCCTTCGCTGTATGAGAGACTAACAATCACATTGCTTATGTTCGCCTGTCTGGCGGTACGTAGGGCTGCACCATGTAACTAAGGTAAACAGATCCACATGTTATTAAGGGGCTCTAAAAGTGAAATCAAGGATACAAATAGAAAGAAGATAAACTTACAACCACTTTAGGTGCCCCATTCCTATCACTTTTTACCTCAATTTCTTTCATCGGTGCCCCTGCCCCTTTGGACTTGACCCCAAGGCTCTTGAAAACGGCTTCCTTTGCGCACCAGCGCCCGATCAATGCCATATGCGGGTCCCGACATGCCTGGGCGAACGCCTGTTCGGCGGGAGTGAAGTTTCGTTGTATAAATAACGGGTTAGAGTCGTAGTCAAAGGTGCTTACGGCCTCAATGTCGACACCAATTGAGCGGATTTTCACATCTTGTGGAAGGGAGCGCAGGACATCACCAGTGATATCAGAAATGGAGATTTTGGCGGCAGGTACATCGTTTATCGGTGACGGCTCTGGTAGAGTAATATGATCCTGCGGGGGTTGCTCCGGCCTGACCATGACAGGCTGGGTACCATGGAGATTGGCGGGATCGAAATAGATCTTCTTGGACGTGGGATTAGTGGATACGCGAGCCAACGGATCTAGAAGTACTCTGGACTCATCCCGTTTCTCATACGGCGGCTGAGTTTGAGCCTTGACTAGAGAATCAGACATGACAGCATGTGCAAACGCTTGATTCGCTTGTCGCTTCCTGGTGGCGCACTTTTCTGCATACACTTGGTACACATCTTTCTCAAGTGTCCCGAGGAGATATTTTGGTGCCACTCCGACCATCTGGGCCCCTTTTTGCCCGAAGCCAAATGAATCCAGCAAAAAGGCATTGATCTCAGGGACATGAATCGTCTCTGTCGTGACCAAGATGTGCGGGAAGTCCCGGAGAGCAGGATCGATATTATCGCAATTGAAATTTCCAGGGACTGTGCCTGTATTCATAGCTTGCAGGCATCCGTTCAGCATCCACGCTGCAGCGGGGGCTTTTGGATGCCCTGTGACAGATTTCTGACACATAGCTAAAAGGGGCGGACCTTTACGACCGAGATGGTCCATTTGCTTGTTTAATGCATCGAGTTCGTTAACATCATTAGCTTTCGTAGAAGTTCCATGCAACGATACAATTCCAATATCATCAATACCGAGTCCCCAGGTGGCCAACGACGCTCGCATGGGTGAGATTGTAGGGCAAAATTGTCGAAACTGATTCCCCCACTGGCGGCGGAGCGCATTGATCTGTGCCGGAAGAGTAGACTCTTTTGCAAGATCGAAGCCATCGATACTGTTCTGGTATGACTCTAGACTATCCGAGTCTGGTACTGAATCTCCTGATGAACCAGAAGGAGAAACAAATCCAGGGGTTAGAGTGGGTGAAAGCAACTCTGTCTCATCGTCGCTGTCATGGCCTATTTTCTTGTCATTAGAACCAGAGAGAAGTTGAGAAATGGATGCATTCAACTTCTCGCGGCGGTATTCTAGATTTAGAAGCGGGGATTGAAGAGCTTCTGGGGCCTCTCGCGCGAATGTAAGAACGCCTTGACCGGGAGCTGGAACGGAGCGACTGATTTTGTCTGCTGCCATAGCGGAGCCTGAGACGACAGCGTAGATGGGCAGCCCCATAGAAATGGCCAGCTCCGCTGTGCATAGAATTTGGACACCTCCACCAAGAGCTTCAACAAATCCCCCCCGTGATTCAGCGGTGGGTCGAGACATCTCTGCAGGAGTGCGACCTTGTGCAAACTGGTCTTCGGTGTCGACTGTGGCCTTCATCATCGTAAAAGCGTGGGCCTCGTCCTCATGGAAGTTATCCACACCACCAACAAGACACATCTTGGTCTTTCCAGCGAGAAGAGAATCTACCCCAATGTCCAGTGATTCGAGGCTGGTAGCACAGGCCCCAACCGGGGTTTTAATAGGGCCACTGCTTCCGAGCAAAAGCATGTTGACCCACGCTGCGGGAGTATTGAGGTTGGTCTCCTGGAGCACATCCCCGGGCACTGTCTTGTCCAGGTACACATCCCTAAACATCTCGCGGTTCTTTTCTGTTCCACCTAGCGAGGACCCAATGAAGTTGCCCACTTCAGATACATGGATATGGTGAAATATCTCCATGGGATTCTTTATTCCTGCGCTGAGAAACGCATCTGACACGCAACATAGCGCAAACAATGTCACTGGATCCACTTGATTCACAATGTCTTCTGGTATACCGTATCGGGCTGGCGTCCATCCACTCGGAAGTTGACCAGCAACATAATTCGCGGGTACAGGGGATTTCTTTGGAATCATGATCCGCGCACCAGCCTTGATCTGAACACGGAAGGAGTCCGGCTCTTCCAGTTGTCGGATCACAGCATAGTCGCCATGCTTCTGTTTGAACGCTGTAGCGGTAGCCAGAGTTGCGTCGAACTCGGGTAGGTCTTCCTCCACTGCAATTTCTTGTAAGGACTCCTTACCGTGAGGATCGTATCCTCCTGCCATCTCCGGTTCAATGATTCGAATTCCACAATGCTGTTGAATATGATCCCCAAATCTCTGGGCAACCTGCCCATCAGATAAGCGCTCTTGCGACTTCGCGTCCACCCAGCCTACATAATGCCCAGTGGGAGGGTTAATGTCAACATGTTTGATCAAGCCCATCAGCCATGCAAGCTCGATATAGCCCTCAGTAGAGAGCTGTTGTTGACTCTCCATTTCGAAACGAGTCCGGGAGCTACCCCAGGGGCCCAACTCTGAAAACCCCACGATAACAACGGTACTGGAATGGTCCACCATGCCAGTTAGGTGCTTTAGGGGTTCTAAGTCCTGATGGTAGTCGAGCTCGCGAGGAAATTCCATTTGCAATGTGCACCGGCTCATACGGTCCTTGCTATGTAGTCCATCTTCACTTTCCGTCTCCGTTGTCGCCATCGAGCGTTCACGACGATCTTCTTCATAGATAGCCTTGGCAATATCCGCACGCTGACGTAGGGACTGACGGGCGTCCTTAAGAATGCTTTCCAGCCCATTTAACCTCTGAAGATTTCCCCCAAGATCTACCAAAATGGGCTTGTCCTCGCTCATCCTAGCTACGTCTGGAGAGAGAAGGGATAGTATATTCAACGCCATCTCCTCCTGGGAGAATGTCAACCCACCATGGGCTTCGATGGTCTCCGCCAGGGTGTCATTAGATTCCATGAGTCCTGTGCCCCGGGTCCAGCCTATCACGACGCCACATAACGACACCTGCTTTCCCCACGACTCAGAAGAAATTCGGTTAAGCAGACTCTCCAAGCCCAACTTTGTCTCGGAATAGAGTCCATCGCCGCCAAAGGTCCCGTGATTTGGAGAAAGAGGTAGAAGAACCTGTGTTGGGTTGCAATCAATCTTTTCCGCACTCTTCATCTGAGCAATGTGGCCAATTAGTCGGAGAACGTTGACTAGCATCGCACGATGGGCAAATTCGGATTCTGCACCTATGCCATCGACTTCAATCCCTTTCTCCGGAATGGCAGCGAACGGAATGAGGATGTCGATATTTTTTGCTAACCCAGATGGGCTGTAGATGTATTGGATCAATTCAGCACAATCACGCATGCTGCCTTGGTTGAATGGCAAGAGATACAATTCAGAGCCTCTGCTTCCAAACTCTGCGTACATCTTGCGAAAGTATGCTTGGCTGTCGGCAATAGCGCGGCTTGTGGTGACAATGACAGCAGCTCCCCCCATAATGAGTCCCTTGACAAGCTCAGCGCCAATAGAACCGGGGCCTGCTCCGGTTACAAGAGCAACCTTGCCAGCGAAAGAAATTCCGTATGTCAAGACCCGTGAGATAACTCGGAAGAATTCCTCTGTCATCCTGCTTTTGACTTTCCAATGACCAGCGACACGTGTTTTCAGAGAAGCAAATTGTAGAGCGCGTCCTGACTTTAGAAGAGAGACATAGTCCGAGAAGCCATCACGTGGGACTTCGGTGCAGCGAATGGAGCCATCCTCCCCTATGATAGTCCGTGGTTTAGTCAACGGCAGCGAAAAGCTTGCTCGCGGTGGATGCGACGCTGACGAAGCAATTAAACACTTTACTCGTTCACCAAGATGAAATAGTCGAGGATGAAATTCACCAGTCCTGTCAGAGTGGTCTATGAGCCGCTTGACCAGATCAATAGTCTCTTCATTCGATCTGTTCGCAATCCGGCGCCACATATTTATATCTGCTCGAACTTCCGGCTGACCTTTAACTTGGCCACTGAGAAGACTAATCCAGCTCTTGATAACGTCCATGCGAACTTGGTTCCACCAGAAATTGAACCTCCTCTGGTGGCGGCGGTTAAAACGAGGTTGAATCCGACGTTCAAAATCTTCGTTAAACTCCGATATCCAAAGATTGAGCCGAGACTGGTGTATGTTATCCGATTCGGAAAGGGGATCTCGGTGGGCGCACGTTTCAATCCCCAGGTACGATGCAAGGGCCTTATGCTGCACCATGGCAAGGCGTTTCTGCTCGTGTGTCAACTTATCCAGTGTAGCGGTATCCAGCACAATGTCGGCCGAAGGTACGGTGCTTGTGGACGCCTGTTCCTGTAAATTAAGCCCGCAAGCCTTAGCATACGAGCTGGTGACCGTATCCAGTAACTCTTTAGCAGCGTCAATTGACGGGAACTGGCCCATGGACTCAGCCACTGCCTTTGTCATAGTGATCAAAACGACTGTAGTTTGTCGGCCGGGACCCAAACCCCAACGACGTTGTAGATGCTCTCGGATGGAGTTTAGGTTGAACCGTGCCGGCATCGTTGATGAAACCCATCGGGATATCAACGTGGATATCGTTTTCCCCAGATGATCCGGGGAGCTATTGAAGGATTCTGCCAGCGCATTAAGAGGAAGGTCCTCGGCACCGTCAGGGGTGTTACCAAACTCGTTGGAAAGGTCTGCCAAAAACTCATTTTGCAGAGTAGATTTTCCTAGATGATGTCAGGCTGGAAGTTTATTTCGCGAAAAGGACATTTACCTGCAGCTAGATCTTTGATGGTCTTGGTTGAGGGCACTTGAGGAATTGACTTCCGGAGCTTGCAGCCTATGATGGCCTGAATTATCTCTAATGCGGTGGCAGGGACATCGGGGATGCTGTTAGCGACGGGAGCGGATGGTGAAGGTTTTCTATCAACTGGTGGCTGTGAGGGAGCACTGGTCGTCAACTCCGGTGTAGATACAGAAGTCGCCTGCGACTCCACTAGAGTTTCAGAAGCTGTCGTCTGCTCGTCAGTACTGTATTGGTACTGGATCAATTTTGAATCCTGGGTGCTGGCGAGAAAAAGACGCTCAATGCCAAGAAGCGTGTCTTGAAACGTGAATTTAGCATCTTTCGTTCTCCGAGCCATATTCACTAAGATATTTGACGGTCCCAGCTCCACAAGGCGTGAGATGCTTCTCTCTCTATCAAATAAGACATTCTGAGTATCTATCCTACCTTAGAGGTTAGCATTTTCAGCCGATTGAAGAAAAATGTAGGAGAAAGTACGTACCATTGTACTGGAAAGGCAAATTGGTGGCTACCGTCCTGGTGTATTAGCAGGGCGCTTAGACATATGGCCAACAAACGGGTCATTGGTACACACGCGAGTAACTCAACAAGTAAATGGTAGGCAATTTTCCGGCTGTCGACACCGTTGCCTAAATCAATGCTTCCAGCAGAAGAAATAGACATAATTCTGGAAGAGACGCAACACTGCGAATCAACCAATCTGTTCTAGAGCACCGAAGTCTCGGTGGGATTTGAGATCAGGCTAAGTAGAAAGCATGGAGCAAGCGAAAGTTTCTAGGAAATAGATAGTATTTGATAAGGATAGAGTATCTTGAGAGAAATAAGAAGCAATCGACCAGCATACAGAGATATAGCATGCGGTCGTTCATGCCTCCAATATGAGAGAGTGGCCATTATAGCCAGAAGTTATGCTGATATCACCGTGATGTCAGGGGCCGGATTCAAGCTGCGCCCATCCAAGCACCAGGCTGAAACCCGAGCACCCATTTTCACAAGTCGCTTTCCGAGAGATGTTGTCTCGCGAGGGCGATTTACTCAGAAGCAGTTAAGCCACCCAACAATGTAAACCGTTCTGTTTAGCTCCTCACAAGACACACAAGCAGAAAGAGAGGGAGATATTTTTAGGGCGGAGGTTCTTCGGAGTCCGGATGTTGAAATAAAGTTGGGTAGCGGTATTTTATGGTCGTTTCAATACGGGGAATTACAAAGTTACATACAAACAACCGCAGCATCAGAGAGATTGCGGCTCCAAGCCAATGTGTCTGACCAACACCATAAGCCTAGCCATGTAGCAAGTCACTTATCTAGCCCCGTGAAGGGACCTGTCGAGATGGATTTATCAGTATTCTCATGTTTCTCCTTGGATTCCATATCCCACTCCAGAAACCACTTTTTGCCGTGGCGGAGTGACTGCATGTTGGTGTGTGCTAGATATGTCTCATGATCAGGATATTCGATGGACTTTCAAGTCCCTAGGAGAAGAGAAGGATTTATTGATATCGTACTTTACTTCTTTGAGGGGATCTGCACAGAGCGCCGATTTGATACCCACGTTTTCATCTCACGACGATATTTGCTTATCTTTAAATCAAACTCTGGCGTTGCTCGACTTCATTTCGACGAACCCACCGGACGATACGATTCTACAGCTACTCCACCGAGCCTTTAAGTGTGAGCTTCTCTGCGGCGGTGATATTCATTCTCTGGCGTTAAAACTGGAACCATCCTCCAGCAGAAAGCTCATCGAGGCATATTTTCGCACCATCGGCCGTTTCAGGGAGATGTCGACATCGGCGCTTTTTGAAAGGGCCAACATCGACGATATATCGTTGTTGGCGGTCTTTGGAGGCCAAGGAATTCACAATCTTGACTGTTTGACTGAGTTACGGAACATCTACCACACATATAAGCCTCTAATCGGAGACTTCATCCAGCGGGCCGCATTAAACTTGCAAAATATTGCCCTCAGATGCTCCGACTCTGCAGACGGCCCTTTTTATGCAAAGCTTGATATCCATGACTGGCTCTTTGGTCCTTCCGAGAAATGCCCGGGGCGCGAGCATATTGCAACTGCACCCATCAGCTTTCCCATCAACGGGCTCACCAGCTTTGCACACTACGCAATTGCCTGTCATGTGCTCAACCTTCACCCGGGAGAAATGAGAGTCCGATTTTCGGGCGCAGCGGGGCACTCACAGGGTGTAATAGTTGCCGCTGCAATAGCTGGTTCGGACTCTTGGTCTAGGTTCCATGATCTGGTGGATAGGTCGCTGGAGCTGCTATTTTGGATCGGGCTTAAAAGCCACCAGTCCTTTAATCACTCTGTGCTCCAACCTGCAGTTGTTTCAAGCGATGGTAACCAGAATGCTGTTGCACACTCGATGCTTAGTATACGTGGAATGCGGAAAGTGAAGTTGCAAGAGCTCCTACAGCAGAGTAATTCTTGCTTGGGAGAATCGGAAGCCGCATACTTGAGTCTTCAAAATTCTGACGATGCTTTCGTGGTTGCGGGCCCCACGAAAACATTACGAGGAATATGTCAACTACTGGAAAAACGCAAGGTCGCGCCCAACGAGTCCCAGGCGAAAATCCCGTTCCCTGATCGCGCTCCCAACATCGATTACCAGCTCTTGCCTATTTCAGCTCCGTTTCACTCCCCTCACCTGCAGAATGTAACTCAGGAAGTTCTCCAGCAGGTCGGAGCAGAACTTTTGGCGGAACTTGACCTCCGCATACCGGTATATCACACCCGGACAGGAGCTGATCTCAGGGACATCACCGGGACGGATCTCACAGCAGAACTTGTACGAATGATCACATGCGAACAGGTTTTCTGGCGTGAGGCATGTCTTAAGGACGATATTACACACATTATAGACTTTGGACCTGGTCGAAGCAGCTGTCTACTCCTCAACCAGATTCAGGGCTCTGGGACACGTATCATTCTTGTATCGGAACCGACAGATTCCACGAGCTTGTATGGCGGCAAACATGAATTCTTCTCCAGTGAAAAGCCCTTTTTCGCTCCTAAGTGGTCGCATATACATCGCGCCAAGCTGATTCGGGATGAGGGGAATTTAAAGATAAGAACGCCGATGACGGAAATATTTGGAACTCCACCCGTTATGGTAGGTGGAATGACACCAACAACCGTTGCGTGGGACTTTGTGTCTCATGTGATGAATGCTGGTTACCACATCGAACTGGCCGCCGGCGGCTATGCGAAACCCGAAGACCTCGAATTCGCTATCAGGAGACTCGCGACATCTATACCGCCACATCGAGGAATTACCCTTAACGTCATCTATGCCAACCCCAAGGCAATATTGTGGCAAATTCCGCTGATCCGCCAATTGATCTCTGACGGCCTCCCAGTTGAGGGCTTGACGATTGGGGCCGGTATCCCTTCATTGGAAGTCGCATCCGAATATATCCATACATTGGGCTTGAAGCATATTTCATTCAAGCCCGGATCGGTGGATGCGATTGATCAAGTGATCAAGATTGCAGAGGCAAATGAGTCATTTCCAATAGCCCTGCAATGGACTGGAGGGCGGGGCGGTGGCCACCACTCCTATGAGGATGTGCATGCTCCTATCTTGAAAACATATGCACGAATCCGGAAAAGAAAGAACATTATTCTCATTATAGGTAGCGGATTTGGGGATGCGCAAGGAATGCTACCTTACCTTACTGGCTCCTGGAGCGAAACCTTTGATTACCCCCCCATGCCATTTGACGGTGTGCTGCTTGGTAGCCGTATGATGGTCTCCAAAGAGGCTCACACTTCCCCGCGAGTTAAAGATTTAATTGTCCAGACTAAGGGCACCAGCGACGCCGACTGGTTCGCCACCTACTCTGGTTCAGCAGGAGGAGTGATCACAGTTAAATCGGAAATGGGAGAGCCCATCCATAAACTGGCCACACGAGCGGTCCTTTTATGGAATGATCTGGACCGAACCGTCTTTCGCATCAAGGAACCCGCGAAGCGACTTGAGGCCCTTCTCGCCCGGCGAGAGTCCATAATTTCTCGCTTGAACACAGATTACTGCCGACCATGGTTTGCAATAGACTCGAGCGGCAATGCAGTGGAGCTTGAGGATCTAACCTATGCGGGTTGTTTGCTTAGGGTAGTGAATTTGATGTATTTGCCACAACAACGGCGTTGGGTGCATCCATCGTACTTGAGGTTCTTCCTTGACTTTTTACGCCGTGTTGAAGAACGATTATGCCACTCTACTTCATCTGTCGTTGCAAAGGAGTCGTCGAATCCTTTCAAGCTCGTGGATAGCCTCCACAGAGATTGTCCGATGCTTAGCACTGAGCTCATTTATCCAGAAGATGTATCGTACTTTCTGGCACTCTGTCGTCGTCGAGGCCAAAAGCCCGTCAATTTCATTCCAAGACTTGACGAAAATTTTGAAGAGTACTTCAAAAAGGATAGCTTGTGGCAAATGGAGAACTTGGAAGCAGTGATAGACCAAGACCCTCAGCGGGTATGCATAATTCATGGCCCAGTGGCTGCAAAATACTCGACCTCGACTGAGGAATCTGCGGGACAAATTCTGGATGGAATCTGCAATGATTTATTATCTTCCCTTGCTTCGGGTCAACATGAGAACCGGGAAAATCTTACCGCCTTGTCGAAGACCCCAACAGAACAGCCTCTTGCGGGTATATTTCCCTGCGCCAGTTTCACCTCAGACCAGATGCACAATGTGTATACTTTTACATCTTCAGTGACCGACATTGAAAGGAACCGGATCCTCGAACACGCTTTGGGAGGAGTAAATCAGTGGCTACAGGCCTGCTTTTCTGAGCAATATATTCGCCGCGCGAACATTCAGGAGCACAACCCTCTCCCAATCGCATTTCGTCCTGTCACAGGTGATGCTCTGATAGTCCGATATCACGGATCCACTAGACAGGTGAGAAGTGTCACATTATCTAGGAACTCTCCGTGGCAAAACACCCCATATCCAGCGTTGTCTCTCTCTTCATCCGATGGGAAGCAGGTTCGCGTTACAATTCAAACACCCCCTGACTTGTCTCGACGAGTCAGCCATCTGCGTTATGAGCTTCATCTTACCGAAGCAGGAGGTCGGTTCGTGATCAATGATAAGACGGGACAGAGATTGGAGCGAATCCGGAAATTTTATGCGTCCCGATGGATGCTTGAATACGGGGCATGTGCAAATACGGACATCACCTTGCCCTTTTTCCAGGAGGAAATGACGCTGTCCCAGAAGATGGTGGACAGCTTTGCGGCCGTCGTTGCAGGGGCCCAAGGAAATTATAGTCCTCCTTTATCGACTCAACGTCTCGCACCGCTTGATTTGGGAATAGTCTGTGCATGGTCTGTGCTAATGAAGCCATTACTAGCCACAGGAGTTGGTGGTGACCTTTTCCGGCTCTTGCACCGATCCAACACCTTCGAGATGTTTCCCGATGCGAAGCCCCTAGAGATTGGGGACGTTGTCCAGGCGAATTCACGAGTTACTGCGATACGTGCCCAACCTAAAGGAAAGCTAGTAGAAGTCAGCGCAACCATTACAAGGCGACAAGAGCCTGTCATGACCGTAACTTCAGCTTTCTTTATCCAGGGGGAAAGCCAGCCCAGTGGCCCTATGTTCCAGCGACTCCAGGAACCCGAAATGATTGTACGGGTTACGACTCAGAAACTTGAGGCGTTGTTACACAGTAGAAAGTGGATCAAATTCGACGACGGCCCCAAGACTAAGTTACACCACAAATGCCTCGCTTTCCGCACTGAGTCTTATAGTATCTATGCCCAGTCCTCCGCCTCCTATGGCTTGGAGGTCACAGGGACAATTTCCTGCATGGTAGATGGGAAACAACTGTCTCGCGTTGGTGAAATCAACTATTCACATCCACACTGCCATGGAAACCCTGTGACTGAATTTCTTAATCGCTATGGAGAGCCATTGAAGCAGCGCCAACATCTAGAACGCCCTGGGTGGGACAAGTCAGCGTCATGGGTTATGGAAATCCCTGCATTTGCCAGTCGAGACTATGCGACAGTGTCTACCGATAATAATCCTATCCATGTGTGTTCCATCTTTGCAGGTTTGGCACGACTTTCACAACCCATTGTTCATGGCATGTATACATCGGCCTTTGTGCGAAGAGAACTGGAGAATCGCCTGGCAGAGTCTGACCGTTCCCGTTTCCGCCGGTGGTACACATCATTTGAAAGCCCTGTCCATGAAGGTGATGCCCTGCGCGTCGAGGTCGAGCATACTTCGATGGTTCAAGGGCGCATGGTCTTCAATGTGCATGTTTTCAATAATGCCAGCAATGAAATTGTGATGAAAGCTGAAGCTGAAGTTGAGCAACCGCCGACAGCCTATCTTTTCTGTGGCCAGGGAAGCCAGGAAAAGGGCATGGGGATGACACTATATGACAATGATGAGGCAGCACGAGAAATTTGGGACAGAGGGGATCGTTACCTTCTTGATCGTTATGGTAAGAGATGGCCAGCCACCGGCCCTCCTATCAAATTCTTTAATTTGGTGGATTATTGCTCACACTTCCGCGCGATTAGGTTTCTCCGTGATTGATGTCATCCGGCAAAATCCATCGAAATTGACCGTACACTTCCGAACTGCAAAAGGACGCCGCGTGCGTGAGAACTATCTTGCGATTACCCGTCGAGTAGTCGAGAATGGGCGTGAAGTTCAGGTTCCCATTATGGCGGGATTGACCCCTGAATCCGAATCGTATACATTTCACAACCCAACTGGGCTGCTCTTCTCCACCCAATTCGCCCAACCTGCCATCAGTTTGATGAATCTTGCCGAGATGGCCCGACTTGAATCAAGAGGGCTGGTACAAAGTGATGCTACCTTCGCTGGACACTCTCTAGGCGAATACAGTGCGCTTGCTGCTTGTGCTGGCATCCTGTCGGTGGAGGATCTGATTGCCCTTACCTTTTACCGTGGTGTGGTGATGCAAAATATGATGGATGGTGATACCACGGGGCAAACGGACTTTTCTATGGTCGCCGTTAACCCGTCAAGGGTCAAAAAAGGTATGTGTCCCGTATCATGATGTTGCATAAGAAAATAGCCCTCACACCTATATTAGATTTTACACAGGAGTCTCTCATTATCCTCACCAAACAAATAAGTTCCACCATGGGTCTCCTTCTCGAAGTTGTCAACTACAATGTCTATCAACAACAATATGTCTGCGCTGGTCACGTAAGTGTTCCTTCCATAAATATCAGTCTCATAGTTTTAGACGCTAATTTTGTCATCAGCTACAAGCCCTTTGGCTACTGGGAAAAGTCTGTGATCACTTAGCCAATGATACAAGAGCTGGGACAGACACCCCTGAGGCTCTACTTGAAATTGTACAGCGACATGAGCCAGCAGCCAGAAGCCAAAAAGCCCCTGTCCAGCTTGATCGTGGAAAGGCAACTGTCCCTCTCCTTGGTATTAATGTTCCCTTCCACTCTAGCTATCTACAGGGCGGCATTGACACTTACCGGGAATACCTTAAAGACAAGATTAAGGAGGAGAAGATTGACCCTCTTCGGCTGGTAGGCAAATTCGTTCCAAACGTGATGGGAAAGCCATTTTCTGTACAAAAGCCCTATGTTGAGGATGTGGCTCGGGTTACAGGGAGTCGGGTCTTGCAGCAGATGCTGGAGAGCTGGGCTTAATATTGCTAGAGTTTATTGTTCTCCGTTTCTTCGATTTAGATATAACATTGGTTAGGTATCGACGGAGTAGTTTCATATCCAATACATAGAACATAAAGGAATGAGATTTATATGAATAAAAGAAAGTCAGACCTACAAAATAGCATTGGGGGACACTTGGAGATTTCAATGAAAATGGTCACGCGGCTTAAAACCTTGTTACTCTCTCGCTCATGGCTTTTTGACTTCCTTTCCAGTAGGCAGTTTTGGAAAATGACATGAAAGGGACTTTAGGTATATGTAGGTACCTGCCTAGGTACCTGGCAGGATACGGAAAACGGAGAATCAATTTTGCGTCGGTTTACAGGAGAATTATTAATCCGGGCGTGAGGTTCATTTTGATGGAGGACTTGTATGCTTGTCATTCACTAAGCTACCTAAAGGGGAATCTCGGCTAATCTATGTGGGTCACGTGAGCGAGGTGCTAGTTGGATTACCTAACACCCCCCCATGCAACAATCTCCAGCAGTGAGTGAGAGCCACAAAGATCCAAAGCTTCCAAATCTCTCAAATCCGTGATAAAAATTAATTACAAAATCCAGATTTATTCCTTCTTTAGGCTTAGCTCTGTTTGCTGTGATATGGTATTTTTGCCGGCTTCACTGATAAACCTCTATATTTTCCTGTATCAACTCGTCACTCCTATTGTGCTCATGAATTGAGTGTAGGGATCCATTGTGAGAGTCTTTGTGAGCCCATCAGCTTTATTTGCATTGCTTCCAACATACTTGATCAAGATTTTGTTCTTTTGCACCCAGTCTCTTAGCATATGGTGCTGAATCTCAATATGGTGTGCTCTTCACATTATAGCTTCAGCTTTGGCTAAGTCAACTGCTCCCTTGTTGTCAACACTTAATTTTGAGCTTCTTAGCCTTGCTGAGCCTTCACTAATTACCCCAGCATCTATCAACAGGTTGTTGATCCAAACCAGTTCACAAGCAGCTTTGCTAGCTGCCAAATACTTCACTTCAGTCATAGATTTTGAGATGGATGTCTGGCACTGTGATCTCCATGATATTGGAGCTCTGTTCATGGTAATAATATAGCCACTGGTGGATTTGTATGCAGGGTTGGCTCCAGCCCAGTCAGAATTCAAACTGGCTGCCAGTTTCAAGCCTTCAGAATCCATATCTCTTTTGAAGACTATTCCTTTCAATTTTGTGTCCTTGAGGTAGCATAGGATCTGCTTGAATGCTGCCCAGCTCTCCCTATTGGGCCTGCTGTTGAATCTCACCAGATAATTGACTGTGAATGCAATATCCAGCCTCATACACATAACTAGGAACTGTAGAGAGCCCAGGCCTTTCCTGTAATTCATAGGCATAGCCTGCTTGTCAACTCCATCTTTGAGGGTCTGATCTGGTGTGAATTCAATGCTTATTCCTTTCTTTATTGGCATTTTGGAAGGTTTGCAGTCTTCCATTCCATATTCAGTCAGTAGATCCTCAATATACTGTTCCTGGTTCACAAAAAGGTCTCCATTTGGCTGCTTTTGAACCCACATGCCTAGGTAACAGCCCTGTTCTGTAATCTTCTTGATCTTGAAGCATTCCTGAAGCTTCTTGATGAGCCATTCTGTTTTGGCTTTGTTGGGTCCCATTATACAGCAGTCATTAATGTGTAGGGTTAGATAGATTTGCTTCCTCTTGTGGTAGAGTAGGCCTGCATTGTATAGAGAGATCTGGAATCCTAGAGATTTCAGATAGTCAGTAGCTGCTTGATACCAAAGTCTAGCAGCTTGCTTCAACCTGTAGAGTCCCTGGTGTAAGAGCCCTACTAGGTTACTCCACCCATGCTTGAATCCAGTGGGTAGTTGAATGTATACACATTCATCCTCTGGAAGAGTTCCATTTAGGAAGGCTGTCACAAAGTCAAAGACTCTGACCTTCCAGTTCTTGGCTGTTGAGATAGCAAAGAAGGCTCTTATTGTAGATTCACTGACAACTGCTGCATAGGTCTTCTTGTAGTGAACACCTTCTTGCTGTTTGAATCTGCATACAACCCAACAGGCTTTGAATCATACTGTGCCACCTGTGTTGTTGAGCTTCCTATCAAATACCCATTTGCCAGAGAGGATCTGCATTTTAGATTCCTTCTTGACTAGAATTCAGGTGCCTTTCTCTTGTAGTTTGGAGACTTCAACATCTAGAGCCTTCTTCCAATAAAGCCACTCTTCAGAGCATTTGGCTTCAGCAATGGATTTTGGTATGTCTGTACATATACTGAGCACTGGAAGCTCAGCTCCATTTGTCTCTTCTTCCTCCATAGCATCTGAGAGAATTTCTTGCTCTTCACCCAGGTATGTGGGCTCTAAAGCCTCTAATTCACCATCCACAAGCTTCTTCATGATTTCTGGCTTCTCCTTTGCAAGATAAGCTAGTAGCTTGTGTTGCCAGCCATTCAATGGATCTATATAATCATACTCCTCTGGGAGTTCAACATATTCAGCTTTGGTTAGCAAATTCATAGGGATTTGATCCAATTTCTCATCAAATATAACATCTCGCGAGATCATTATACTGTTTGTTTCTGGATCCCAAAGCCTGTAGGTGTACATGCCACAATATCCTACAAATTTGATCTTCTTGGACCTAGGTTGGAGCTTCAAGGATTCATTCAAAATCTTCATATAGATATTACATCCCCATCTATGGACCCATCTGCAATGGGGTTGGTGACCTGTCCAGGCTTCAAAGGGTGTCGACAGCTTCATGTTCTTGCATTCATATAGAGACACTGAGGTAGGCAATAGATTCACCATCATGAAGACTGTAGTGAGAGCTTCACCCCATAACTTATTGGGAAGTCCTGAGTCTATAAGTATGCTTCTTGTGCACTTGCAAAGAAGTCATATTCCTTGTTTGCTTGTTCCATCTTGTTAAGATATATATGGGCACATAATCTTCTGTTGTATACCCTTGCTCCTGTAGAATTCAGCCAGTTGTTGGCTCATCAATTCAGGAGCTCCATCAGACAGTATAGTGCTGATTTTTCATTTGGTAGACACTTCAATCATGTTGATCCAGTTCTTTAGGGTTTCTGGAGCTTCTACCTGCTCCTTCAGGAGGTAGATCCACCTGTATCATGTGGCATCATCCATTATAAGTAGGAAATACTTCACTCCACTGTAGCTTGGAGAATCAGAGTCTGTAAATAGGGTATGGCTGCCACCTGCAATATCAATAAAAATTTTAGCTCCAGGCTTTGTAGAGCATGTTCTAGGTTCAAATGGGTTGCAAGCTTGCTTAGCTTTAGCACAGGTTTCACAGAACCCTAGCTTCTTTACTCTCTTTATTCACATTGCCATTCTCAGATCTCTAGCTAGAATAGCTATATTGTGGGTGTTGAGATGCCCCCAGCATTTGTGCCAATTGGCCATTGTATCCTTCTTGATTTCTGGTGTCTTTGCCAGGTGATTCAGTGCCAAAAGCACATCATCTTTATTCTCTAGAGTTGCTGTTACATAGCAGGGCTCTAGAAGTTTCATAGGTACTGGAAACACATATGCCAGTAAATTGCATATCCTAGACATTCATAGAACTAGGATGTCATTCTTGTTAAGCATGGCTTCAAAGCTCTGCATTTTATCTGCTGATTCTAGTAGAAAGATGTGTTCTCCATTGACATAGAGCTGTTCCACTGTAAAGCTGTCTTGTATAAGCTTCCCAAAGCTTATGAGGTTAACCTGGAGGTCAGGCATGATTCTAACCCCCCCAATGCTCAATTCTCCATTGTCAGTTTGGATACTGGCCATGCCAAATCCTCTGGTGACTGATTTTGAACCATTCACCATAAGCAGTTGTGTTGCATAGCTCTTTGGGTCCATTTGAACTAGATCTGTACATGAGGTCACATGAGATCTGGCTCCAGAGTCAAGAATCCATTTGTCTGTGGATTCACATGCTTCTTTTATAGAGAAGGCTGCTTCATGAATCAAATGGATCTTGTCCATTGCAACTGTAGTTGTTTTCTTGCCTTTGCCTTTAGAGTCTTCCTTAGGCTCATTAGGCTTCAAATTCTTGTTAGATTTGCAAAATTTAGCCAAATGGCCAGGTTTGCCACAAATATAGCAGTTTCAGTTCTGCAGTGAGCTCTTCTCTGAATTGGATTCAGAGTTTGTATTTTTGTAAGACTTTTGAGAATCCAAGCTTGTTACATTTGTATTTGGCTTTGTAAATCTGCCTTTCTTCAGATCTTTCTTGGGGATTCAGTGGAGGATATCCTTCAGTAGGCCTTTCAAATTCTTCTTCAGTAGGTTTGTTCTGCTCTGGCATGCCATATCAAATCAGTTCTGTATGAACTCTCTTCATCAGGACATAATGTTCATCTTCAAAATATCATGTAGGGTGTGGTCCAGTTGCTTGAACCCTAATCTCTCAAATTCCCCACAGATTGCTAGGAATCTCTCTATATAATTTCTTTCTGAGCCAGCAGACTGTGGTGTCATTCTCACTAACTCTGTCAATAGGCTTTCCTGCTGTATCTCAGGTCTCTCTTGGAAGGCTGTTCTTACAGCTTCCCAGAGTTTGTAAGCACTAAGACTATCCAATTCCTCAAAGTGTTCTCTGGCTTGTGCAGATATCATACTGTCAATTAGGCTGTGTAGCTATTTATTCTGAATGTTCCAGTATTGTGAAATCTTCAAGTTCTCTGGCTGTAGTGAGGTCTCTTGTCTTTCCAGAATAATCTTCTCAGTATCTACTTGACAAGCTACCTTTAGAATGGCTTTGCTTCATGCTAGGTAGTTGCTGGCCCCAGCCAGGGTCATAGGCTTCTTTACTGTTTTCAAGATCTTCATGAATTGATTGATTGCTCTGCCAGTTCACATATTTATATTTATAAGGTTGCTGACAAATTCTTCTAGTTTGTTCTCAGAGTCTATTTCTCAGTCCCCTTCTTCTTGTTAAGCTTCTTGCTCTGGGTTTTCCTGCACTGTTGCAGGTGTGTTTGCTTGACCTGATAAGAGACTCATTTGCTGTGCCAGCTGTTGTACTGTCTTCTGTTGCCTTTGCATCATCTTCTGTTGATTCAGCATCATTCTGTGCAACATTTGGAGTTCACTCTTCTCCCTAGGCTCCTGCTCATCATTTGGTGGGCTGCCTCTGAGCCTACTCAACTGCCTAAGCTCAGTTTGGGGTGTAGGGAGGTTTGTTGGAGCTTCCTGGTCAGGAGTTCAGTGCTCTGGTTTGTCTGTATGGTTCACCATGGCTTTGGCATTGCCAGGTGCTTGATTTGCTTGCTAGATGTGTTTAGCAGGCATTTCACTCACTCTCTGGTTGTGTGCCAGAAAGCTACAGGGTTCAACTTGCTCTTCAGCTCAGTGCTAGAAAGCTACAGGGGTTTGCACATATAGGAGGTGTCTATCTCAACATATGCTCTCTTTAGTGCTCATAAAACCTCATTATCCACAAGAATAACCATTCAGGGTGTTGATTGTAAGCTTCAATAACCAATTAAGCTGTAAATCAACCTTATACGCTTGCTCTTCAGCACAAAGGGCTATAACCTGATGGAGGACTTGTATGCTTGTCATTCACTAAGCTACCTAAAGGGGAATCTCGGCTAATCTATGTGGGTCACGTGAGCGAGGTGCTAGTTGGATTACCTAACACATTTCGCACTAATCCCTTTATAGTTAAAGTCTTTCTAAATTTAAATAAACTCGGATCGTCTTGGCCCCGACGCAACTTGACACCAGAGTCAACTCTATTGGATCGCTCGGCTTCCGCTCGCGTGCTCTGGCGTCAGCCTTGACATCCTCCGTACCTGATTCCAGGTGGCCTTTTCTTTACTTAGATACATAGCTTCTTCTCATTAATTCTTGTTGACTAGCCTCCCGAGACAAGTGGAGGTCAAACCACTACCGCCCAGATCCCACTTCTCACTTTGCATCTAACACGGAGTGACAGGCAATTCGGATCTGGCAAGCGTTTGAACAGACTTCCCCTTCCGGAGTCCTATATTCCATAAATATCCGGCATTCCAATTTTGCTCTCGCAGTTACCAAAGCTGCATACAGAAATTATGGTGTTCTCGTATCATTTAGATGACCTCGAGTCCTATTTCCACCGTAACAGCCTAACAGTTGGCTTTAGCGAGTGGCTGAGCGAGCTCTTCACTACATGAGTCGTTCCGGACCCCGAACGCTCCAGTGGGCTCTTTCATTCTTCTTATTTTTTGTACAGCATTCTAGCTGAACCGGAGAAAAAGTGCGTTCCCCATAGGAGAAGTGGCTCTGCAGTCGATGAAGCCTAGAAACGCGAGACATGGCGAAGTACGGAGACCTAACGGATGTAGACCATGATGATGGCCTGCGGGCTGAGCAGGCCGGCGATATGGGCTCTGCTTAAAGACACTTAATTGAAGATGAAGTCTACATATCTGCTGAGTCTATCTGTTCCTTTGTCGATGGCTAATCTCAACCAGCGCTCTGATAGAAGTACTTAACCGGTGCAACCATCTTGTATCATATATTATTATTATCGTTATTTTCTTCTTCTTTCCTTTCACGAACCTCCCTAAGTAAGGAGAACAGACACTATGGCTCAGGACATGCAGGTCTTCCTCTTTGGAGACCAAACATATGATCTCGTACCTGATCTTCGACAGCTACTACGCTGCAATACAAAGCCAATTCTCAGTGCCTTTTTGGAACAATCTCACTATGTGATCCGAGCCCAATCTGCTACTTGGCTGTCTCCGGAGGAGCAACAGAGGTCGAGAAGTTCGAACCTCGCCCATCTTTTGCAGAAGTATTCCGACGGTGATTTAAACCCTGCATTCCAGGTGGCTCTGCATTCATTGACGCAGCTGGCCTGCTTTATTAAGTAAGCTATTCACAGAAAGGCTTCCTTCCGGTGCTACTGCGATGTCTCTCTGACCGCTTGAATATAGTCATTATGAGGAGCCCGGACGTCCGTATCCAAGCCCTGGCCGAAAATATGTTGTCGGCCTCTGCACTGGTGCTTTGGCGGCAGCCGCTATCAGTTCCTCCAGCTCTCTTTCCGAACTACTACCCGCAGCAGTCCACACAGTCCAAGTTGCCCTGCGCCTCGGCTTGCTCGCTAATGACATGAAAGACCGTATCGAAACACCCACGCAAGAGTCTCCTCGAGAGTGGTCCGCCGCGTTCTTTGACATGACTGAAGCCGCAGCTGTGTCCGCTCTTGTAGAGTTTGATAGCGTAACGGTAAGATCTTTTGCTCTCTGTACGAACATTGCAAGCACGCTAATCAGGAAACAATAGCCGGTCCCGTGCAAGCTACGCCCGTGGATTGGAGCGACATCTTCAAAGGCGATTACAATTAGTGGTCCGCCGTCTGTTCTGCGACGTCTCATTAAAGGTCGGGCTCTTGGACAATATAAATCCAGAACTCTCCCCATCTTCCTTCCCTCCCATACTCCTCAACTATTTTCCATCCAGGATGTGGAAAAAGTTCTTGAAGCCACAAATCCCGTAACATGGTCTAGATATAACGCTAAATTGCCTGTGCTATCGGGCGCCACGGGGAAGTCCGACTGGGGAGGCAGCTTTGTGTCCCTTCTCCACCGAGCAGTGCGTGAATGCCTCATGGAGCCTGTTCGATGGGACGGGGTGTCCGACAGCGTGACCAAGATCGCTCGATCGCTAGAAGTAAAGTGCGTGGCTGTCACTCCGGTTGGAACGAATCTCGAACACAGCATGTCATCTTCTCTGAAAGATATTACAAAGGTACAGATCGAGCCGCTCAAAAGCTCAGACTCACCCTTATTCGACACCGTACCCGTGGGAAAGGCAAAGCTGGCCATTGTCGGGATGTCTGGTCGCTTCCCGGAAGCCCCAACTCCGGAAGCATTTTGGGATCTTCTGTATGAGGGCTTGGATGTCTGTAAAGAAGTCCCGGCCAAGCGATGGGATTGGCGCACTCACGTTACTCCAGACGGCAAAGGCCATAATCTAGGGGGTTCAAAGTGGGGATGTTGGCTCGATTACGCGGACCAGTTTGATCCCCGTTTTTTCAGCATTTCCCCGAAGGAAGCGCCCCAGATGGACCCTGCGCAACGTATGGCACTAATGACTACATGGGAGGCTCTCGAACAGTCTGGATTCGTATCCAATACTACCCCTTCGACCCAGAATGATCGAGTCGGAGTATTCCATGGCGTTACCAGTAATGATTACTTGGAATGCAATAGCGGCCAGTACATTGACACGTATTTCATCACTGGCGGCAATCGTGGATTTATCCCTGGCAGAATCAACTTTTGCTTTGAATTCTGTGGACCCAGTTACACGAACGACACGGCATGTTCTTCGAGCTTGGCTGCTATTCATCTAGCCTGTAACTCCCTTTGGCGAGGAGACTGCGATACAGCCGTTGCGGGAGGGACTAACATGTGCATCAATCCAGACGGGCACACAGGTTTAGATAAAGGATTTTTCCTGTCCCGAACAGGCAACTGCAAACCGTTTGATGACCAGGCAGATGGATACTGCCGCGGTGAAGGGGTAGCGACTGTGATTATCAAGCGGTTGGATGACGCGATTGCCGAGAACGACCCAATCTTAGCCGTCATTCTTGATGCCAAAACGAACCACTCAGCGCTGTCGGAGTCAATGACGCGACCCCATGTGGGAGCACAGGTTGAGAACATGCGTGCGGTGCTCAACACTTCAGGGCTAGATCCAAGGGAGCTGAGCTACGTTGAAATGCATGGGACAGGGACCCAAGTCGGCGATGCGGTTGAAATGCAATCTGTTCTGAATGTCTTCGCTCCTGACAACGAGTTCCGAGGGCGCGACAAGCCTTTGTATGTGGGATCTGCAAAAGCAAACGTTGGGCACGGGGAGGGAGTGTCTGGGATTACGAGTCTGGCTAAAGTGCTTTTGATGATGAAGCATGACACCATCCCACCCCATTGTGGAATCAAGCCTGGTAGCAGGATCAATCGCAACTACCCAGACCTGAAAGCCCGAAATGTGCATATTGCTTCCGAACCTGTGCCTTGGACTCGGGGTTCTGAGCCACGCCGAGTCTTGATCAATAACTTCAGTGCGGCGGGAGGCAACACTGCTCTTCTCCTTGAAGATGCGCCCCTAAAACCTGTGCTAGCTGACAAAGACCCTCGCAGCAGCCACATTGTGACGGTCTCCGGACATGTTGTTGCTTCCCTAAAGGAGAATGCCCAACGGTTAATCGACTTTATTGGGAAGAGCGGGTCAAATGAGTACTCACTCTCCCAGCTTTCCTGGACCACAACCGCAAGACGCGCTCATCACCTGTTCAAAATTGCAGTGGCTGGTTCCACCCCAATGGAGGTCAGGCAACGTCTGCAGGAAGCCCTCGCTAGCGGGGACGGAACTACAAGGCCTAAGAATAAACCCAAAATACTATTTGCGTTCACTGGGCAGGGCTCTCAATACATCGGCATGGCAAAAAGTCTATTCCATGCCTTCCCGAGTTTCCGATCAGATATCTGCAATTTTGACCGACTAGCTCACCATACCATGGGCTTTCCTTCGTTTCTCCATATTATCACATCGAACACTGGAGACATGAATGACCAGTCACCGGTAGTGGTTCAGCTTGCAATTGTATCATTGGAAATTGCTCTTGCACGGCTTTTGCAGTCTCTTGGGGTGGTTCCCAGTGCCGTTGTTGGCCATAGCTTGGGAGAGTATGCCGCACTCCACATCGCAGGTGTCATGACTCTGTTTGATACTCTGTATTTGGTTGGCCGCCGAGCCGAGTTCATTCAGGAGCTATGCGATCGTGGAACTCAGGCGATGCTTGCAATTAAAGCCTCACATTCAACTATCAGAAAACTCCTCAACGGCAAAGCGTACGAGGTTGCATGCGTTAATGGGCCCGAGGATACCGTCATTAGCGCAGCCAATGATGTAATTGATGGTGCCAAAGCGGTGCTCAATCACAATGGTATTAAGAGCACGGTTCTGCAGACGCCTTTTGCATTCCATTCCGCCCAGGTTGCACCTATTATGGACCTCTACACCAAAACAGCGGAAGGTGTTACCTTTCACAAGCCATCTGTACCGGTACTATGTCCGCTCACCGGCAAGGTGGTCCAAGAAGAAGGGGTGTTCAGTGCCCATTATCTGGTTCGCCATCTCCGTGAACCGGTGAATATGGCAGCTGCTCTTGGGACTGCCTATGAATCTCGGGTATTAGATGACAGTACTTTCACTATCGAGATAGGCCCTCATCCTGTTGTGTGTGGTATGGTTAAAGCGACCCTCGGGTCTCAGATGCCAACATTAGCCATACTCTCACGTGGAAAGGATGTATGGCCATTGATGACTGAAGCTCTGGCAGCACTTTACAGGCAAGGGTATAACATCATATGGGGGGTCTATCATGCTCCTTTCAAATCCTCCCATCGGGTTGTCGAACTTCCAGCCTATGGATGGGATTTGAAGGAATATTGGATTCCATACGAGAACGACTGGTGCATATATAAGCCGTACGGCCGACCCGGTTATGCTGGCCATAAAGCTCAGTCCGGCAATCCAATCGTACTTGTGGATGAGCCGCAGTCAAAGACTCTCCCCGCTCCGTCTGTGTCCATACGGAAACCTCAGACAACAACAATACAGACAATGATTTCCGAAGATATTCATAATACAGGAGCTACTCTAGTGTATGAGATGGACTTGAACCGACCTGATGCAAGCAATGTTGCTGGTGGTCACATTGTTAGCAACATTCCATTCACCACGCCATCCGTCTTTGCAGATATGGCATTTGTGCTTGGGAAATATGTTGTGGAACGCTTCTTCAAGCGTCCCACCGTCATTGATGTGGCCAATATTGTGGCAGACAAGGTCTTGATCCCGCGCGGGAATGGACCCCAACCTATCCGGGTGTCAATGACAATGACATGGGAACCGGGTCAACCGCAGACTTTGCAAGCAGCGCAATGCGAATTTTACAGTGTAGATGTATGTTTCCACAGGATACCAAATTATTATGAGTTTTCCCGCTAACATATTCTAGGCCAAGGGAAAAACGACAGCTCGACACTCGTGGTGCACTGTCTACTTCCATGATGGTACCCAAAGAAAGAAGCTTGCCAGTGAAGTTCCACTTATCCTATCCAGAATCCAACGCCTCCGCGATGGCGTAGACAATGGACAGTTTGTGAGATACAATCGAGCAAGCGGGTACAGACTGATGAGTTCTGTTGCACACTTCCACCCAGACTACAAAGTTTTAGATGATATGGTTATGGATGATGAGACGCTCGAGGCGACCTGCACGCTCAATTTCGGATTGCTTTCATCCGGAGGGTGCTTCGCAGCACATCCTGCATTCGTTGATTGCATGACACAGTTGGGTGGATTTACTGTCAATGCACAAGAGAGCCTAGACTTATCTGCCGAGGTCTACATTAGCCATGGATGGGACTCACTCCAAATCTACGACAGCTTTAAGGCTGAAAGAAAGTATCAACTTTACGCCCAGATGAAGCGGGACGGAAGCGAGTTCTACCACGGCGATACCTGCCTTCTAGATGGAAGCACCATTATAGCGTACTTCAAGAATGTCACAGTACGAGATTTTCTCTATTACCAAACTACCTTATAATCTGCTAACAAGAACGTTTAGGTCCGACGAGTCTCGAGGAAAATCCACCGCGCCGTTATGCAGACTCTCGTGCAGCGTAATACCAATGCAGCAGCATCAAAGGGTTCGGCTGACCACAAGGCTGCTGTTCATAGCCCCCCTGTGCCGAAAAAGCCCATTGCGGTTTCTGCATCGAAGGCCCTGCCAGCGGTGCCATCACCTACGCCCAAAAAGGCTGCTGAGTTGTCCGCGCCAAAGGCCATGCCAGCAGCTGCTCCATTGCCTGTACCATTAGTGGCCAAGACAAGAAATAAAAAACCTGCGCCACAAGATACCATTTCAGAACCCCAGAAGAAGGCAAGAAATGTTCCAACAGAGCAGAGAACCATTTCAGCGGGTGGCGCCCGTGCGAAGCAGAAGATCGCGGAGTGTCTGCAGGTAATTGCAGAAGAAAGTGGCATCGCTGTGGACGATCTTACCGACGATAGCAACTTTGCCGATATCGGTGTCGACTCACTGTTGTCAATGGTCATTGCCAGCCGCTTCCGTGAAAACCTCGGTCTAGACCTCGATGCCAACTTTGCATTATTCGCTGAATGCCCCACGGTCAAGAAACTCAAGGAATTCATTGCAAATTTCCTTGGTGAGCCCTTGGAAACACAAGCGTCACAGCTGCGGGACGATAATGATGAGCGGCTGCAGGAGATTCCACCACCGGATACGAAGGCAATGCTAGATACTAGCTATAGTACGCCGCTGGAACCGATTCCCGCAGAGTCCTCATCCAGCGCTCCATCCACGGGCCATACATCTGAAACATTGGTTGAAATGCCCTCGTTCATCAAGGAGGACGATTCTTTTTTAGGAGTTCGAGCCGGCGGAATATGCTCCGCTGGTTTAGCGATCGTGTCCGAAGAAAGCGGCATCGCAATTTCCGACCTTACTGACGAAACAAACTTTGCGGACATTGGAGTAGACTCCCTTTTATCCATGGTCATTGGCAGTCGGTTCCGTGAGGAGCTCGGTTTGGACTTGGGTGCTGACTTCTCCATTTTTGTGAATTGCCCTACAGTGAAGAAGCTCAAGGTATTTTTAAATAGCCACGATGCATCCAGCGAAGATGATGGATCGTCAGATGATGCGTTTGGCTCGTCTACTTCTGTATCAAGCATGGAGGAATATGCCGATACCAAGAAAGCGGAGTTCACTCAGTTGCTCGACGACGACTGCCGACCAGCAACATCCGTTATCCTTCAGGGTATTCCGAAATTGGCCCGCAAGACTCTTTTCTTACTCCCAGACGGAAGTGGCTCAGCATCGTCATACGTGCCAATTCCAAAGCTTAATAGGGATGTTGCTATTGTCGGTCTCAACTGCCCTTATGTCCGCGACCCCGAGAACATGAACTGCACTCACACCGCCCTTCTATCAAGCTACTACAACGAAATCCGACGACGGCAACCCAAGGGCCCCTACCACCTAGGCGGCTGGTCCGCTGGTGGAGGTTTTGCCTTCGCATGCGCCGAGCTCCTTATCCGCGACGGTGAGGAGGTGCAGAGCTTGATCATTATCGACTCTCCTCTCCCCCAACAGATGGAGACCCTTCCTGTCGAATTTTATGAGCACTGTGCTACTCTTGGATTGTACGGTAATGAGAAACCCCCCAGCTATCTCATTCCTCATTTCCTTCGCACCCTGGAGACCATGCTTCCGTACCAGGCAACACCTTTGAAAACCAGAAGGTTGCCTAAGGTTGGAATCCTGTGGGCCTGCGAGACGGTTATGGATGCTGCCGGCGCGCCTGATATTGGCGAGAGAAACCATTTCATGCTGCGACGGAGGCAGGATTTTGGGCCCGATGGATGGGACACAGTCCTCCCAGGGGCGGAATTTGTGCTAGGCAAAGCTGTCGGCGCGAATCACTTTACAATGATGGTAAGTAATCCCTAACACCTCGAAATTCCCGCATCATCGTTTTGAGTTGTTCTCGGCTGACGTCGATACCTTGGATTAGCAAAAGGATCATAACCAACATATTGCACGATTGATTGAGAAAGTCGTAGGTTAGTGTTAAGAACATTACTTTGTATTGAGAATAGATATTAGGTTTAATTTATTCCGTGTACTTTGTACTCTGTACTCTCCAGGTACACTTAATTCCCCCTTCCAGTTTAATGTCCTTGTTTGAGTATAGTGCAGGGCCTAGCTCAAGTAGGGTATGTAAGAGTGCTTCTTATCTCTCTTTTCAGACTTTACAATCTTTCTACTTTTTCTTCTGCTTATCTTTTCTGCTTTTTATCTTTTTATCTCCTGCTCTGTTACAGCAATGCTCAGTAGTCTTGATTTTGATTATCATCTCTTGCTTTTTCTCTGTTAAATCAGTAGCAGCACTGCTGTCATCTGCAAATAATATAACTAATAAGTTCTGACACTGTCTGATCACTTCCACTCATTGCTCCAGATTTTCTTAGCTGTATTCAGAAGACTTATATGCTTTTTCTTTGTTCAGTATTTTGCTCTCTCAGCAACTTTTGCTCTCTTGCTATCAGAAAATATGTGGGAATGATAGCTAGTGCTCTGTAAGAAAAAACAACTCTTTCTCACTCTAATCTATTATTGTATTGCTGTCTATAAATTATACCAACACCACCATCAAGTCTGATTTGACAAAGATTATATCAGAAGTATACCATCTTCCAATCCCTGCAGTCAATAATATAATCTTAGTACACTGATAATGCTGCAGTACTGGATAATGCTGCAGTACTGGATAATGCTGCAGTACTGGATAATGCTGTAGTACTGCAGTCTTTTCTCTTCTGATTTACTAAATTGAGATTGTCTATAAGATAATCCTGAATACAACAGAAGAAGCTTTTATATGCTGTTGTGACAGGCAGTTTTTATTGATTTCTGAAGTTTACTATTATAGCAGCTATTGTGGTAGCTAGAAGATAATCTAATTATCCAATTTGCACATGCAAACTGTCAAACTGTGTGTACTCTCTTACATCTTTATGGTAAAAAAGACAATAGTGTTGAATGAGAACTAATGAACCAGTCCAACAGCTAACTATAGAGTTGTTTATTCCCTATCTTATTACTCTGCTGCTCTTTATATTTAGCACTAGCACCTTAATTACTACATTCTCATATTTTATAATCTTCTTTACAGTTCAGTGCAGTGCAGTACAGCAATCTTAATAGCAGCACAATCAGTAATCCAGTATAGAATTATACTTTCTGATAAGCAGGCTCTTTTTTATTAAACCTACTGAAGAGCATGTTCTGACTGTTTAATAAATCTATATCTGTGTTTATTGGTTATTTTAAAGTCACCAGAAACCCTTGCTGTAAGTAGGAGCTTTTGTGATTTTATGCAAGCAGCTAGTTGCACTTGCAGACTAGCTGCAGTTCATTTTAAGTATACTATATTCATCAATCACAGTAATGTTCTAATGAAGGATCTTGGGCTCTTTTTGATGAGAACAGTGTCTCCTGTTGTAGTGGAGATTCTGGTACTGTAAGGATTCGCCGCGAACCCCTTACATGGATGAACAGCACCTGTGAAGGCCAGAGGCCTCAGCTTGTGAGCTGCTGGGAGTTGCATGTGTCCTTGTGAGGCACTACATCACATGCTTGCAAGCACATATAAAAGACTGTCACTGTGTGAATCTCTTGCTGGGAGCCAGTGGCAATCTTGTTTACAAGTTGTACATAGTTGCCAGAATACAAACCTTTTATCTTGTGTACTCTTTTTCCATGTATATTCCTCCTAGAGATTCATTGTCACACTGATCCACACATACAATCCTCACAGGTATCTTATTAGAACAAATGTTGTTCCAGTCTGAGGCACAAACCATCTTAAAGCTACTATCTCTAAGCTATATAAACTATCTGTAGTCTCTGCATTCTGCTTATTACCTTTACACATCATTGCACTTTTCTACACACTCATTCTTTATTACTAGTTTGGTTATTAGTTAGAGAATATGAAGATCTCTTGTTTATAAAACTTGTTACTATTTTTTATTAGAGCTGTCTGTATTAGTATAGAACTCTTTAGTACTATTACTTCTTATAAGCTTAAGTGTCTGATAGAACATACCTATCTTTACACTTACTACTCAACCATACCCTTACTATATTGTGATTTTTTACCTTTCTTGTGCTCTCACCATATCAACCAACTTGCCTACCTTGACAAGGCATCCCATTGTACCCTGCTTCATTTGGTGACCAAGCTGAGACCTGAAGATGATGATGTGGTGATTTAATGACTGTCAAGAAAGAAAAACAAATTCTGAGACACATAAAGCAATACACTATTTCAAGATAAGATCTTATGAACTAGGAACATAGTACTAATCAGGTTTTTTATTTAGAAATAAGATTAGAGAGCTTAAATTTGAATATCTTTTATCTAGAGCTTGCCTGATAAATAGATTTTTGAAAGATATTGACTTATAGACAGAACTTAATGTGTGACATGATCAAAAATCAAGAAATCAAGAAATCAGAATCAGAATTAACTATGGCTGAAGATACTACAAGATCATATGTAACTATGTTACAGAGTGAAAACAAGAGAATTGTGGTTTATTTCTACATTTTTATGCCTTTTCCTGATATGGCAAATATATCTTGGTTTGACAGCAGAGATGCTACTCTGTTTATTAAAAGATTTTGTCAGATGTGCAAGAATTATAAGATAATTGTTATGAATATAGATCTAGATCAACCAAGCATTGAATGACATTGAATGTTCAGAAGTATTCATGTGACCCCAACTCTGAATATATAAGAATCACATAATTTGCATAAATCATGGAAACTCCAGTATTTAGTGTTCTAGTTAGAGAATCTCTACATTCTATGCATGACTTTCTTTTATCAGTTGCAGGCATCATATTGACTTAGCTCTTTTGTATCTCTAATTCTGGGAAAATCTATATAATCTATAACTGGTTCTTCTAACATTCTGAATACTCAGACATATGATTGCCTAAGTTGATACAATGCCATCAAGATCTATAAGATGAACCACAACAACATTTTATGTTGCAGATGTAACAGAGATAGACATCAATATAAAGAATATGAACATTAATAAAGATACTGGTAGTAGTGGAGCTACTATCAGTAAGACACCAGCAGATGATATGGATAATGAAGATATATCTCTTAATATATTAAATAAAATCTGAAAAGAGAAGATCTTTAAAGAAAAAAAATATGTCTGCAAAAGAATCTAGTAGATATATGTAAATAAAACAAGATATGCAGACTGCAGAAGCAGATAGAATATAAAGAGAGAATAGTAAATGATGATTTCTCTTTAAAGTTCTTCTTATGCACATGACTAATAAAGAAGTTAGATAATTTCAATAATGTGAAGCTCTCAAAAGCATCTTATTATCATGATAAATCACTTAACAAGTGCAAATTATGATTAGCTTTAATGAGACAGCAGTTTTATCTGAGGAAATTATTATAAAAGATATCAGATGTGGTCAGAATTAATTAGATGTTCAGTTATTTTTGTGATAAATCTCAGATACATTAGCAGATGTTAGAAATAGAGAAAGAATAACTACTCATGTTATAAAATAAATTCAAGATATGATGTAAGAATAATGTTGAATCTAAGATAACTTATAGTTAAGGTATAATGCAGTATTATTATGATACTGTTTAACAAGAGAACTAATTCATACTTTTATTTTTTATGTATATTACTGAACTTGAACAGAATCTGAACAGTCTATTAGATGAATTCTTTTATGTATTCTTTCTACAGATAAAGCTCAGATTAATTATCTGAACTAAATTAGATAAACTGCAACATCAATCAAAAATAGTTACAGAATTACAAGAACAAGCAATACTTATTAAGTTTATTCTAGAAAAGAAGAAGCAAAGTCAGTGGAACAAGAATCAAAATAAGAAGAAATAGAAAATCTTAATCTCTCAAGAGAAAGATGTGTCTTAACAAGATAATGAAGAAGATTATCTATAAATAAAGAAGACACCAGTGAAACCACTTTCAAAAATATTGAAAGAGAAACACAAATAATAAATAAATAAGGAGCTTTGTCTAAAATATAGTCAACCAGATTATAGAGTAAAGTTCTGTACAAACAGGTTTAACAAGTTCCAGCAGACAGACAAAAAAATAAAAATTAGATAAAAACTAGAGCTGCAAAGCTCATGCAAGATCTAGATCAAATATTAGAAAGACAGAATGTTAATTTAATAGAGAAGGCAAGCAGACACAGTATATGTCTGTCAACTACACTGACTATATCATCAGATGGTCTTATGGAGCAAGCTGTACTGTTGAACTCAGATACTACAGTGGATAGTATCTTCTACAAATGGGTGTTCCAATTGAACTGAAATCAATCAGAGATGCCTATAGAAGTCATTAAGATATTGAATGAAGCTGAGGCTGATTGATATAGTATTTACAAGACCCAACTCACTATAACAGACTTCATGAGAATTATAAAGGTGGTAAGATATATGTTCACAGTAATTAATATGATTGATATAAATATAGTTCTAGATGTATTATAATTAGAAGATTTCAATCTGAACATAAACTGAAAGAACAAGATATAATATTACTGACTCTTAGAGAAAATAGTAAAACTTCTGAATGCAGATAGATTTCTCTGAGTAGTGTGTATTAAGAACAAACTCTCTTATATTATTTTTGTGTTAAATAACAATCAAGTTCTGACAGAAGTGCCTGAGTAATTAAGAAACTATAAAGATATTTTCTCAGAAGAAAAAGTAGCAGAGTTGCTGGAATTAATAAAGATTAGTTACTTAATTATTCTTAAAGACAGCTGCAAGTCTCTATACATATCAATCTATAGACTATTACTCAAACAGACAGAGATTCTACAAGAGTATATCAAGAATAAGTTATGCAAGAGTTAAATATATTTATTATAAAGTTCAGCAGAGGCTTTAGTATTGTTTGCACCCAAGACTAATAAAGAACTCAGACTCTATATTAATTATTATAGTCTTAATATAATTACAGTGAAGAATCATTACTCTTTGCCATTGATAGATGAGATGTTAAGCTGGTTGGCAGAAGCATACTACTTTTCCAAGAT